GAGTCTGTGATGTTGTAGGGGATAATCTCTGGATCTACTAAGCCGATTAAGATGAAATTTGCTAAGAAGATAGTTTGAGACCCTAGGAAGGATATAAGATATTTTTTATCTGGGAAATCACCGGCAAAGCCAGTACTACCCATTAAAACCCAACAAAGCCTTCCCCCGTCTTAATGGGGCGTCGCAGGATCGCTTACGCATTCAACTACGACGCCCCGACGGCAGGTCTGCTGAGGCAGACCACAACGACCATGGGGTTGCTCCAAAGTTCACTCTGCTATCAGAGAAGTACCAGGAGCAACCCGCATGGTACACCGCCCTCCGAAGAGGGCCACCTCCCACCGCCCACCGAAGCGGGCCACCTCCCTGTGCGTTACTTGGCTTCGCGCCCGGCTGAATTGCCGGGCACTACTGAGTCCCCCCACCACGACAAGGTGAACGCACGTTGGGGGGGAGTATGTATGTACCTACTGCTAACTGGATTAACCTTAATGTTTTTTATTGACTCTTACGACGGAGGTCACGCGTTAGATTCCGGCGCGATGAATATGTGTTTTGATCGTGGACTCGTACCTACGTATATGTATTTTTGCTATTTTTGGTATCTATGTATTGTGTACTACTGGACATGGTTTTCCAAATGCGAATATTTTTATTTTGAATAATTTTATGCGAATTATTCTATGGTGGTGTATGAATAATTCAATCGATTCATGCTGAACTAAATTCTTTTATGAGGTGACAACATGACCAACTTCCCAGCTCCTTCCGGAAAATCCCAATAACTATACACATCCTGACCTAGGACTCGAAGCCAGAACTTTCCGATGCAGTTAAATTACCATTAGAACAATAAGGATTTTTTATTTATATGTAGGTATGGTAAAATAAAATATTATATAGCTTTATTTTTATTTATTTAAATAAACTTGCTAGTTGTAATTTAAAAAAAAAGTAATCGATGTTATTAATGTGTCAATAAATCATAATCTTAAGTCTTACATTTGACGTTTAATTAACAATGTCAAGGACGTCTTGATTGCAGAAATCTCTTTTGTTTCAAGATTCTTTACGCCATGCTAAGTATAATTTAGGTAATTATAAAGCTCATTAGATCGTTAGACTTTTTCCACTTGATTCAAAAGGTGCTTCCACACAGGAGTTGAAAAATGTTAGCAAACATTTGTTAACCAAAAAGAAAAAAATATAACAGAAGTTATTAAATATTTTCTAATATTTGCTAACGAAACAATTTGAAGCAAAATATAAAAATATGTAACTTTTCTTAGAAAATATTAAACCCCGGGCGACAGGGGTGCTTGCAGAATGGTTATAATATGTTAGGAAATGTTCTACAACACGATTTATCAGTGTGGAAGCTTTGAAAACATCTGTTAGATGTTACTGAATGTTAAAAAAACTTATCGTGTTACAAAATGTTATGTAATGTAATCTAACATTTTTTAACTGATGTATGGAATCACCATAAGAAGCCTTGTTTCATAATTAAATATGTTCTCAGATGATTTATTAAAAAATACTTTGTTCGCGTGCTTTTTGTATTTAAAATATATATTTAAACAGGGAAACGTATTGGGAAATTTCATTACTATCAGTTTACAGTAATGTTAATCCTATTATTATGTTACCCTAGCTCATAGTCTATCTGTGTTTCCGTGAAGGAGTAACAAGTATACACACATACAGACTTTGACAATTAGAACTTGCAAGTAATATAATTGTAAAAATGGCCCAAGTTCTATACAAACGACTGTGTTGACGAAAAATGTCAATAATCTCTTTTACAATCAAATTGATTTAAAAAAAGAAACATTTTTAATAACAAGCTTTTATGTAAATGCTCTAAATAGAAGAAAATAAACTTTAAATTAAATCAAACCCAACAATTTATTTCATTACACAATTAATATGCTGCCAATAAATATTGCTGAGAAAGCAAATCCTTTCATTTGATATCCATATCATGGGGATGTATAAAGAACATAGTCCGCCATCTTTGGAAGTCCATTATATTGGATTTAGAATGAATGTTTAGTCCAATTTAACTTGCAAGATTTTATTACAAACAGACACCGGGACAGGTGAAACTAAATAAAAGTTTGTAATAATAAATCGCCTATTTGCTACGTCCGCCATATTGGATTTACAATTACGTCACTTTACTCATTGTATTTTGCTTATCAAGCCCTTTCATTTGACACCCCTAACAAAGGGGTTAATGTGGAAATTATAAATTGCCTTTTTGCGACGGTTGCCATATTGGATTTATTATAACGTCACGTTTTTTATTGTGTTTCACTCATCAAGCTCTTTCATTTGATGCCCAGGAACTATGGAAATGATAAATCGCCATTTTGTAACTTCCGCCATATTGGATTAAAAATGGCGGCATTTAGGTAATCATGCATTGTATCAGGAACCAAACTAATATGCCAAATGACACTGAGAAGTGGGTAAAATTTTACTTGCAAGATTCCATTACACAGACCCAGACAGTTAAAACTAAATAAAAACTTGTAAAAAATGATGTAATGTTACTGTTATGTTATAATACTCCATAATTCAATAGATAAGAGAAGTTAAGAAATTGCTTGAGTAATTTGGGACTTTTTACTTCTATCAGATTATATTCAGAAACTGTTTTAGTATGACTGAAGTCGTAACTTTAATAATCATCCATTGTTGTAGTTATTCAAACAATAAGATAAAAACCGTTTGCGTGTTCATTTTACCTCAGCAATCAATTTTGTACATGAATATTAAGTAAAATGTTAATTGCTAACACCAATAACTAATCTCTTCTCCTTATACTTATAATAACTAGTGGCTCACCCTAGCTTCGCTCGGGTTCGTCCTGAGGTACGTTTTAACGGTTAGTATGGAATAGAAAGACTATGCATACTAATATTATAAATGTGAAAGTGTGTTTGTTTGTCTTTCTTTCACGTCGAAACAGCTTGACAGATTAGCGTGATTTTTTGTTTGGAGATAGTTGGAGGGCTGGAGAGTGACTTAGGTTACTTTTTACTGCGGGAGATTATTTCTTTGCCACGGAAAAAATATATAATACATTTAAAAAAAATATGATCAAAATTACTTGAATCTTAGTGTTAATGCACTTCAATACAATTAATTAAATATTATGTGATATATGAAATATATATACAGTACAGTATGATGAGTTCTTGTGGGTTTTATTATAACGTGTTTTCCCGTGTTAATGAGATAATCTCCCACGCTTAAAAGTAGCTATGTCACTCTTTAGCCCTTCAACTATCTCCACACAAAAAATCACCTCTACCCGTCACTATATTTCGACGTGAAAGAAAAACGAAGAAACAAACAAACACACTTTCACATTTTTAATATTAAGATGGATTATAATAATTCAACCCGTTTCTGCATCCCACTACTGGGCTCAATGCGAAGAGTAACAGGTCCAATAACCTGGTCATAGCGGGTTGAACGTCTTATGAAGATTAATTAGGTATCTCAGATATGCATGTTTCCTAACAATGTTTGCCTTCAGTGTTTTAGCAAGTGGTAATTATGTTGAAATTAATTTACACACAAGCTCAGTACGAAATTCCGTAATTGGATCCCTCCACTTGGCTTTCCAAGGGAATGCGTCTGCTGCATAGACTTCATGCATCAACGAAGTATAGCAACGGGATTTTTAACTCGCCCTTATTAGCTTCTCGTGTAACTTACCTAATTGTTAGCAATACAATAATTTGATACCATCGAGCTGATCTAAAAAGGGAGTTAAAGTGGGATATGGAATATTTTCTAAGGTTTTAGTTAAACCCTCGATTAATTTTAACAGGCTCAAGGCCTATATAGTTCATACATAACATATATTTCATACGAAGTAAGATAAACTATTATTATCTCCCTTGAGATACTATTATTAAAAGTTACTTAGAGACACTTAACCGTAACGAGAACTTAGCTGTAAGGTGAATAATCGAGTCCAATTAGTCATTATAAATAAAAAATGACGGAACTCAGTTATAATGAATAGATTTGAATGATTTTTTGTTTTGGGGTTTTATTATTATTTTTAATTTTTTAATTCAAATAATCCAAAATCAGCCAAATCCATTCATTATAGCTGGGTTTTGAGGTATAAACCTAATTGTATGTGGAAAGCGTAGAAGGCACATCAATGGTTATTCAAAAGCTAGAGATATGGTATTGACAAGGAGAATAGTCCCCAACAACAGGATGATAAGGGCAGCCAAAAACTGCGCTAGTCTACTACTAGTGCTTCCCAAGTTGCCTAAAAACCTATGAGCTACTCCAGCACATAGTCTATCTATATCCATCAGCCGTTTTAACTTGAAAGAGTAAAAAACAATTATTTTGGTTATTTTTTTAAAGTGTTTGATAAAAATAATTAAATATGAATGTTTCAATTAATTTAAATGTCCTTTTTTAATGTTGGTAAATGCATTTACACTTACCACCTGTAGAATAGTACAGGCGGTTATGTGGGACTCACCGGCTAAAAAGCCAGTACTACCTACTCAAACCCAACAAAACCTCCCCCGTCTTAATGGGGCGTCGCAGGATCGCTTACGCACTCAACCACGATTCCCCGACGGCAGGTCTGCCGAAGCAGATCACAACAACCACGGGGTTGCTCCAACTCTCTCTCCTCCACCTCCACTCTGCTATCAGAGAAATACCAGGAGCAATCCGCATGGTACACCGCGTGAAGTGAGCTGCCTCCCAGTGCGTTTCTTCGCTTCGCGCCCGGCTGTATGAATTATGTCCTTCTTCTTCTTCTTCTCCCTGCCCATTTCCCAATCACTTGGGGTCGGCGCAGTACATCTTCTGTACTGCTCGCAGTACATCTTCTGTACTGCTGATAGGATTTGGCAAAAGTTTTGCGACCGGCCGCCAGCTTGACGTCAACCCTCCTTGGGAATGCTATGAATATGAATTATGTCCTAATATCTGTTTATTTTTTACAGAATTTGGGAGTTCCTCGGTGGGTTGGCTAGGAGTGGTACAACTGTTATTATAACTACACACTACATTGATGAAACGAAGCAAGCACATAAGGTAAGTAACATTTTCATTATGAATAACTAGTGACTTATTCTGGATTTGCTCGTTTACGTTCCTAGATGCCTTTTGCAGCCCGGTACAAAAGCAATATTTATAATACTTTCTTAGATTTACGCGAATATTCAACATTTTATATAAAACTGTGTTTTCCGGATTTTTTCGACCAAAAATCAAAATAGATCCGCGAAAAAACCTATTTATATAAAATAATATGTAATTGTATGTATTCATCTTTTGACAAACGATCAACGCCATCTTTCGGCTGTTGTTACTCACAATAGCCTTAGGCTACTCCAGGTCAAAGTCTACATATCTATGCAATAAATTTCATCCTAATCCGCTCAGCCGTTTTAACGTCAATTACGAAATTTTTATATTAAATATTGTGTAAATAATTCGTTTTTTGCGAAAATATTTTTATCAGACTTTATATTTTGCAATTTGCAATAATAATATTATGTATAAACGTAAATAAATTCATAAATAGTAATCACGAATATAGAAAATAATGAGGACCCATGCAATTATTAGAATCGTTTGATGAGAGCAAGTGTCATACAATGACAAATGGTTGTTGAGATAATCTATACGAATAATAAAATTCTAAGTTAAATCTGTATATTAAATATTGTTTGGAAAATCTTATTGAAATAGTCATTATTATCGATACAGTGGCAGGATCTATAGTTTTTAGAATTTTTGTGTGACTGTCTGCCTGAGAACGCATCACAAGAAAACCACCGGACATATTTTGATGAAATTTGGTATGGAGATAGCTGGTTATCCGGGTCAACATAAAGAATACTTTTTACTAAACCCGAGCGGAGCGATGGTGAATCGCTAGTTGTAGGTATCTGTTGCATAACTTCAAACTAAGATTTTACCTTAAGGATACTTAAAATCACTTTCCTGTATGATGTCATCGCTTAAAAAAATCTTTTACATATACATATACTTACTAACAAATTATGACAAATCTGCACATTTCCAACGCCAATAAAAAATAGGTATAGGTAGGTATATCGAAATATTGCATAATGAATTAAAATGAAGTAAATTCAAACTAAACATGCATTTTTTCGTAGTAGTATATAATAAGGTATTTATGTTTTTAATTATTTATCCGAATATTTTAATTGATATTATCTTTATAATAGTTTTATTATAAAGGATTATTAGATTAATTAAATTAACCGAATGTCAAATGTTTATTTGTATCAATATCAAATTATGTATTTTGTTGTCATTTGATTAGGAACGATGTATATTTGATTTTGATTTAATCGCAGATCGCTTGAAAATTGATAAACCAATTTCAGCTTAGTAAAATAAATATTTAATATATAATAATCTGAATTAGAAACAGACAAAAGATATCCTAATTATTTCCCCATGATTCTATCCATGGCTTTGCCTTTATCAAAAATTGTTGAGCGGCTTTAGCAATCTACTAACCAGACGATCACCTGTTGTATTGATTTTTATTCTTTAAGTGTGAAATAGTAAAAACAACAGATAAACAAATAAACGGATTTACTCGTGTTTTATATTGGTATGGATATATATTTTTCGTGGTACGTTTTATGCTTGCTTCACAGATCCTCGACACAAGGTAATCTAGTGGGCACTGTAGAGTGTGTAGTATTATTTATTTAAAGCTATAATATTATTAGATTTATTTAGTCACTAGCATTGCCCGCGGCTCCGCCCGAGTTCAGTTGAGTAAAAAAGAAATTCTTAGGTTTTTATATATGTATACTCTTACATTGCAGTTTTTGTATTTTTTCTCAGAAATGAGATATTTTGCCGCGGTAAAAAGTATCCTATATGTTGACCCGGATAACCAGCTATCACCATACCACACTTCATCAAAATCTCTCCAGTGGTTTTTCTGTGATGCGGTAACAGACAGACAAACAGACCGACAGATAGACAAAAATTCTAAAAACTATAGATTCAGCCTCTGTATCGATAATAATGTTTATTTCAATAAGATTTTCCAAAAATATTTAATGTACAGATTCGGCTTAGTTACAATTTTATTTTATGTATAGCAATGTATGGCAATCATTAAAACTGTTATGAATCAAAACCATGTATTTTAATATTAATACCCAAGTGTAAGATTAACAAACTACTAGATGGAATCAACGGCTCGAGTGGGGTGAGTGGCGTCAGCGGAACGCGTGTATGACATAGTACGGTTTAATTACAGGCATATACTAATATTATACACTAAGTAGGCTCACTGGGCGTAGGTGTACGCTAACACTCGGGTGCCGCCTGGCACGTGGAAATGCGGGAAACGTCGCAAGGAACAAGGGCGACTAGGGACGCTAGATTGCAATACTACACACTACACCATCACTACATAGTATATAACAAAGTCGGTTCCCGCTGTCTGTCCCTATGTATGCTTAGATCTTTTAAACTACGCAACGGATTTTGATTCGTTTTTTTAATAGATAGAGTGATTCAAGAGGAAGGTTTATATGTATAATACATGCATATTATAGTACAGAAAAGCCGAGAAATTCAAAGTTTTGTATTTCATACTAACCGTTAAAACGTACCAAGGGACGAACTCGAGCGAAGAGAGGTTGAGTCGCTAGTTCTAAATAAATTGTATGCTAGATAATTACCTTTATTAGTACCTATGCATAACAATAACAAAGGTAATAACAAAAAATATAGATACAGCTATATCATGTTTGACCAAATATTAAAAAAAACTAACAGGTAAAAAATTGTTTTTCTTTATAAAATATCATTATTTTATTACGTAACAGATTAATTACTGGACATTTTCATAGTCAAAATCCCACTAATTATTCTTCGAAAGAATAATTTCTTCATTCATTAGTTTACTATGTATAAATGGAAGGAAAATTTAATCTACTTTAAAAGCTGTCATATCTATACTAATATTATAAACAGGTAATGTTTGTTAGTTTGTGACGTAGGGGTAATATCTGGATATACTGAACCGATTTAGATGAAATTTAGTAAGAAGATAGTTTGAGATCCTGGGACGGACTTAAGATACTTTTCTACTATCCCGGAAATCATCCCTTAAGGGGATGAAAATTTGTATGCGGAATCAACTTAGGGACGAACCCGAGCGAGGCGAGGGTGAGTCGCTAGTATAAGTAAGTATAAGGTCACTAATGTTGAATTATCTAATTAATATACTGTGGTATTTCCATTCACTAAATGAAATTGTACGATGACTCTAAATAAACGATTTTACCGTTTTCCTTGACGAAAAAATAAAATTCCCCAGACAATTTTAGTTCATTTTTGACAGACTCCAAAAAAAAGACGGTACTTAATTCTGGTGAATGCTTTTTAGTGTATTTAACGCGATACGCTCACTAATAAATAACGGATTTTCTTTATTTCTTTAAGCAAATATAGGCATTCCGAGATATTACAAAAAAACTTTTGTAATCTGCTAATATGAATAATTATTTTTCATACTAATTTTGAACTTTATATACCTTTTTAGTCAAAACATAGTAAAATGATATAGCTTCCATTCTGGAACAGACTGGTTTCGATTTTTGAACTACAACAAATCTGTACGTGCGTAAAGCGAACGCGACAGATTCGAGTGAGTCTGAGACCGAGTCGGGTTCGTGAATTCTCTGAAGCGATCTATCTAACTATGATTATATGTACTAACGATAGGACAGATTTTTATGGAAAATGTTAAATTTCCATTAAAAATATTCCTTTCGTAAATCTAGTAATGAAAACTTCAGAAAGATATCAAGTCTAAACACAAAATTTTGAACAAATATATCGCCACTACTATAGTTTAATTAAAAATTCTTTACCTGAAAATTCCTATAATTTCCTTTACAGAACCCTTTTCTATGCAAATGTAACTCAAACTTGATCGATCTTTTTGCTATTCTTGCTTAAGATAACCCCTTTAAAAATTCGTTTTGTAACACTTAACAAACATAGGAAAAAACCTATTGCCAAGGCTGAAATATCGCTTGAACTTAAATTGTCTTCCAACACGCTAGATCTTATTAACAATGGGTGGTACTTGAATAGTAATTAAACATCTAAACGATCAGTGTGTTGAAAGTGCATGACTTCGTATTTACAACAGATTTTCTGGTTAATTTGCATAACTCTAGCTTCTCTTAGATTATGCTTCACGTACAAGTTGGTAACTTTACTAACAATAAACGTGATGACTATTTAATATGAGTTTAGCTTGGTTTTTTTATTGTATGTATATATATGAAGTATTTAATGTATTATATTGAGAAAACGCTAGGTGTTATATATATTTTTTAGTTATAATATAATACAATCAGACAGAAATATCAAAATTCTAAATATATTTACTTCAATTCTCTACCCTACGTACGCCGACGTATTAAAAAAATGATACCGAGTACTGATTTTGGCAAAAACTTTGTCAAAATATTTATTTTTAAACTAGCGACTCACCCTCACTTCGCTCGGATTCGTCCTTAGCTTGATTCCCCATACAAATTTTCATCCCCATTTTCACTCCCTGATTTCCGAGATAAAAAGTATCCTATGTGCTACCCAGGGTCTCAAACTATCTTCTTACCAAAATTTCATCTAAATCGGTTTAGTAGATCCAGAGATTACCCCCTACCACGTCACAAGCTCACACACTTTACCTCTGTATAATATTAGTATAGATATAAAAATATTTTCTTCTAAACACATAGGTATACATATTTTATTTTCATTTTTACAAAATAAAACTGTAGGCAGAATGATTGCTTACTATGTTTTTTGTATATAGTTATATCTTTCAACAGATCGGTCTTCTCCGTGACGGTCAACTCTTAGCAGAAGACTCTCCAGAGGAAATCCTACGAAAATACGACTGTGATACGCTAGAAGATGCCTTTTTGAAGATGGCGATCAGGCAGCACGATTCACACAGACGAAGATCGAGTAAGTAAAATTATAAATCAATGATAATAGTCATGGCTTAAGGGCAGTGGTAACGCGCTCGCTTGGGAAACCGAGTGAAGCAGGATCAAATCTCGGGTCTCGCACCTCTGATATTTTATCATTCATCATACCATATTTTATCATTCATCAAATCAATTCCAACATGATTACCACTTGTATTACGGTGAAAGAAAATATCGTGAGGTAACCTGCATCTCTGAGAGAACCTTACAAGTTTTCAAAAGACATGCGCAGTCCGCCAACCCGACCGTACCCAGCAGTGGGACGTTAAAAAAGGCGAATACACGTACATTACAAGCAGCGCCATCTTTGGCAAATTTTATAACTTACTAGCGACTTGGTCCACTACCACTGATTATCCGAAACAAACAGACAGGCAGATAGACAGACAGACAAACAAACGTATTAAAAATTGTTTTTTTCTTATTAGTAGGTACCGTATATACTTTCATATGCTTATAAGCTGTTATTTTGACATTACAAACAGACACTTCAGTTTTATTTATCTTTATAGAGTATAGACAATAGCCAATGTGATGCTATCGAAGACGTAGTCTGAGTACTAATTTTCATCCAAATCCGAATCCATCCGAATCCGAAGTTGTAGCAGCGTGAAAAATTAACACACATAAAAACTTGCGTATCTAGAAGAGTGATGTGATTATAGTAATCTACGTATATGATGATTACATTAAAGTATTCTACATAAAAACAAAAGCTATTTTCCTTTAATCACCAAAGACAATGATTCAAAGAGCACAATGTAATCTTTTATTATAACTTCCATTAAACTATAAATTACTTATTTACCTGTTCTACGTTAGATTGTATATCGATGCATTTATCTAATATATTTAAACGAGCAGTTCTTGTATATATATTTATTTATATCGGCGATCTCGGAAACGGCTGTAACGATTTCGCTGAAATTTGGTATGTGGGGGTTTTTGGGGGCGAAAAATCGGTCTTATGTCTGGGAATACACGTGTTTTCGAATTTTCATTCGGTTTTCTTTCGCATTATTCCACGCAAAATATGGTTGCTAATGTCTCTTAGCATCGCTCTGGCATAAGCATCGTGATCAAGCGGCCAAGGCGCAAGGTCGACAATCACAGGTGGCCGGGTTCTAATCCCCATCGGATATAAAGTTTTTACTTTTGTTTCTTTTTTTTGGATTTATTCAAGTTTTTTTTTGTTTTCAAGCCAAATTAAAAAGAAAATGGTACTTTCAGCCAAAAACTCCGAGCGATGCTCGGACGCCCAGGTACTATTTGACTTAAGACGAACTTCAATACCTATTTATGTTCTAATTTTGAGGAAAACATATATGAACAGAATTTACCTATCTTTATAAAAAAAAGTAACTGCTTTTAAAATGTTTTAATGGTAACATTAAAGATCATCTATAGCAAAAAAAATAATAAGTTGGCAAATCAAGGAGAAAAAGGTACTGAACTGTTTTGTCTTTTTGTATAGATACCATAATATACAGATATTATATGACTGCCTCGGTGGTGTAGTGGCTAGCATATACGGCTGTACACCCGGAGGTCCTGGGTTCGAGTCCCAGGTCGGGCCAAGTTTAGTTATTGAGTCTTTCTGTACAGTAAGCCTCAGTAACAGCCCGGAGTTCGGAAGTTGGCCGTGTTTCACCCCCGTGCCTCGGAGAGCACGTAAATCCGTCGGTCCTGCGCCTTAACTCTCACCGGTCATGTCGAGTGATCGTCCCACCGGAGTATGAGAATGAAAGGAATAGAGAGTGCACTTGTGTCTGCGAGTACATTTGTGCACTATAATATCTCCTGCGCAGTTGGCTAGTCTCAAATAGATTGGCCGCCGTGGCCGGAATCGGTCAGGAGAACATCATCATCATCATATGACTACTTTATATCAAAAACAAAACATCAAACAAGTATCTCCGCTTGCTTAACAGATAGATCCAAACTAATATTATAAATGTGAAAGTTTGTGAGGAAGGATGTTTGTTACTCTTTCACGCCAGAACGTCTGAACGGATCTGGATAGAATTAGGCACAGAGGTAGCTATAAAAATTAATAAAGAATAGTATGGAATAGGTAGGCACATAGGTTATTTTCTATCCCGGGAAAATTTACGGTTCCCGTGGGATACATCTGTTTTTGTCTAGGGACGAACCCGAAGCGAAGCGAGGGTGAATCGCTAGTATTTAATAAATCCTATGTTATATTTTCCGAATTTTCTTCCCACTGTTGAAAGTTGAGGTCATAGTCCACCACGCTGGCCAAGTTCGGGTTGGCTGACTTCTTATATATTTTGAAAACTTGCTAGGTTCTCCCAGACAAAGAAGTTTTCTAACCATGTTTTTCTACACCGTAAAGTGCAAGTGGTTGAAAATGATACACATCACGCATGAGAATATCAGAGGTGCGTATCAGAGGCGAGACTCGGGATACGAACCCACTTGGCAAGCGAGCTCAACACCACTGAGCTACCACTGCCTTTCATTTCTTATTATAAATTTAGATAACTTATACTAATATTATAAAGAAGCAGAGTTTGTATGTTTGAACGCGCTAATATCAGGAACTACAAATCCGATATGAAAAAGTCTTTGCATTGCATTAGATAGCTCGTTTATTGAAGAAGGGCTATAGGCTATACATCATATAGTATATACTGTAGTATCTATTCTATATTAAACTTAAAAACATATCGTTATCATATAAGTGTAAAGTAGTTTGTACATACATAAATTGTCTAGAACAAAGTATACACGCATACATTGTTTATGGTATTAAAATATAATTATTAATATTATTCAATTAATGATGATGATGATGCCATCTAGCCGTTTTCGGCCCCAGCGACTTCATTACGATGGCTTTCTATGTCGGTCGTCGCGAGCTTCGATGTGCTGCTCTTTCGTGTGCTCTCATGTGACTGGCATATCCAACTTTGGCTGAAAAGCTCTGAGCACAAAGCGGACATGTCAGAACACCATTGATGACATTGTAATAATTTACAGCTGTAGGTGGCCTAGCTTTAAGGTCGTCACGTTTTGCGTCTAGTTGCGACCTTCTTTCCTCTTCAAAGGCGTTAACCTGCCGATGCACATGACGTCTCCACTCAAGCCGATTTTGTGCCTGCTTTTCCCACACTAAGGGGTCAATTTTGCACCTTTTAAAGTGTCTATTCTGAACATCTTTATAACGTAACAACTGACCACCACGTTTCCGTTTACCATTCTGGAGTTCGGAATAGAAGATGCGCTTCCCCAGTCTCTCCTCGTGCATCCTTGACACGTGACCACACCACCTTAGCTGGCGTCTCATTAAGTAGGCCTCTATGCCGAGAACTTTGGCTCGCCTTAAAACATTCGTATTTCTAATACGGTTCGACCATCTGATGTTCATGATGTTTCTGAGGCATTTAAGATGAAATTTGTCCAAAGTCCTTATATGCCTACGATAGAGGCACTACGTTTCTGAGGAATGCAAAAGATTTGGGAGAACTATTGCCATATACACAGAGATCTTGATAGTCAACTTGAGATCGTGCGAGCGGAAAACTTTGGGTTGCAGTTAATATGAGTTACATGAGTAATAAAAATGCTTAAGAAATTTTATTGCACTTTTAACATTTATTGTATTACTTAGTATGAAATTGAGCCAAATGTAAAAAAAAACAGCTAGCAATTTCTATCCTACTCATGTGGGGTTTCCGAGGCTAGAAGCTAAAACCCCGGTTAATAATTCACCTTTTACCATCCCACTGCTGGGCATTGATCTCCCCACCCTCACACGTTGGCCAAGTGCGATTGGTGGATTTTACATGTTTATCGAAAAGTAAGTAGTTAGCTTTTCTGAGATATGCAGTTTATATGCGAAAATATTTTGCTAGTACCTATATATCGTCGATAAAGTGATATCGTCGATGGTCGAAATAATCAACTTGTGATGTTTGATTAGACTCTACTTATAAAAGGCATCATAACATATCAATGAAGTAACTTTAAAAAGAATAGCAGATTATTATGTTCGATTTAAAAGTGCAAGTCTTATAATTAATTATCTACACGTATGTATCAATAATAAAATTCTGAGTCGAATCTGTACATTAAATATTTTTTGTAAAATCTTATTGAAATAGTAATTATTATCTATACATAAAAATAGATAAATTTTCATAATATATTTTTTTAATAAGCAAGTTATGTCTTAAGCGTGGTCCTATATAAATTTAAAAATAAATCTTTAATCAAAAATTTGAAAAAAATCCTAAGTCCCAACATAATAACTATTCTATTCTAACCTTTGAGGCCATTTCAATGAGACTAAATACGATAGAGTATAGACAGTGGTACTCCAGGTAACGCGCTCGCTTAGGAAAAGGAGTAAAGCGGGTTCAAATCCCGGGTCACGCATCAGGCCTACAATTCTATCAGTAACGGGATACAAAGTTTTGAATTGACTAAATATGTGGAAGTTGTTCATATCCTGTTACAGTCTAGAAAAGAGCTGAAAACCTGCAAATGGCTGGACGGATTTTCTTGATTTATAACTCAGGGACCTCTCGATTCAGTCACCTTTTAAGAAAAGAAAAACTAAATTAAAATCGGTTCATCCGTTTGGGCAATACGATGTTTTAAAAACGTGTTTTTTCGGTAAACATACAAAAATTGCGGTTTTTTTTTCAGATAAGACACCTAATAGACAAACTTAGAAAGCAAAACCTTATCTTAAAACTAAGTTTAATCCAAATTGTTAGAGCTGTTTCTGAGATACACGAAAAAAATTTATGTACATACATATATACAAGACTTGCTCATTTACTGTTATAAGATTAAATCATTATTGATATTTTGCAGCATTAACATCATCTCCCGACGTAGTTCCAGAAAATAACATAATAAACGACAGTCGGTATGAGTCCAGAGAAGATTTCAGTGTCGTCACCAGTAGTACAGATGTGAGTATTAACAGTTTTACTTAATAATATTATAGTTACAAGAAAATCGGCTGGGGGCTGTGTCGGGGCACACTGCCGTTCGTTTATTGCTTTAACATGAAACGTCTATTTCGGCGAGTCGTTTTTGGTGTTTTTGTTTTGTATAAAAGCATATTTAAAAAACAAATCAGTAAAAATAATCTTTGAAGATAGCAACGGAAAGAATGTCGTATGCATTTTTAAGAACGGTTACTATGGCAACCCTTTTTTTTGTTATCGCTGGGGAAACCCATCATGGGTACCCTGCCCGCCGTCAACGGGCAAGGTACTGTGAGACTCCTACTCACAAAAACCCACAGCGGAACCCTTCGCCGCAGTACAATGGGACGTTGCAGGATCGTTTGCGCACACACTACAACACCCCTGATTACTATGGCAACCTAATGCAACCTATTTCATATACGATCTATTTCGTTACGGTCCACTTTTTTGCTGGTACCTGTATGTTTCGGTGTGGTTTTAAAGAAGTTTCATGTCAAAATAGACTTTTTTCTTTTTTAAAAGGAAACTTACCTCCATTTCTAAAAGGAAGGAAGAACTGAAAGTAACTGTATTCGTAATACAGATTTTCCTCGTACGAGCTCCTAAGCACTCTTTCTAAATATTCTATACGTTTTAAGCTAATTGTACAGCTAACAGTTATGAACAGGGTCAATTTTTGTAACCTACAGGTAAATTTCTAAGAAATCAATTAAATTTCTAAGAAATCTATTGTTAACTGACACCCCCGCGGTCGTGAAGGGATTAATCTTTTGCTATAAATAAACGATTGATTGATTCTTCTCTTATACTACCTACTACATATTTCACTGTACACACTATATTTTACTAAAAGCAATGTTTTTACTAATGAGAATGGTTTGATTATAGCAAAAAAAGATAGATTTTTTTTTCATATATCTTTTTTATTATTACTAGTATTTTTCCTCCGTAACCGTATTAGATAAATACGTTGATAAAGAAACCTGTTTTAAAGCAGAGTATAAGTTTCCTCCATTATCTACTCCAATCTTTACAATGTAAAAAAAACTTAAAAATATAAATAAAAACCGACTTCCAGGCACTAAAATGTAAAAAATAACTAAACGGAGGTTTTCATTTGGAATAGATACCTAATCTGATATTTTGGAAGTCGGTGCCAGCGGACAATATTTTAAGATATGAATATCTAATAGGAAAATATGATTAGGTATGAACTCTAATTATAGTTAAAATATTATACATCAATTTGTGATGTATTTTACGTATCGAAATATATAAGATTTGATTTGCATCGGCTGGCACCGACTTCGAAAATATCTGATTGGGTATCTATTTTAAATGAAAACCTCTGTTTAGTTATTTTTTACATTATAGTGCCTGGAAGTCGGTTTTTTTTAGTTTTTATTTTTCCATTTTTATTGTAGACGTAATAAGCAGGTAATTTATAAGAAAAAAGTTTTTTAATAACATATTCGGTTAAGCAACTTATTTAAAAAAATAATTTTCTTGTTATTTTAAAAACCGCTCGACCAATTTCGATAAAAAAAATTACATGGGTGATCCCATTGGGAAGTGTATACCCGTTGAAACAAAAAGAAATGCATATCGGTTCAGGCGTCTTCGAGTAATCGGTAAACCTACATAAAAAAACCGACGAATTGAGAACATCCTCCTTTTTGGAAGTCGGCTAAAAAGTATCATACCCAAATGCTAAAGTTAATAATATAATGAGTTAAGTTAGTTAAGTAAAGATAAGTTTTTAGCATTTAATTTAAAAGAGCTCTTTGGAACGCAATTAAAGAAATTACAAACACAAAGAAGGTAAGCGTAAGTCCTTCAGAATTGTTAAAAATAATGGACAATCCCAGAGTGTCTATTAACGAGGTTTCCAAATATTTCAGTAATATAGGTCAAAATTTGGCATCCCAACTCCAATCAGCTAACGAAACCGGCCTAAATGATACAACCGCACAGTATGATCCTACTCCCATGTGTTCGCTTCCTAACTCTCTTGCTCGATGGCTGTAGACGAGACCGAGGTCGAATCATACATTCTCCAATTACGCAGTGATTGTGCCGCAGGTTGGGATGGAATATCATTCTTGGTTCTAAAACTATGTTGTAAACAACTAACACCACCGCTGACATTCATTTTTAACAACTGCCTGCAACTGGGAGTTTTTCCAGAAGCCCTTAAGAGAGCTGTTGTACATCCAATTTACAAGAGTGGTAACAGAGACTGTGTCAGCAACTATAGACCGATATCAGTACTTTCCTCCCTCTCAAAACTACTTGAAAATTTTTTAAATAAGCGCCTAAGAGACTATTTGGACAGATTCAGAATTATAGCTGATAACCAATACGGTTTTCGCCCTGGTATCTCCACTGAAGATTCTGTACTGGATCTAACACAATATATAGCTGAAAATATGGACCACAAAGAGAAATGTCTTGGTATTTTTCTAGATCTGTCTAAGGCGTTTGACACAGTCTCTGTTCCCTTGCTAATCACGAAACTTGAGCGCCTCGGAGTCCGTGGTATGGCCTTGAATATTTTTAGAGATTATCTTACCAATCGCAAGCAAGTAGTAAAAATTGATTCCTACTTAAGCGACGAAAGGACTATTAATTACGGTGTACCTCAAGGGAGTATACTTCGTCCCATTCTATTCCAAATTTATGTAAACGACCTTTGTAAAATGACCCTCCCAAACTGTAAAATCTATGCATATGCTGATGACACTGCGATTATAGTTAAAGGTTCTAACTGGGAAGAAGTCAAGATAAAAGCTGAATATGCCCTCAAAAGTATCATGAAATGGTTGAAACTAAATCTTCTGACACTAAACATCAACAAAACTGCATACATCCCTTTCACTATTCGCCGCAGAAATAAACCTCCAAACTCATACTCAATAATTGCCCACACATGTGACGCACCGATAATACAATGCTCCTGTGCCCCTCTTACAAGAACTGACACTGTAAAGTATTTAGGCGTTCAAATTGATGATGGATTAAGGTGGGATGTTCATATAAACGCTCTCGTCACTAGAATAATGCGACTAATCCACACTTTTAAACTACTTAGGGAGTCATCTAACCTAGAGATTCTAAGAATGACCTACCTCGCTCTATGTCAATCGATCATTGGATACTGTATTGCTGCTTGGGGCGGTGCAAGTAAAGTAAGTCTTCTTAGGGTTGAGAGGGCACAGAGAGCTGTACTTAAAGTTATTTTGCGAAAACCCTTTAAATACCCAACTTCCCAAGTCTATTCAGAAACTAACGTATTGACGGTCCGACAGCTCTTCGTGCTCATGTCGACTCTAAGAAGACACAAGAACGTTAGCCCATCAAATTCAAATAAACGAACAAACCTTCCACCAAATGTGCAACACAGAACCTCGTTTGCTAAAAACCAATTCTTTGTCCTAAGTGTACATATTTATAGAAACCTTCATAAAAAATTAAACATTATAGATTTAAATACCTACGACCTAAAACATAAACTTACGGACTGGCTTCTAAAACAGGATTACTCGAACACAGAATCACTGCTGATCTACTCCAGATAAGAACTACTTTTTTTTCATATAATCACTACCCATTCACAACAAACTCTCTCTCTCTCACACACGCACACACACACACACTCACGCACACACACACACACTCACGCACACACACACATTAACACACACACCCATCACAGACACATACATATATACATATAGCACCAACCAACAGCTCAAAATGGCACACTCGCAAACTAAACAGATAATTTAATTCTGACAATATTTTGATTGGATTGGCACTGTATGCCGTAATACAGGTCTCCTAGTACGGCAGCAGAGACAACCGTACTATTTGTATTGATAGTCTAAATTGTTTGTTTCAAAATGTACTGTTCAATATGCTTTTCAACTACAATATGTATGTATTTTTGTGAAATAAAGTATTATTATTATTATTTATTATTATTATTTATTATTATTATTTAATATAATATTTTGACGGCACGTTTGGCTCAGTTTGTAGTGACCCTACTTCCTGTGCCAGCGGTCGCTTGCTCGAGCCCCGCTGGGGGCATTCATTTGTGTGATGTGCACGAATATTTGTACTCCAGTCATGGGTGCTTATATTTATAATATGTATGTATTTAAAGTTATATATGTGTAGTGTATCAACTATCTGGTATCCATAACACAAGCCTCGTAGCTTACCATGGAACTACATGGTGAGGTGTGTTAATGTTTTAACATATTTATTTATTTATTAGTATGATAAATAAAAAATTTTTAATGTGATGATGTTATTTGGAACGCATATTCATGGTCATTTTTTATCTTACAGGAATCGATAAAATAAGTTTTTTTGAATAGAAACGCAAGTAGCAATTGACCTTAAAGGTTTATGTAAAATGTTATTAGCTTATAAAATTCTATGAGCATTTAGAAATAAGTAGAATAATAAGTAAAACCTCACGCAACCATTATCACGCAAATGTTATAAAAGATCGTAAATGTTGATATCCCTAACAAAGTAAGTAATTGCGAAACACAATATAATCTTATTATAGTACACCTTTGAATTTTAATTTGAATTTTTTACTATAAATATGAAGTTAGAAAACCGTTAGCGTCCTTGACATTTAACTTATAAGTTATGACCCTACGTTACCTTGTGATAATAAATTAAAAAAATGCCTTTCCAAATGTTAAAACATACTGATTACATTAACGTGTTTCTCAATAAGTGTTATTTATTCGAATATAATATTCATTTTTAGTATACACCAGTAACTTACCCTACCTTGGCTCATGTGTGTGTCCGGTACACGGATTTTTCTTACAATTTCATGGGGTTTAATTATTTTGCGCGGAACTTTAATTATTTTCTGAAATAATAAAATATTTTTTTTCTGTTTCTCCTTATAACATCAGCTATCTGCCAGTGAAAGTCCCATCAAAATCGGTCCATCCGTTTCGGAGATTAGCCGTAAAATACAAAAAGACAAAATCTTTGAAAATTGTTATTTTCTTTTAAGTATTGTATATAATTAGTAAAAAGTTGTTTTCTTGATATTACAAACGTACATTTATATACACAAAAACGTATTTCAGTGTAAGGGCGGTCTTATCACTTAAAGTGATCTCTTCCAGGCAATCTATATCATAAAGAAACTCGTAGGTTTGTATGGATAATGGTTGGTGCAAAAAATTAATATTAAATAATTGAATTTTATTAGTTTTATCTACATTTTCATAACAGCAGGGTTCGGGCATCTATAAAATGCTAACGATATAAGACCATAGTGAAAGCAAATCGTAAATCTCGTTCTCTATAATATACTTACACAATTTTTTGAAATCTCATATAGGTATTATTTATTTCTTTTCAGGTTTTAACCACTAAAGAAAAACCAGAACGCATTCGAAGTTTGACCAGAGCACGGTATAAGGCAGTATTTATAAAGAGTATACAACAATTTGGCAGGCACCCTGGGTAAGTGGAAATTATGTATTGAAGACAAAGGAGGCCATTCATTTTGGGCCCAAAAGCCAATCATGCCGGTCAGCGAAATAATGCGTGCAAAGTATTAGAAAGCTCAGCCCTTATGTGGTACTAGCGACTCACCCTCGCTTCGCTCGGGTTCGTCCCTAGGTTGATTCCTCATACAAAATTTCATTCCCACTTTCACCCCCATAAGAGATGATTTCCGGGATAAAAACTATACTATGTCTTTTCCAGGGTCTCAAACTATCTTCTTGCCAAATTTCAACTAAATCGGTTTTGTAGTTTCGGAGCCTATTCAGTACAAACAAACAAATCTTTCCTCTTTATATTAGTATAGATAAGGAAGGTCTTTTCTTGAAATCTTAGTATAGTTCCTCTTTCGTGCAGGTTCACTACATTTACAAAGAAATAAGTATATATTACAATAACAGGAAAAAAGTAATAGCTGAAGAGATGATTGTAGAGATTTCGCGTAATCGTAAAAAATACTTGGGCTGAGATAGAAAATACGTGCGCACATTTTTTTCGTCTGCCAGCACTTTGACCTTTTGCCTCAACTTAGTATGAAATGTGAATGGTCTCCTTTGAGAACGACTACTAAAGAAAATGTCATTTTATAATCGTTAAAGACAGCGTCGACCTTGAGATAGAGCATAGACCTAGAGAATGGACTGAGCAATATTGCCATGAAATTGACAACTGTCTAGAAAGAGATAAAGCGAACGTGCGGCCAATACCTGTCTATTATACCAATTTAAATTTATGAATGGAATGTAAAAAAATTGGCAACATTATATATTTCGGTATTTGGCTGAGTTTTGGCCCTACTTGCCGTGGCAACGGTTGCGGGTTTGAGTCCCACTGGGGGCATTCATTTGTGTGATGAGCACGAATGTATTTACTCCAGTCATGGGTGTTTATATTTATAATATGTATGTATTTAAAGTTACATATGTATAGTGTATCAACTATTTGGTATCCATAACACAAGCCTCGTAGCTTACCTATCGTCATTAATCGTATTTCAATTAATACAGATGACTTCTGGCCGCACATTCGTTGTGTCTCTGTCGCTCTCCCGCGATTTTCAGCTGACAGCTGACAAAGAAACACTGTTTGTTGACTTTCTCTATGTCTATAGGGTAGAGCGAAAGGAATGAACTCTGTATGTGCCAGGTGTCAGAGACGTCAAAATGCTTAATTCCAAAATTAATTTAAAGCAAAAAAAAATTTTAATGAGCTTTTTCAGTGTGATAATAATTAGTTACGGCTGTTGAGTATATTAACAATAGCTACCTAATTTAAATTCAATTAACGTTGAATTTTGGTAAAGCTGGTATTTCTTATTTACTAACGACTCACCCTCACTCCGCTCGCGTTCGTCCCTGGTTACGTTTTAAGGTTTAGTATAGATTTCTCAGAGATGAGATATTTTTCCGCATTACAAAGTATCCTATATGTTGACCCGGATAACCAACTATCATGATACCTTTCATCAAAACCTGTTCAGTGGTTCTCTCGTGATGCGGTATCAGACAGACAGATAGACACACAGACAAAAATTCTAATAACTATAGATTCGACCTCTGTATCAATTATAATGACTATTTCAAAAAGATTTTCCAAAAAATATTTAATATTCAGATTCGACTCAGAATTTTATTATATGTATAGATTTAATATAAACTAAAATATTATGTGATGTGAAAACGTCGACCATAATGGCGTTGGAAGATAATCTCGCTCTTCCTTCATGAATACCTAGAGCTAGCGCTGGTTGAGGAATAGATATTTTAAAAATTTGTATCGATATGTCAAATTTAATCGTTGTCATGTCTTTCACTATTGCTATATAGTTTTTTTTTAATTATAAACACAAATAACTGTGTGTGTACTTCCTTCTTTTTTGAAATCGGTCAAAACATTCAACTATTTTATTCACAACAATTACTGTCAAGTACATTTTTTATTAAAGGACTCTTCATTTTTTACTTCACTTCCTCTTACGTGTCAATAAATTAATTATATTGGCTATTAAATTCAAATAACAAAGGCAAGTAGTTTACAATAATAGAACAAAAGTGGGGTCAAACGGCTAGTTAAAATATTAATTTGTAGGGAAGTCTGTCCGTCTTTCCATTCACGTTTTAGTCAGACTCCATATTGGATGTCGGAAGGGATTTTAGTTGTACGTGAGTGTTTTGATGATGTTGATTTATAATAAACAGTGTTTGCTAGCTATAACTTTGCATACGGTTTTGTCTGTACTTTATTTAGTTTATTACTAAATATGGTTCATGCTTTCGACAATTTTTTTTTTCGAGATTTTCAAGTTTTATTTTGTGATGCAAATATTATTTCATTTTATGTTATATACTATATAATCCATTTGAATTATGTTTAATTTGATTTTTAAGTTAAATACAAATATTTTTGTAATGTATGGGTCGAAATCACATTGAGGAAGTTTTTTAAATCACCAATTTATAAAATTGCACCTATCACTTTGTTTTTTTAGCAATCGGTGCAATTTTTTAAACGCTCAAATATAAATATTTTCATTTTCTTTTCTACGAGTATTACAGTATGTCTCAAAACCTTTTATGTTGTTTTTGTTTATTTACACAGAGGACTGTTTTTCTCCTTACTGTTCCCTGTCATACAAGTGGTGGCGTTTTTTCTAGCGGTGGGACACGATCCAAGAGACTTGCATCTTGCCATTGTTAATGATGAAGCGACTTATTTCAACGGTGAGTTTATTTTTATTATTAGAACAGTTCATACATACAGCATTTCTATAGTTTATTAGATCTTTTTAACAGAAATAATTCCGTAATACGTTGTTTTCATATAACTTTACTGGTTTACGCGGCGTACACCAGTAAAGCTCCCAGTCGGCATATTTTTTTCCGCCATCTTCAACAATTATCGTCATATTTCTGCCAATTTAAACAAAATGTTAATGAATTATACACCTAACCTTCCCATTAATCATTCCGTCTATTTGTGATAACCGTATGAAAATCTGTTTGATAGTTTTTTACTTGATGGGGCGCTGGGACGCACCCGAGCGAAGTGAGTTTAAGTCGCAGATAATTCTAAAAAACTATAACTACAATAATAGTGTATAAAAATACTAATTTACAGAGATTTTCTACAAATTTTCTTTACAAAATATATCTCATTTCCAGTGGATTACGAAGCGTGTAGAAACGGTAGCGCGACGACTGTGTTCCGGAGAGAGGACGAAACCTGTGAACAACACATGATGAGTTGCTGGTTCTTATTGGAAATGGAGAAACGAAAGCTATACGCAGTGAGTACACATACATACATACACACATATTACATAAACTTTAATACACAGGCAGGGCAGACGAGGTTCCCAATACTGATTGATTGGACCATTGATACATGGGGTATGTTCATGTGATTTAATATATATATAGTATTTATTTGTCCCATATGTAAAATAGAATCTTACATTTATAAAAAAATTAGTGAAAACCAGATTTTAGACTACACTTTGCAGGTACAGCCGAAGTATCATCTATTAAGTATCATTGTGGTTTCTATTTTGTGGGTTTTTTTTTTGCTATTTATTTTAACTTTCTCTTCTTTCTCGACCATACAGTCCATGAGTCACGTTACATATTTTATACATTGTCTGTTTATACATATAATAAAATTGTAACTAAGCCGAATCTGTACATTAAATAATTTTTGGAAAATCTTATTGATATATACATTATTTTTTAAACAAAGGCCGAATCCATAGTTTTTAGAATTTGTGTCTGTCTGTCCGTCTGACTGTGACCGCATCACAAAAACCACTGAAGGGATTTTGAAATTTAGTGTGATGATAGCTGGTTATCCAAGTCAACATATAAGATACATTTTATTGCGTGAAAATATCTCATCTCTGAGAAATCTATACTAAACGTTAAAACGTAATTAGGGACCAATCTGAGCGGAGTGAGGGTGATCCGCTAGTGACGGTAGTGTTATTCAAACATAACAAATAACACCATACTTTTAATATATATTTTAATTCCAGACACCATACGACTCAGTAGAAGAAGCAAAAGAAGCAGTGAGCAAAAAATATTTGTACGGTGCTCTTCATTTCCGTAGCAATTTTAGTGAAGCACTCACCATGCGCGTGTCCGGCGCCAACTTGGACGACGACACGGTGGACGAGAGCACCATCAGCGTGTGGGTGGATACGACGGGTGATTGTTGTGTTTTATCAGAATAACTCCTTTTTTAATGTTGGGAAATACATATACGTATACTACCCTGTAACTACGGGGCATTCTACGCCAAATCGGACGGTTTCAAAAAAATATATTCTTATTTTCTTAACCGTTTCCTTGTCCCATGAGTCCATATATGAACATTTCGATTATTTAACTATTGTGTCTATTTTGCGGTCAGTTAATCTTTTACCTACCTTACAAAAGATTTTTTTGATCACTGGTTCAAAAATATCGAATTTTCAATAAAACCGCTTTTTTTGGTTTTTTGCTCGCTCCACAGTCCACTCTGCTGTCAGAGAAGTACCAGGAGCAACCCGCATGGTACACCGTCCACCGAAGTGGGCCGCCTCCTAGTGCGTTTCTTGGCTTCAATTTTACGTGATCTGCCTCGACACGGGGATGAAACACCAACTTCCCATATAACTCAGTAATTAATCGTGGCCCAACCGGAGACTCGAACCCAGGATCTCCGGATCAGCAGCCGTACATGCTAGCCAATAGACCACTGAAGCAATTAACAGACTATTATTATTAATACAAAGTTTGTATGTGTGTACGTGTGTGTATTTTTTAGTTCTTCACACTGAAGGGTTTGGGCGGTTCAATTTCCCAAGCGAGTACGTTACCACTTTGCTACCACTGCCTTAATTTATTAATTATTATTATTAATTAGTATTTAAACGTCACAAAATATTTTTCAGATTATCAAATATCGTTTTTCATCAAAGGGCAAATGCACAAAACGTACGAGGCGTTCGCGAAACGCTCAATGAAAGCGTGCGGGAACAATGAAGATCTAGTACAAGTAAGATAAGCATTTATTTGATTTATTTAATAGGAACATCCAAAATTACTCAAAAAAGAAACCTCGACAACAGAACCGGGTCAATGCTTGTCGGGTCTATAGCTAAGATTATAAAGCCGATTAAATAAGTATATAAAAATAAAACTATCTTTTCCGATTATATTGCGGTCACGGGAGTGATAGTCTCTCCCGTGACCACGATTGCTGTAAAGCATTAAAAACCGAACAAAATTAATCCGCGAAATAATTCGAAAAGATAGGTTTTATTTAAAACGTCTAATATTCGCGTAAATCTAAGAAAGTATTAAGTACATAAAAATCATCAAAATCGGCCAAGCCATTTAGTATGTTGAAATTTAAAATGTAAACACTCACAGGCTAGTACTTTGCGTGTTTACAATATAAAAGCAAATCCCATGATTGCTTTTTGCTTAATTATATTTCTATGAAAAGTTAATATTAGCATATATAATTAGCATATCCCACGGAATCCACTTAATGTATCGAGATACATATAAGAATTAGTCTCACTGTCTGTTGATTCAAAGAAAAATCTTCACTTTATTTATGAATTTCATATATCTCCCAATGATGGTACTTAGCCTGTACCGAGACTCGAACCCAGGATTTCCAGATATAGCCGTGTATAATGGCCGTTAGACCGTATTATTATAATATTATAAACGTGAAAGTTTGTGAGTATGTATAGATGTTTGTTACTCAATCACGCCAGAACGGCTGAACGGATATGGATGAAATTTGGCAAAGAGATAGATTGTAGTCTGGAATAACACAAAGGCTTTTTTATCTCATGAAAAATGTACAGTTCCCGTTGGATAGATTAGTTTTCGTTTTTCTAGAGGCGAGCCCGAGCGAAGCGAGGGTGAGCCGCTTGTCTATACATATAATAAAATTGTAACTAAGCCGAATCTGTACATTAATTTTTTTTTAATTCTTATTGAAATAGACATTATTATAGATACAGAGTCGGAATCTATAGTTTTTAATTTTTTTGTGTGTCTGTCTGTCTGATACCGCATCACGAGAAAACCCCTGGGAAGATTCTGATGAAAATTTGGTATGATGATAGCTGGTTATCCGGGTCAGCATATAGGATACTTCTTACCGCGGGAAAATATCTCATTTCTGATAAAAAATACAAAAACTGCGTAGTAAGAGTATACTAATATGTAAAACCAAAATTTTTGGTCGTCTGAACGCGGGCGGAGCCGCGGGCAACGCTAGTTATACATATATGTGTAATGTGAGGGCTTACTATATTTTTATATATGTATTTTTAGATACCAGTGAGATTTGAAGAGCCAATATATGGAGTTATGGAAGCTGAAGTCGTAGCGTATATGGCCCCGGGTGTTATGGTCACGTGAGTAATTCGTTTTTTTGTAAAGAACTAACTTACTAACCATAGGTATACCTAAATTAATTTAGAAGTCGATTTGAACCTTATTTTAACTGTCGTAATGTATTGACAGATGATAATCTCATTATCTCGTCCCATAAATATAATATATTTAGCGACTCACCATCGCTTCGCTCGAGTTCGTCCCTAGCTTGCTTCCCCATACAAACTTTTCTCCCCATTTTCACCTCCTTAAGGGATGATTTCCGGGATAAACTTACTTTACATATCATAAGATTAAAAAAAAATCTTAGTATTTTTTATTTCATTTTCTTCTATACAAAACTTCTCCACAATAACAAAGACACAAAAGAAAAATGATTATCCAATTTGGTGCAGTCGATCGGAAGTTATACGCGTACATACATTTCGGTGATTCATTTTTATTTATATATAGATAGATAAATGCGAAAGTTTGGATGGTTTTTTTGTTACTCGATTACGTCAGAATAGCTGAACGAATCTGGATAGACACAGAGATAGTCTGGTATTGCTATAGATTACTTTTTATCCCAGAAAAATGTACGGCTCCCGTGGGGTAGATTTGTTTTTGTATTAGTTTGATATAATTGGACTGATCTGAGAGTCAGAAGGTGGATAGTGAGAAGTTCTTCGATGACTACTAGTAAAAACTTTCAGTTTGTTATATATAATCGTATAATCATTATCAGCCCTTTTTAACGTCCCACTGCTGGGGCGGGCCTCCTTTCAATACGAGGGGGATCAGGTCATAGTCCACCACGCTGGCCAAGTGCTAGCGGACTAGCATGCCTTTTTTTTTATTTTATCTAATCTATTTAAACGAGCAATTCTTGTATATATATATTAATATATAATCCGAATCTCGGGAACGGCTCCAACGATTTTCATGAAATTTAGTATACAAGGGGTTTCGGGGGCGATTAGTTTTATGTCTGGGAAAATGCGTGTTTACGAATTTTCATGCGGTTTTCTTCGCGGTATTTATTCAAGTTTTTAGTTTTTTTTAAAGAAAATTATACTTTTCAACGAAAAACTCCGAGCGAAGCTCGGTGGCCCAGGTACTTATAATAAAATACAAAAGATTAGATATTTTTCTTTATTAATATTTATTTATTTATCACTCAGTACACAAATTTTTATTTCTATGTTACAATAAAACATTATTGTTTGACTCTACTTGCTGTGCCAGCGGTTGCGGACTCGAGTCCCGCTGGAGGCATTCATTTGTGTGATGAACACGAATGTTTGTATTCCGGTCATGGGTGTTTATATTCATAAATTGTATGTATTTAAGGTTACATATATTATGTAGTATATCGACTATCTGGTACCTATCCATAACACAAGCCTCGTAGCTTACCATGGAACTAGATGGAGTAAGTAGTTGGTGCTGTGTGTTAATGTCCCAACATATTTATATGAGCGTGTGTCTGCCTGCGTGTACAGGATAATCTATTTCCTGGCGGCGATAGTGACGTCGACGCTGATGATAGCGGACCGGCTGGAGGGCGTGTGGGAGCGCAGCGCGGTGGCGGGCGTGCGCGCCGCCGAGATGCTGCAGGTGCACGTCGTGCTGCAGTCGCTCGTCATACTCGTGCAGGTGCGTGCTCTGCGCGCGTGTGTGTGTGTGTGTGGGATTAGGTCTAAATCCTATCAATTTTTTTTATTGCACACCATTATTTTACATTACACAGTTGAAACAGATCTACTTATTGCAATTTTCTGTGATGAAAACAAAATGCTAAGCTGTCAATCTTGCAATTATCTCACCGCAAGTAACGAATCGACATCTGACTAAAGGTTAAGAAAAACCCGAATACGAAATAATCCGAAAAGATAGCTTTATTTAAAACTGCTTAGCTCTTAGCCTAAATAATACATACAACAAAATTATTTATCATACCTAAATGTTTTAACATTAAATTTTATAACTATTTTATTCCAGACTGTGGAAATGATGACAGTATCCTATTTAGGATACAGTCTGCCCTACAAGGGCTCTCTATGGACAATGGGTTCCCTCCTGTTCCTGCAAGGGTTGGGAGGGATGTGTTATGGGTTCCTGCTTTCAGTGCTATGTTCCAGTTACACTTTATCCTTCTTCATAGCTACGGGCAGCTTTTATCCCATGATTTTGTTATGTGGTATGTATTTTTTATAGATTATTATTTACCTAGATGTGCGGTAGCAAAGAGTCAGTATAAACAAATTTATATCGGCTTACCTTTTAAAATCTAGTAATAAACCATTTTTTTTAATTAGGATGTTTGTTTATTATTCTTTGACAAATCAGCTAGGATTATCTATAGTTTTTATAAATTATAATAATTTAACGATAAAAACTAAAAAAATTATTCAGACGGACTTGACTGGCTTACCTGTGATACGATTTATTCCCTCGCAATTATATACGGGCTATATGCAAAATTGCAATTGGTGGTGTAGTGGCTAGTATGTATGTACGTGCAATACGCAAATCTAAAGGTCCTGTCGGGTTCGAGTCCCGGATCGGGCTAATACTATCACTGGTCGTGTCTCGTGTCGTCCCACCGGAGTATGAGAGTGACGGGGATGGACTTGTGTCTAAACTGTAATATAAGATCCAATATCGAACCCACTACCTATGTTTTATATAAGAAAACTAATAATATACAACATACATTATAATTAATAAACCATTCTCTGTCCCTAGGGATTATTTGGCCATTAGAAGGCATGCCATCAGCCTTGAGGCTGTTCTCATTCGTGCTGCCTTTCACCCTGCCCGCTATATCTCTCCGGGGGCTGATGGAGAAGGGCTCCACAATCCTCGACCCTGAGGTGTATAATGGATTCATCGTCACATTAGCCTGGATAATTGGTGCCCTAGCCCTTTGCTTCTTACGACTAAAGTACAAAAAGACGTAAGTTCACTTCTCCATCTTCTCCATATGTAAGTTATTCCATTTGTTTGTCTGTGACATCGATCAAAAAAGTACTAGATACACAATCCCATGTAAAAGTTCTCTTAAAACTGTCACTGATTGTGTTTAGGTAATTATCCTAGTTGAAATAAATATACAACGATGTAAATTGAACCATAATGCAATGCTTAAAGTTATTTTCACAAAAACTAAAATTTAAAAGCGCGCTCAGATGTTCAAATGAGCGCTCATTCGGTGAGGACATTTGTCGCTGATTGTGTATCTAGTACATTTTTGATCGATGGTCTGTGAATTGTATTTGAGCTGTTATGGGTATATGGATATGTTTTTGTTTAAACATGTTTTGATGATGATAATGGTATTTAATAGTAAAATGTTTAGGAATATTCGTGTTGAGTTTCTTGAAATTTATTGGTTTTGGATGTTATTAATATGATGATACTTAACTGGTAATTACTAATAGATGCCTACTATTTAGTATGGTATTCTAAAAATAGTTTGTGATTGAGAAATGGGTGCTGATATCTTTTTGTTATGTTTATAATTTTCAATGTAACGTGATTTAATATTCTTCTCCATAAGAATATGCATCCATATTTATGGTGAAGAATAATTTAATGAGAATTTAATATTAGTACCATTCAGTACTTTCTTATATCTACTTAGGTTTAATTAAACCCTTTTAATTTTCTCCATTTTTCTCCAAATTATTATTAGTTAAGATTATTTAGTACCTTTCAAAGAAACTATACATGGTCTAGAAAAAAATGTAAGATCTAATAAATATTCTCGTTTCAATAATATCCCTTTAATGTCAACGGACAAACAGACAAATGTAGGTTATTATGTTATTATTAAAATAATTCACGGGTTAAGTAACTTTGATTGTGTCGAGTGATTGGATTGTGTGAAATTAGAATCTGTCCAAAAGAAAAATGTATAGAATATATCTCTTATAATTTTTGTATAACGGTGAAAGCTCTTGTTATAATAAATACTTATTGTATTGTTTTCTAAGTGATTTTAGGTATCTAAGCTTTCATAGTCATGGACAATGTCTTTTGATGTAAAACTGGGTGTTTACCATGTTTTTTTCTACTTAATTTTACGTAACTCCTTTTGAAAGGCTTATAATATGCGGGGCTGTATTGCTAGGGTCAGTCTTTTGAAAATATGTATGGTGAGGATGAAAAATCTGTCGATTTCTATCAATTGCATTGCATTTTACATTTGAAAAAATTGGTAATTATTATTTATTTATACTATAATATTGTAAAGCTACTGAACCAATTTACATGAAATTTGGTAAGAAGATAGTTTGAGACCCTGGGAAGGACATAGGATACTTTTTATCCCAGAAATCATCCCTTAAGGGTGTGAAAATGGGGATGAGAGTTTGTATGGGGGAATCAAAGTGGTGTTAAAAGACAACCTCGCTCTGCCCTGATCAAAGGCTAGGGCCGGCACTTCATGGGTAACAATATGGGGTCCATAAAAGTAAGGGAAAATATGGTAAACAGCCCCTTTTATCTCGTACAGTTTTAGGTGTTTTTTACATATGAAGTGATATGTGGGTTTTATGCGAGTGTGTTTTTGTTGATTTTTATATTAACGTCATCTCAGTTTATTATAAATATTAATTATTTAACAGCTTTATTTGTTTAAACTATAAATCAATTATTTAAATTAAAAAAAGCTTTTAGATTATTTTTCATTTAATGTCTAAATATTATGATTTAAAAATTATTATTTTAAATAAATTAATAGATGGCGTTAATATATAAAAGTGGTGGTGATAAATATGGAGCTTAGCTCTCGGGTAGCTGTGCAATGTACAATGTACAACTTGCAATGTTCAATGTACATTATACAATATAACGTGCAATGTACAATTTATTACGTACAATGTGCAAATAATTATTTTTGAAGTGAAAACTTCTATAGGCAGGTTTGGATGGGGAGTAAATTCATGTAAGTCGTCATCGACATGGTCACGTGACGTGTTAACGCTAACACTCAGAGTGCCGATAGATGTCGAAACCAGATATATGTGAACAGTTTTAATTAACAAATTTTAATTTAAGATCAAACAATTAATTTGAATATCCAAAAATAACAACTGTTTGTTTATAGTTTTAAGTTTTCACTTCTGTCGGCAGTCCTCATGACTGTTTTTTTTTTTGTAATTCTTTATTCACATTATACAATTTGCAATGTGCAATTTACAAAGTATTGCGTACAATGTACATAGAGTAGTGTGTTGATGTCACAGCATTAATAGTCGTAAGTTTGGTTAAGTACCAATTGTGATTTATACTTAGTTTGTTTGTACGGCTTTTTGTAAAATAAAGTGTTATTTCGAAATCATTTCATGTTTTTTTTATGTTGATATTACTTATCCTTTAGCATTTGATGCAAGATATATAAATTTTATTTGTTATTAATATATCCTTAATATTTTCATTAAGGTTGATTTTCCCTTACATACAAAAGTTTGTATTGATCATGTAAATGCTTCTGTGATCAAGTTGGTACTATAAACAAAGAACGCAAGATTACTCTTTAAAACTTTAACTGCCCCATCGGTATAGACTCTAGTAGATATCTTGTGTCAATGCAGCTCATAAGGTCCTCGGTTCGAGTCTCGCGTCTATCAAAAACAGTTATGGATTTGTTCTTACAAAAATGATAAATGATTTAAAAGTATTATATAAGAACAGAATTTCATTAAATATTTCATAATAATATAAGTAAAATAACAAAAAAACTGTATAAAATTCAGTTTTTACGTCCTGGTTGAATGAAAATTACCTGAATTTAGACCTTTCTTCAGTACGAGGAGGATCAGGCCATAATCCACCACGCTAGCCTAGTACAGGTTGGCGGACTTCACTTCACGACAAAACTTGCTAGGTTCTCTCAGACATGCAGGTTTCCTCACGATATTTTCCTTCGCCGTTAAGACAAGTGGTAATCATGTTGAAAATAATTCCACAAGAAAATATAATAGGTGCGAGACCCGGGATTTGAACTTGCTTCACTCGGTTTCCCAAGCGAGCGCGTTACCACTGGGATACCACTGCCTCCATATAGTTTATGTATGTACTAAATTTTATCCAAATCTGCCCAGCAATTTCAGCATCAAGTCAGTAACAAACATACACATTTACAATATATAACTTTAATATGGTCGTTACAAAATAAACCTTAAAATACGCTTCTTAATTAAATCTTTTTATTATTATTCCAACACACATTACTTATCTGTTTAATTTTTTACAAATCAATTTCTTAAACATAAAACTTAAGAACAGGGTATAGGCGTGTATATTAGTTTTTTTCTACTTCTATATAAAATAATTAAATAAAAAACAATAATAGGAATATAGATAATGTACAGTCGATAAATATTACACAAATATACGTATAATTTAGCTAATTCGCGTACATAAAAATCCTAATTAAACGTCATTTTTATCACTCATCACATTTACATCTTGCTTTTCAACCTTTTTACCTAACGCTATTTGAATTTCGCTAAACGTTTTCCCTTTTGTTTCTGGCAAGAAAATGGCGATTATAATAAAAATCAAAACACACATAAAGCAGAAAAACCAGTATATGGTCGAGGGACCCAAAGCTGTGGTCATCAGTGCGAAATATTTAGTCGTTACAAATGCCATGAAGATAGAGATTGCTATACATATAGTGACTCCTGTAGCTCGGGATTGACCATCAAACAACTCAGACGGAATGATCCATACAAGAGTTCCAATTCCTAGGAAAAAAATTCAATTAAAAGTTATTTTACATTTTATTTAACGTACATATTATATTACATCTATACATATAACAAAATTGTAACTTAGCCGATTCTGTACATTAAATATTTTTTGGAAAATCTTATTGAAATGACATTATTATCGATACAAAGACCGAATCTATAGTTTTTAAAATTTTTGTCTGTCTGTCTATCTGTTACCACATCACAGAAAACCACTGGAGGAATTTTGATGAAATTTGGTATGGTGATAGCTGGTTATCCGGATCAACATATAGGATACTTTTTACCGCGGGAAAATGTCTCATTTCTGATAAGAAATTCAAAATCTGCAATATAAGAGTATACTAATATGTAAAACCTAAGAATTTCGTTTTTGATCATCTGAACGCGGGCGGAGCCGTGGGCAATGCTAGTAATGGAATTCAAAAATAAACTTACCGATATTATAAAATATAATGATAGTGACCATCGACCCAACCGGCAGATAGTTCATAAGCCCAGCTACCACATAGCTTTCATCTTCAGTTATCTTGAAAAATGTACCGAGCCCCAACTAACAAAAACAAAACTAATTAAAAATAATACCTAGGTAGGTTAATTTATTCTCAAATTATGAAATTAACGATTATAATTGCAACTACATATAATATACAATTTTTCAAATTCTTTGTATGTAAATACAGAAAAGAGTTATCTGTTATTTTAAAGTCCTTTATTTATGAGGATCATAAATTAAAAAAAAAACAATTTGAATTACTTTACTCTTTAAAAAAGTCGGACGGTACGAAAATAGCTAATGTATACAAATAAATAAAATTGTAGTGTCTGTTTGTAATGTCAAAATAAAAGCTTTTTACTAAATAGGTACATAAAATAAATACAGTAGTTATAAGAATAACACAATTTTTATAATTTTTGTCTGTTTGTCTATCTGCGTGTTCTGGCTAATCTCCGTAACGGCGGTTGGACTGATTTTAACGGGACTTTCACGGACCGATAGCGGAGTTTATAAGGAGTAACTTAGGCTACTTTTATTTTAAAAAAGAATTAGAGTTCCGCTCAAAAAATTAAAACGTATCCAGGAACGCACCGAGCGAAGCGAGTGTAAGTCGCTACTCGCTAGTAATTGTAATAAAATAGGAAAATTTCAAATTCTGCCAAATAAAAATCGTATGGGAACAAGAATAACGTGAAATTGAATACAAATTTTACACTAGACAGGATCAAAATAAAATTCGTTAACGCATTACACCCTTACTAGTTGGTTTCGGGTACTTTGTGACCATATATGGGAACCTTTGGATCTATGAGTATGTATGTGGCATTAAGCACTTACCATCCCAATGAAAAACCCAATTAGCGACGACAGCAAAATAGTCCTCCTCCTAAACAAATTCATGATCAAAGTCGTCCCAACACACGCCAATATCTGAATAGCCCCTACAATAACAGAACCCACTTCCGACGGCAAACTTGTATTAGATGCTTCCATAATAGTTTGTAAATAAAAATTTACACAATTTATACCTATCGCTTGAGTCCCAACACTTAATAAGATGCTTAGTGATAAAGCCTTTAAAAAAGTTTTGTTTTTAAATAAAGCAGATTTGTCTAGTTTCTTCTTTTTTTCATCGCTGAAAATGACGTAGTCTTCCAGTTCTTGTTTTGCTTGTACATCGGTATTTCTGATCCTTTTTAGTATTCTCATAGCTTCAACAAGGCGACCTGTAAATGAATAACTAGCAGTATTAAATAATGTTACCTTGATAAAAATATTGGATTACTTTCGGTCACATTCTACAAAAATCTATGATCTGACATATAATCCGTAGGTATATTATATCTGTTATTCTTATGTTTCTATTCTCTAACTCTTCACAAATTTCAAAATTAAAATTCGATTCAGTAAAAGATTTATGCATTATTAGCGATTCACCCTCGCTTTGCTCAAATTCGTCCCTGGGTACATTTTGACGGTTAATATGGATATCTCACGGGAACCTTACATTTGTCCGGGATAAAAAGTAATTTATGTGCTATTTCAGACATACAAATAATCTATCTCTGTGCCAAATTTCATGCAGAGGGTCTGCATGAAATTCAGCATCTGAGATCTGCATTCAGCCGTTCTGTGGTGATTGAGTAACAAATATCCATCCACCCAAACTTTCGCATTTATAAAATTTATGAGATTTATTTGGGATGGGAAAATATATTTATTTTCATTTCAACGTATTTTCTCAAAAACATATCACCCAATGACCGAAAATGCGTTTTAGTTGTTTTTTACAAAAACCTAGTAACAGCGCGTTTATAAGACATCATGGCATTCCTTTGAGCTTTTCAATTTTTTTATGATTTTTTTAAAATGCACTACCTTTAGAATACATATGAAACGGTGTTTCCGGTAAAAACAATAAAGGCACAGTAGCGACAGCAAGGACGCCCGCGTACACGATGCTGAAAGTAGAATATGGCAAAAATGGGCCAACAGATAGACTAAATAATGTGCCTATTGATGAGAATAACTGAAGAATTGTACCGAGAGCGCCACGGTGGTCTTTCTGCAAAAGGAAAGAAATCATGTTATAAGCCATTCATTTGCTGCTTTACAAAACAGCTATCAAGTTATCATTTATAGCTTAAGTATAGTTCAGCAAGTAATTTGAAATTAAACGCTAGTTTGTTAATTTTATTTTAAAATGTTACCTATTGAGTCATAATAAATGGCTAGGAATCTTAATTAAATGTTCAGAAAGTATTATAGAAGAAAAAGTATATTTTTAACCCCCGACATAAACACACAAGTGTTAATTGTGCATGTGCTAGTGATGTAATGAATATTCGCATTCGCATTCGCAAATATTCGCATATTTTTTGACATACGCATTCGTATTCATATTCGCAAGAAACGATGCGCATGCTTGGCGAATGTATTTGACAAACAAAAAGGAAATTATATAAGGAATGAACGTTTATAGATCCCGTTTTGCTTTTTAGGTTTATACCTAATATGTCTTTTCTGAAAGACGAAATTTTTATATCTTTTCCTAAAAGCAGGTTTTAAAATTAATAATAACAATACTTACACTAGCTATCTCAGAGACGTATATTGGAACTACGATTAACAGGAAACTGTCGATAACATTCATCACAGCCCTACATAATATAAACATCCACACTTCATTGGCGAAGATTAGGAAAATCGCCATAAAGAACTTCGGTATCGTCACTAGTAAAATGCAGTTCTTTCTGCCTATTGTGTCGATGAACATCCCTCCGAAGACGCAGGCTGAAAATGTTATAAGATTTTGAGATATATGTACATATTACATTTATAATGAACAACCTGCTTATTAGCGATATTTTTATTTAAGCCCAATTCGACCAACATTTTGGATTTAAATGTTTTATGCCGGACACACTCGCTGTCTAAGCCTGAATATTTCATAACAAATTCCAACAAAAGTTTTTAACTTAAAGAAAAATTGCGAAAAACACTTGTAATGATTAATAAAAAAATTGACCTAAAAAAACACAAAAAGTAGAAAATAACTGATTAGTAGTTTTCATTTACTATAGATACCTAATCATATATTTTCAAAGTCGATGTGCTTTGTGTATCAGCTAACACTGACTTCCACCTTTTTTTTTCAAATTTAAACGGGACCAATTATTTATTATATATTAAATCATCTAAAAGAAATTTGCATTAAAAACTCACTGACTGATGCTAACAAATAGCCTGATGAAACTATCCAGGAGCCCTCCTCCACTGTAATGGGTCTTGAAAGAGGAGTGTCGATGGGATTTTGCAATTTTACAAGAGATGGCGATGGCCACGCTATACTCATGCCACTTGTTAGAATAGCTAAATTTACTGAAAATAATGATAGCGCTTGAATATTTTCTTTATATACATACTAGCAGAACCCGCGGCTTCGCTCGCGCTAAAACTACAAAAAGACTCTAAAATGGTAGGTTTCATACAAACTTTCATCCGCTATTTTACCCCCTTATGGGTTGAATTTCGGAAAATGCTAAAACACGTATTTAATTAATGATATTGAAAAGCATTTATACCAAGTTTCAAGTCATTCTGATCATAAATATTTTTTGGATTGTATTATAACGTGTTTTCCCGTGGGAAAGAGATAATTTCCCGCGGTAATAAGTCTATAGCCTATGTCAGTCCTCCAACTATCTCTACACAAAAAAATACGTCAATCCACCAAGCCTTTTCGAAGTGAAAGAAAAACAAACAAACAAACAAACAAACAATCAAACAAACACACTTTCACATTTATAATATTAGTGTGGATGTATGTATATAGTTCTTTTGTACGTGTATAAATAAGTATTATATAGTTCTTTTGTGTGTTCTGAACTCCTAAACGGCTGGACCTATTTTAATTAAGAAGAAAGTTTGTGTATGAGTGGATGTAGGTCTCTGGATAGTTTAGATTCAAAACTAAACCCGGTAGGTCACGGTGCCGTCGGGTTCCAGGGTTTTTTTATTTTTATTATACACACGTACAGAAGATTTATAATAGTTATATATTTCTCCATTCTAATTTTTTACTATTTTCATTATGCCTACTGTAATAGTTTTGTAACTCTATGGTAAATTCTTTCACTTCACAATTTGACGGTTTCACTTCATTAATTACAATCTACCGAAAAATAATGCGTTAAATTGTAAGCACTATATTATGGTTCACAATCTTTCGACAGTTTACAATCTCGCTAGATAGATTATAATCTAACGGTATTTACAATTTTACGGTGATATACAGAATCAAATAATTATTATACAATTATACATATAAATCTAATTTTCAAAAAGAGAGATGTTATAAAACGCGTGTATCTGCGTATCTGTGTCTGTCTATGGCTTCGTAGTGCCCAAACGGATGAACCGATTTTAAGTTTGTTTTGTTTGAAAAGTGATTTGATCGGGAATGTTCTTTGCTATAAATCAAGAAAATTTGTTCATCCTATCAGCTCTTTTTTAAACGGTAAAAGGATATAAGCAACTTTCAAAGATCTAAACGATCCAAAACATATACCGTTACTTCAAGGACATGCAAATGATATGGTAACCTTGGACTGATGCTGCAGCTTCATCTGGAATCTGCATGATACTTTCACAAGAGTAAAGACTCTTTGCTAAAATACTGCAGAGATGTCATGTTTAGGCTCGTTGAATGTTTTTTAAATTTTTGTATTCAGCTTTGTATTCAGCTCTTTTTAACGTCCCACTGCAGGGCACGGGCCTCTCTTCAATACGGGGGGATCAGGCCATAGTCCACCACGCTGGCCAAGTGCGGGTTGGCGAACTTCACATGTCTTTCGAAAACTTGCTAAGTTCTCTAAGACATGCAGGTTTCCTCACGATGTTTTCCTTCACCGTTAAGACAAGTGGTAATCATGTAGGAAATGATTCACACATGAAAATATCAGAGGTGCGAGACCCGGGATTTGAACCCGCTTCACTCGGTTTCCCACGCGAGCGCGTTACCGCTGGGCCACCACTGCCTCTACCACTTTAAATTTTTAATAATTTTTTTTTGTATATAAGTTAAATTACATCATAATTACTTAAAGCGTAACAGTCATTTACAGAAATTTTCTTTGTCGCTCAAATATAACGTTTCCAAGCAGTTGTAATCATATTGACTTTGAATATTTCTTTCTCACTAGATTTAAGTAGTGCCGTATCTTAATTTCTTGATTGTAAAAGATTTAATATAACAATCTTTAGTAAATAAACGACCAAACTTATCTTTATACTTTCTTAGATTTCCGCGAATATTTGCAATTTTAAATGTAGCTACGTTTTCGAGTTTTGTCGTGGTTTTATGTTTTTTTTTTGGAAGAATTATAATAACAATTTAGTTATTATTTCAACAACAATTAAAATATAATATTTAATATTCAATTATTTAACTAATTAAAATTAATATTCAGTGGCATTTGTTTATTTCTTTGAAATTATTATAGGAGTATAATTTTGTGGGTTGATCCCGTCTGTAATATTTAAGTTTGTACCTATGTATAGGTAATAACGTTTGAGACGTTGAAAGTCTCTTATCTATCGATTTTAAGAGATATTGACGAACTTTAGTGTTAGTAATAAAAAAAAACATTTTTTAGTATATAGATAGGTAAATTCTCTTTTTTATAAGTTTTCCTCAAATTTTCAATAACAATTATGATCGAATTTTGACCACTGGACCCTAGTTTAACATTAATACATATATACTCAAAAGTTAAGCGAATGGTCACAAAATACAAACGAAAATGGTAGCTTATATTACTCAAAGTTTCACACTCCTATTTTGCTTTCAATATATATATAATACATTGTTTAAATAGCCATTTTTATAACAATCAACTTACCCTCGAGCTTGAATTGTTTAGGAATGTATTAAAAACAAACTTCCAAAGAAAAAAATTTTTTTAGCCAGAAACCTTCGCAGGCGTATACAGAATGACCCATCAAAGTTTCATCACAAACGAATCAATGGTTTAGGAACGCATATATGCGTTCCTCTAGGACAAACATACGAACATTCATTTTTATTTACATATATAATGGCCATAACAATTACTGTCAAAGTGATTGTCAAAGTGTTTGGGTTCCATGAATTTTTTATCTTTTTCTATGATATAATATAGAATTTATAAAGTAACTAGCATTGCCCGCGGCTCCGCCCGCGTACTGATGACCAAAACCAAATTCTTAGGATTTACATATTAGTATAATCTTACATTGCATTTTTTGTATTTTTTCTCAAAAATGAGATATTTTCCCGCGGTAAAAAGTATCCTATATATCTTTTATATCCTATTTATTTTTACCGTGAGAGATTATCTCCTTCCCACGGTAAAACACATAATACAACCCAAAAAAATATTTATGATCAGAACTACTTGAAACTTGGTATTAATGCTCTTCAGTACAATTAAATAAATACGTGTTTTAGCATTTTTCGAAATTCATCCCATAAGGGGGTAAAATAGGGGATGAAAGTTTGTATTAAACCTACCTTTTTCCAATTTTTTTATAGTTTTGGCGCGAACGAAGCCGCGGGTTCTGCTAGTATGCTATATTTATACATTTATGATATGGTCATTAGCCCACTTTCTTTATACACTTTTTCTGTTGGAGTAAGGTAGTTATAGTGGAAAAGTAGTTTTATGATTTTGTTTTGTTTTATTTGCAAAGCTTTTAGGTTGGTATTCAAGTTACGTAAATTGTGCCCAAATATCACGCCTATATGTTACAAAACAAAAAACATTGAACATTAAAAAAGTATCTCACCTGTCACAACCAGTGCGTACTGTCGGATTAACGGAGATAAAAGGTTCATTTTATTGAAAAATACACTACTAGAATCTACGAAATAAAATAATTGAATTGAATTCTTGGAAAATAAGAACTGTTAACTAAAAACTACTTTCGAAAGAATCGCTATAAAACTTTATTTTTTAATTCTCTTCATTTTATCTTAGTAGCAGATAGCACAGTGTGCTTTGTTTAAAGAAATGATGCGTTGTAACAATGACGGCTTGATTTACACAAAGTGAGGGATATTTGGCTATTTATTTACATCTGTACATATTATCTACTGATTATTCTGAGTGTTGCCCGTGGCTTTGCTCTCTTATTTGCTACCATAATTGATATTATAAATAAAAAATTAGCTTCTTCTAGCGAGTGCGGAGTTTCCTTCACTGCGTAAAGGATCAAAGCCGAAGTCCACGAAGCTGACCAAATTAAAAAATATAAATATTTTCTTACTCTCTTATCTATACCTAATTGTTGCAGTTATATGAATGAAAATGATTTCTTTCATATAACTGCAACAATATGATATATAAATTTATATACAGTTTGATTTTAAAGCAACCAGCTCAGTTTTCGGCTAGGACTTTTTTATCAATAAAAAAATAGTTAAATATATATAAAAAATAATTAGTTTTCAACCGCGATAAACAAGTTATAAAAAGAAAGAGCACCATCTGTGAATATGCACTACAAAGTTACAAACCCATTTTATCAGATTGCAATTTTTTCAATAATCAGAGCGATGCGAGAGGAAGCCGCTAGTAGTCTATATATTTTTCTTAACTATTAAATAACAATTATTGCGCCAACTTTAAATTCGTATTATAAGTTATTTTCGTACATCATTTAGGTACTATTTTTTCAATAAATCTTTATATTCTAAAATCTTTCACTCATACAATCAGTAAACATTTTATTATAATCTTAATTTTTAGCTACATATTTTAACCGTTTCGAAGGTTATCTTGAACAAACATAAGTTAGACAGACCAATTTTAAAAAAATGTTTTATTATAGTAATAGTAATAATAAGTAGTATTATTATTATTCGCATATTATACAATACATATATGAAAAATATAAGAAAGTATTATTCAATCTATCTGCTCAGTAATACTTTCTTAGATTTACGCGAATATTTGACATTTTAAATAAAACTATCGTTTGGGATTACTTTGCGGCTTTATTCAGATTTTTGGTTCCCGATGCGATTTCGAATTATTTACAGCAATCATGGTCACGGGGTAGGTTAAGGTTTTAGACGTCTCAAAGGCGTACTCCTTGTTACAGACACACAGACAGCATATAACGCCTTTGAGACGTCTAAAACCTTAAATGAAAATTAAAGGAACCAAAAATGAGATTAAATCCGCGAAATAAATCGAATAGATAGTTTAATTTAAGATAGACTCAATATTATACAAAGCCCTGTAGTTAATACATAAAAAAAAATAAAAAAAAACATACGTTTTTTAGGTATTTATTTATTTCGTCTATTCTTAACAATATATTGTTAAAATATAATATTAAATATCTATATATTAGATTACCTACACTCTACATGGAGCCATAGGTCACGTGATATTCATAAGAAAAGAAAATGTTGACAGAACAAGGCAACATGATCACTTTATGTCGTCCCTTACCGCATTAACCTTTCTTTTTCTAAGCGCTTGCTCATCTTAATATAAAATATGGCAAGCAAAGCGCCAAATCTGTCACTTGCTATAGTATTTTGTGTCGAATTGAATAATTAGATTGCTTATTTTACCAACCAATCTCCTTCGTCTCTTCTCTATTCTACGTAACATTGGAGAAGTAATCTGTGCTCAACTAGCATGCTTTGAAGCCATTAACAAGATAATTGAATTCAATATTGACTGTCACATCACGTCATCGAAGTGGAGTGTGCTCAGAGTGGGTGATAGTTATCAACGTTTTTTTTATACCCAAGCGACATATCGTGGGCTCACTATTACAAAGTTCTATGTTACAATTTTAGTACTTATTTAGTTATTACAGCTACAAGGTTCTATGTGCCATTAGCTACAGTTTTGCAAAAACAAACTACTAGATAGCGGCACTATAACTACAAAATATTCAATTTTACATAGTTCTATGTTGTCTTTTTACGATAACAAAATAACGAAGTTCTATGTAAAAATTACTAAACTTCATTAAAATTAACGTAGAACTTGTAATAGTAAGCCAGATATACCTATCGACATCGATTTGGACCAAATGCTCATTATCTGCGAACTCGTATAGATAAAAAAATTAGAAAAAATCTTGGGCGGGAGCATCCATAATCACTATTGATATCTTTCCATTCTTTAATTTCCAAATTAACGTCAAAGTATTATTTTAAACTGTCAAAAAAGGTTTGGCCCACATTTTGCTAAAAAAAAGTGAAATGTAGATAATCTAAAGTTCTTACAACATTTATAACTTCTCATATTATAAACAGTATTTTATGAAATAAACTTTGTGATGCAATATATCTGATCTCGTTTTGACACATGACCGAACCAAATTCCACCACGCTCAATCATTTAAAGCCGTAGAATTACCTGTTTTATACATAATCACAGAATAACTAAAACATCAAATGTCTAAAACTTATCGAATCATACATTATTTTTGCTATTCGCTTCGATAGCATCCATGTTGACTTTTGCACCTAATGCTATTTGAATTTCGCTGAACGATTTACCCTTTGTTTCTGGCAAGAAAATGGCGATTAGTATAAAAAGTAAAACTGACATTAAGCTGAAAAACCAATAAGTAGGAGCAGGACCCAATGCTGAGGTCATGAAGGCGAAATATTTAGTGGTTATGAATATTAAAATGGTAGCAGATGTAAGGCTGGTGGATACTCCTACTGCTCTTGATGGTCCTTCGAACAATTCAGATATTACAATCCACATCAGTGACCCAATTCCTGTGAAAGAAATTCAATCTTAGTAATTATACTTATTATGTTATACTTGTATATAAAGCTTTATTATACTAATCTATACATATAAAAAAATTGTAACTAAGCCGAATCTGTAGATTAAATATTTTTTGGAAAATCTTATTGAAATGGACATTATTATTGATACAGAGGCCGAATCTATAGTTTTTAGAATTTTTGTCTTTCTGTTTGTACTATGCTTATGCTATGTTTATGTATGCTGTTACCGCATCACAGAAAAACTACAGGAGGGATTTTGATGAAATTTGGTACGGTGATAGCTGGTTATCCGGGTCAACATATAGGAAACTTTTTACCGCGGGGAAATATCTCATTTCTGAGAAAATATACAAGAACTGCATTGTAAGAGGTATACTAATATGTAAAACCTAAGAATTTGGTTTTTGATTGAATTGAGCCGCGGGCAATGCTAGTTACTTATAAATGAGTATATTACACTAATATAAAAAGCCGAATAGTTTGTTTGTTCGTTCACGTTCATTCATTTGTTCGCTCGTGTGTTTGTTTGAATGCGTTAATCTCTGTATCTATAGTTCCTATTTGAAATATCTTTTTTGAGTTTTATAGCTTACTAGCGAAAAACGAAAATATTATCTATCTCACGAGAACCGTACATTTTTCTGGGATAAAAAGTAGCCTATGTGCTATTCCAGACTATAATCTATCTCTGTGACAAATTTCACCTATACACGTTCAGCCGTTCTGGCGTAATTGAGTAACAAACATTCAAAAACGTCCATCCAAACTTTCGCATTTATAATACTAGTAAGATTAATTGAAACTCATACATATAGATAGATATCATACATCACACTACGACCTGCGAGAGCGGAATAGTTCCAAAAAATTAAAGGAAGCAGGCGAAGCCGCGTGAGAACGGTAGTAATATATAAAATTGAACTTATGTTTAACTGTTTGTAAAAATGAATTTCTTTACAATCCAACCGATTACGATGAAATTTTGTACAGTAGTTGTAGAAGTACGCCTACGAAAAAATTTAACGCATACATATAGTTTTCTACCATAAATGATTTCTACCATGGTTGATTTTACGTGATCACTTATTTAAAATACGTGACATTTGCATATAAAATTTTGCTAAACTGGTATATTTATTTGAAAACTATTAAGACGTGCTCTAAATTACACGTACTATGTATTATTATATCGTATGTTTTATTAAAAATAGAATAAGAATATTTTTATCATTTATCAATGTTTCTCTAACAGTGGAAAATTGTCTTAACAAGAGTATTGAAATGAATCAAATTCACAAAATATGATTTGCCTATCTCATGCCCGATTTCACCAACAACCCATAAGCTACCATACCTACGCATGGGATCCTTAGCTTAAAAGTCCCCTAAACTAGCCCCTAAGTTTCCAAGCCTAGATGAAATAAAAGAGTGTAACCCTAAGAAAATCCTGCAGTTCTTAACATCAGCAGGGTTTAGTGGTTCACTCTAGTACAAAATGGCGGCGATCACAATAGACCAGAAATGGTCGCAGTGATATAAAAAAGCCGCCAAACAGAAATAAAAAAAAAAAAAAAAAAAAACTAGCCCCTAAATTAAATTTCGTTATACGATCGTCTTTAAGCCCATATTTCGAGCACCTAAATTTAGGGGGCCTTTTAATATTTAGGTGACCCCTAACTGTCGGTGAAACAGAAACTGTCCCCTAACAGCCCCTTAACTATGCTTAGGGGATCCCTTAAACTTAGGTGACGTTGGTGAAATCGAGCATCAATCTCAGACCTACGAAGTGAGTCAAAGAACGTAATTAAACGCATTATTTAACAAAACAATTCCACGCAGACACGACTTGTACAATAATTATATATTAAATGTAACATAATAACTTATAACGATATAATATATACAAATTATACATATATAATTACTAGCTTCTGCCCGAGCCTTCGCTCGCGCTAAAACTATAAAAAAAATAATTTTATTGAACAGTATTAATACCATGTTTCAAGTAATTCTGATCATAAATATAATTTTGGATTGTATTATAACGTGTTGTCCCGTGGAAATTAGATAATCTCCTGCGGTAAAATGTAGCCTATGTCACTCTCCAGCCCTTCAACTATCTCCACACAAAAAATCACACCAATCCGCCAAGCCGTTTCGACGTGAAAGAAAGACAAACAAACAAACAAACAAACAAACAAACAAACAAACAAACACACTTTCTCATTTATAACATTAGTATGGATATGGATATGTTATCAGCAGTACGGAAGATGTACTGCGCCGACCCCAAGTAATTGGGAAATGGGCAGGGAGATGATGATAATTATATGTTAACGTAGTCTAAGAATGATTTAGTTTCAAAATTCCTCGCATTTTTCTTATCCATAATTCTCTACAATGTCAAACTAACTTTGTCTGTTACATTTTTACGTTTAAGCCGCTGACCAAATTTAGATAATATTGCAAGGATATAGACTGCATCCTGATCGAACATAGGCTACCCTTGAACCCTGCCCTTATCGCGCAAGTAAAGCCGCGGGCAAAAAAAAACCACATGCATTTATTAATATTAAAACTAGAACTAAGAATTGGTGTCTACAAGTTAATTTATTATTAGGTTTTTTTCCTATAATAGACACTAAATCTGTCTTTCTAGCATAATAATGTCATTAGTAAATTTTAGAAGTAGCCTGAGGCTAACATAATGAAGCTTACCAACACTAAAGCAGAAAACGATGAGGATCAATGACACAATCGGCAAGTAGTTCATAAAACCAGTTATTTCATAGCCTTCACTTCCACTTATCTGGAAAAATGTTCCAAGCCCCATCTGGACAGAAATAGAAATGAATATATATTTGTATATAAACTCTTTTATACGAATAACAAAATTCTGAGTATATGTATGTATGTATGTATCTATATATATAATGGTATAGTCTATTTTATACTAAAGAAAGCCTCTGAACCTCTAGTGTAAATATAGTTTCTCAATAACACAATAGCAATAACTGTGTCAGTCTACGATAATAGGTTGTAATTGATAGTTTATAATATTCTCACGTCAATAATATTTATGTTTTGTAATAGTTTTAAATTGGACGTAATTATAGTGTTAAAATAATATCTTTATTTGTAATTTATAGTTATCTTACATTAGAGTATTTGCTCGCAATAGAAAATAGGAACTCTTGGATATTTTCTTTTAAACTTTATTTATAAGGCTGTAAGCATAAGAGAGGGATGTATTAATTAAAAAAAAAGAATTAAAAAAATTACGGTGGTATGTTAAGTTTTTAGATTTGAATTAAAGTAGTAATCTATACCTATATATCTATACACATAATAAAATTGTAACTAAGCCGAATCTATACATTAAATATTTTTGTTGGAAAATCTTATTGAAATAGTCATTATTATAACAGCACTGGACAAATTTTAATGAAATTTGGTATGATGATAGCTGGTTATCCAGGTCAACATTTAGGATACTTTTTACTGCGAGAAAATATTTCATCACTGAGAAATCTATACTAATTGTAAAAAGAGAGTGAGTCGCTAGTAAAAATATTAAATTCTAAGCGATACACCTCATTTACATAAAAATTTATTTTATATTTATCATGAGAATATTGACACATCTTGTTTAATGAATTCAAACTGATCAAACTGTCTAATTTTAGTGTATTTATTAATTTAACTAGTGGACGAAAAAATGTAGTGAATAGTGGTCGAAATTCGTCCCCAATCATTATTTACATATTTATATAAAAAATTAACTGTTTCTAAATTGCATTTATTGCTAAAGCTCGCCAATAGCGAGTTGGCGGACTTTCGAAAACATGCTAATTTCTTGTCGGCATGCAAGTTTCTTCATGACATTTGCTTTCACCGTAAGGCAAGAAGTAATCATGGTAAAAATTATTCGCACATGAAAATATCAGAGGTGCGAGGTCCAGAAGTTTAACCCGGATCACTTGGTTTAACTAACTCTCTACAAAAAGTACTTAAGTGATACTTTCTTAGATTTACGTGAATATTTATATATAACCTTAGTCTCTCCCGTGACCATGATTGCTGTAAAGCATTCGAAACATCGGGAACCAAAAATTAAAATAAATCCGCGAAATAATCCGAAAATATAGTTTTATTTAATCTCTCCACGACCGCGGACACGCCGGCGTGTCAGTTAACAATAGATTTCTTAGAATTTTAGTTAATTTCTTACAAATTTACCTGGAGGAGTTAAAAAAAAATAAAAAATACACTTACCATCCCGAGGAAGAAACCAACAAGAGTCGTCAACATGATGGTCCTTCTTCCAAATTTTCTCATAATCAGCGTCGCACACACGCTTGCCAACAACTGAATTACTCCTATAATAACGGAAGCTATTTCTGATGGTACACTGGTTTTAGTCGACTCAAGAATTGTTTGTAAGTAATAATTAATCGCGTTTGAACCGATTAATTGACTCCCAGTACCTATCAAAAAACCTAAACCCAATGCTTTTAAGAACGTTTTATTTCTAAACAAATCAGCTTTATCTAGTTTCTTCTCTGTTTTTTTACTAGACGCAATATATTCTTCTAACTCTTCTTTTGCTAGTGCTTGCGAACCTCGTATTACTGTTAGTACTCTTATCGCTTCTTCTGTATAACCTGGAATATTTAAATAATATAAAGTCTAGGTCATATAATATTTTGAATTTATTTAAGTTACAGAGGGTTTCGGGGGCGATAAATCGATCTAGATTAGTTTTATGTCTGGGAAAACGCGTGTTTTTGAATTTTCATGCGGTTTTCTTTCTCATTATTCCAGGCAAAATATGGTCGCTAATTGCGCATAAGCATAGTGGTGGTCGCATCGGCCAAGGCGCTAGTTTGATAACCAAAGGTGTCTGAGTTCGTATCCCGGTCGGAAACAAAGTTTTTACTTTTGTTTTTTTTTTTTGTATTTTTCCAAATTTTTAGTTTGTTTTTTTACTGGTTATTTTTTGCCAAAAACTCCGAGCGAAGCTCGGTCGCTCAGGTACTAATCAACCTAAATGAATACTAAAAAAACCGTGCACAAACTAAAATAAAATTACATCGTCCACGTAAACAAAAATTTTCTAAAAAAATGTTCATAAAATGTAAACAACTGAGCCAAACTATGTTAATTTTTTATGGGACCAAATGGCAACTATCCCGCATCAAACTAAAGAAGAATCACGTAAATCGGATCATAAATCTCAACGAAATCGGTGTACTTACATTAAAAAAAAATCGAATTGAGAACCTCCTCCTTTTTGAAGTCGGTTAAAAATATAGTTTAAAATTAAGAAAAAATCAATAATATACCTTTTGAATACAAATGAAAGGGCGTGTCCGGCAAGAACAGTATAGGCACGGTCAGGGCGGCTATGACGATTGCAAGAACAATGCTAAAGGTGCTGTAAGAGAGGAACGGACCGACTGACAGTGTGAATACCACGCCCAGAGATGAGAAAAATTGAAGCAATGTGCCTAAAGAGCCGCGATGTTCTTTCTGTAAATGAAATAAAAAAAAAAAAAAAATATGTTGGGGCATTACCACACAGCACCATCTAGTTCCATAGTAAGCTGCGAGTGGTAAGAGCTAAGAGCGAATGGATACCAGATAGTTGATACACTACACGTATATAACTTTAAATACATAATACATATTACAAATATAAACAGTAAACACCCATTACGTTTGGAGTACAAACATTCGTGCTCCTTACTTAAATGAATGCCTCCAGCGAGACTCGAAATCGCGACCACTACAAACTGAGCCAAACGTATCGTGAATATAATCACATAATATCACGCCTATCCGTTATTCCGTTTCGACGTTAAAGAATGACAAACAAACAAACAAACACGCTTTCACATTTATAAAATTAGTATGGATTAAGCTAACCATGCTTTTTGGTTCGCCTCGCCTAAATGCGTCAATAAACAATATTGGCTCTAAAAATACTTTCTACGATAATCCAAATATAATCTAATTATTTATTTTTAAAGACAAGTGAAAAGTTAGATTGTGTCATTTTGTGACGAGACATAAGTAAAATGATAATGCCAAGGTAAAAATTAGCAATTAACATTTCTATATCTATGCAAATTGCAATAAATTATAGAACAACTCAACAACTCAAATTATAAATGGGTATATTTTTTTATATAATATAGACTTGTATAAGTAGTTCTTTATTGTGTAATCGAAATTTATTTTAAAATATACCCAAAAATAACATTAATAATTGAATTAATAGTATAAAAAATGTTTTAAAACACAACAAAATCGAAAGTGCATAATATTTAACATCATTCAGACAAAGAAAGACAATAGCATTCCCAAGGAGGGTTGACGTCAGGCAGGCGGCCGGTCTTAAAACTTTTGCCAAATCCTATCAGCAGTACACTGAAGATGTACTGCGCCGACCCCAAGTGATTTGGGAAATGGGCAGGGAGAAGAGAGAGAGACTTGTATAAGTACTTTAATGAATTTTATAAAGTATATAATTAAACCAGCAAGATATTCAACAGTTATTTTTTAAATATTGAGTTACCGTATCTACACAGTAGGTATTTATCTGTAAATTGAAGTGCCTGTAATGTCAAAATAACAGCTTTTTACTAAATGCTAAAAGTGTAAGAAAAACACAAATTTCAATTTTTTGTCAGTCTGTCTGTCTGTTCGTTCAGGCTAATTCCCGAAACGGCTGAACTGATTTGATGGGACTTTCACTGGTAGATAGCTAATGTTATAAGGTGTTTAAAGATTTAAAGATTTTTATTGAACATAATAACATACATATTAAAAACAGTTAGATCGTAAGTAGCTGCATTAGTATAAACTGTGTCGCAGCTATTTACGCCCACCTCGGGACAATAAGGACAGTTATATTCTAAGGTTAGTACAAATATATTATTAGGGTGTGTTAGCAGAGTTAGTTACTATTATTATGATGTTAATTTAGTTTAAGCTTATATTTATAATTTATACGAATCCTTAGGATATTAAGATAGAACAATCAGGTTGGTAAGTTTTATAGTAGCGTAAGTACTACACTATATAATATATACCTGATACATTTACGTACAAAGCTTATAAATAACAAGTCACAAAATTATCTTATAAATATACAATTAACTTATGTTTATTAGTTATAATAAACAAGTGATTCAGTCTATTTATAATTGAGGTTTTGCAAAAACTTAGTTACTTTATTTTTACATTGCCAGTAAGACAGGATGGATGTTTATCAATGCATTCAATTTGTTGTAGATTTTAGCCGAGAGATAGTCATAATGATTTCTAACAATGTAACTTATTTTTATTTTAGAAATAGAATTAGGGTTTCGCTCAAAAAAATTAAAACGTAACCCTAGGTACGCACCCGAGCGAAGCAAAGCGCTAGTTATAAATATAATATATTATATTGTTAGGATACTTGAGCAAAAATACAGTTAAATATGTCATCGCGTCTACTATAAATAGCTTAGGTGACTGATCTCTGGAACTACTGATCCGAACTGAAAATTCTGTCAATATGAAAAAAATGGCTCAGTTTGTAGTGACCCTACTTGCTGTGTGAGCGGTCGCGGGTTCTAGTCACACTTGTGTGATGACACAAATTTGTGTGATGAGCATGAATGTTTGTACTCCAGTCATGTGTGTTTATATTTATAATATGTATGTATTTAAAGTAACATATATGTTGTGTATCAACTACCTGGTATCCATAATCCCGAATGCTTATAAATTGGCTGGACACTTACATTAGCCATCTCAGAAGCGTAAATCGGGACTGTGATTAATGTTAAAGTATCGACCACCGTCATGATTATTCTGCATAATATAATCATCCAAATTTCATTGGCAAAGATTAGCGCAATGGCCCCACACAATTTTGGTATTGTCAATAACAAAATACAGGTGTTCCTGCCTATTCGGTCCATTGTCATCCCTACGATGATGTTGACTGAAAATAAAAAAAAATATGGACTTCCACTATAACAGTTCTTACTTTCCATTCTTCACACCAAATGACTCTTGTAAACTCTTTTAAAATATAGATATAGCAAAAAGACACAAAATACAATAAAGAAATCTTACATGGTTCGCCTTAAATTATAATTATTTAATAATTTTTTTCTAATTTTTTTTAGTTTACGAATCCTGTACTAATATATGTATCTACCTATATAAACAATTTTTTTTCGTATGTTTGTCCTTTATACGTCCCTAAATCCGATTGCCTTCAAAGGTTCCTTTTATGCGCACCAGAGCGAAGTGAGGGTTTGTCTGTCTTTGTTTTATTTTTATATTTCTTATATTATTTAATTTGTTTTAGCTTTAATTCATCAATAAAAAAAATTGAAACAGTATTTTTTAATATAATAATAATTATCCAATTTATTATTATTACGTCATATTATAGGATATAGATATTATTTATTACGTCATATTATAGGTCTGATATTGTTAAAATAACATAATTACATGTCCTATTAAAAGCTAAGATAATCTCACGCCCCTCGCTCCGCGCTGCTTGGGTTCGTCCCTACTTACGTTTTAGTGTACATTTATTAGAGATGAGATAGTTTCCTGTTGTAAAAAAGTGAGTAAAAATTATCCTTTATAATCAACCGGATAGTCAGCTATCGCCATATCAAATTTCATCAAAATCCGTCCAGTGGTTTTCTCGTGATGCGTTCCGAGACAGACAGACAGAGAACAAGTTTTAAAACTATATATTCGGCCTCTGAATCGACAATTAATAATGACTATTTCAATAAGATTTTCAAAAAAGTATTTAACGTGTAGATTCTACTCATAATTTTATTAGGTATAGGTATGTATAGATGATGATATGATGGAAAAACAAATTATTTATACATATAAGTTTAAACAAAAACCAAATTATAAAAAACTTACTAAATGGTCCGATCAAAAAACCTCCAGCAACAACCCATGAACCCTCCTCGTCTGTGATAGGTCTCGATAGAGGCGTCTCGAACTCATTCTGCAACTTTACTAGCGATGGTGACGCCCAAACAAGACTCATGCCAGTCGTTAGAACTGCTAGATTCACTGTAGACAATGGCGACTCAATTATTAACTTATTCTTTATAATCACACTATTATTATACATATGAAAATTTGCATGGATGTGTGTATATTTGGTACTCCTTTGCGCTGCAATTTGACTGATTTGAATGAAATTTAGTATACTTAAGCTAACCCGCGCTTGGCCAGCGTGCTGCCTGATCTCGTCTCGTCATCTCGAGACTCGTGCCCAGCAGTGGGACGTTAAAAAATAGTCAATATACAAGTTAGCGTTAGAAGTATAATTTATCTAATGCTGATCGTTTGTTAGAAGAAAAATATTTAAATATTTATTATTAAAAATCGTTTTTGCATAAAATCACTAAAGACATAATAAGAGATGGTAATATAAGAAGCTTGGGTAAGTCGCTAGAACTAGAAATAATATATGATGATGAAAAATGAAAATTACTTTATTTAGTACCAAAATGTCTATTTATAAAACACCCTTGACAAATTATCTTAAGAAAAGTTTTTGCTTTGTTACCTATATATTCAGCTCTACTTTTTCAACCGACTTCAAAAAGGAGGAGGTTCTCAATTCGACTGTTTTTTTTTTTGTTTTTTTTTTTTTTTTATGTTTGTTACCTCAGAACTCCGTCATTTATTGACCGATTTGGACAATTTTTATGTTGTTTGAAAGTGTATACTTCCAGATTGGTCCCATTTAAATTTCAAAAAAAAATACCACCCCTAAGGGTGGAAAAATAGCTAATGATGAATTTAACCTACTTCTTATTGTCATATTGACTTGAAACTTTGCAAGTGTTTCTATTTCCATTGATAGTACAGTGGTTCGGTATTGTTGACCTGATCTGATGGTAAGGCCAGAAGGTGGATAGGTGGAAGTCTTCAACGGCTAATAGTAGATACTTTGAGTTTGGGCTTATTTTGTTTGATTTGACAAGCCTAACACGTTAGAATTCTTACTTTGCTACTACTGTCTACACTAAAAAGGGAAAAATAAAAACTTTTTAACAAAAAAATAAAAACCGACTTCAAACAAAAGCACTAAAAAGTAAAAAATAACTGATTGGTAGTTTTCATTTACTATACATACCTAATTAAATATTTTCGAAGTCGGTGTGCTTTGGCTAAGTAATTAAAGCCTACCTATTAAATACATACCTAATCGAATATTTTCGAAATCGTTTGCCAGCCCATACAAAGCAAAGCACACCGACTTCGAAAATATTTGATTAGGTATGTATAGTAAATGAAAACTACCAATCAGTTATTTTTTACTTTTTAGTGCTTTTGTTTGAAGTCGGTTTTTATTTTTTTGTTAAAAAGTTTTTATAAGTGTAAAAATCGATAAATATATTACAAAATTTAAAAACTCCGACTGCTTAGAACGATCCAATCAAAGGTAAGCAAAACTTGTCGAAGTATAATGCCTAGAAATATATATCTACACGTAGTAAACTACACAACTAATGCCCAATTTCACCAACATCACCTAAGTTTAAGGGATCCCCTAAGCATGGTAATGGGGCTGTTAGGGGACAGTTTCTGTTTCACCGACAGTTAGGGGTCACCTAAATGTTAAAAGGCCCCCTAAATTTAGGTGCTCGAAATACAATACAATCGTAAAACAAAATTCAATCTAGGGGCTAGTTTAGGGAAACTTTTAAGCTAGGGATCCTATACGTAGGTGGTAGCTTATGGGATGTTGGTGAAATCGGGCATAAGACTTGTAGTAAACTATACAACACGCATAACCTTCTTTATAGCACGCCGCAGTTAGATCGTATATTAACCGAATAGTTTCAAGGATTAACTTATTCAAACAAACAAAGAAAATGAGTGGGTGTAAACCTTTACGCGCGGTTGTAGTAAAACTTCTTTAGGGCTGTGGCAGATACCAGTTAAAACAAATCTAAATAAAAATATTTAAAAACAATATATAATAATAAATAAAAAAGTAATAAATATTCATTTTTATAAGTAATAATAATGATTATAAAATTATTATTAATAAATATATAATTTTATAAATAATAAGTATTATAAAATACTTATTAGTTATTTATTATAATAAAGAAAAAAAAACGATAATTATATACCGAAGATTATAGATACTTTATTTTACCGCTGGTGATTATCTAATTCCCACGGGAAAACACCTTATAATACAATCCAAAAAATGTCATGACCAGAATTACTTGAAACTTGGTATTAATGCTTTTCAATTAATTTAAATAAATACGGCTTTACCATTTTTTTAAATTCATCCTTTAACAGGGAAAATATGGGATGAAAGTTTGTATGAAGGTTTCATCCTTTTTAGAGTTTTTTTTTTTTGTAGTTTTAGAGAGAGCGAAGCCGCGGGTTTTGCTAGTATAATAACAATTTTTTTTAAAGTTGACGTGAAATTTCTAATTAAGTCTCCTCAGTTTCAATGAGATTTGATGTTATTTTAACTTTTAGATTTATTTTTATGAATTTCGGTGTGCAAATCAGACTCGTACTGATTTTATAAAAGGTGTAATATATTTATTTATTATACTTATATATTATAATATTTTATTTATATTTTGTAAATAATATATTTATTTACTGTCAAAGAAATTTATGTAGTTTTGGATTAATACTCTTATTTTATAGAATACAAGTAATAAACATTAAGTTTAATTTTTATAAAACAAAAAAAAAATCAAACAACCGGTTTTCATATTTTTTTAAACTATTAATTTATAATTACAGTTAGTTCTCATTTACTTTAATTGGCAATCTATTTTTTTTCTGATGAAATCTTGTACTGAAGGTCAGTTATGGGATCCGGAAAAAACCAAAAACGTTTGTGAGCCGAGTTTTTTTGACAATCCATAAAAAAAATTTGATTACTATAATTATGTTTTTTTATTATGTTTTATTGGCACATTTAAAAGTTATTACCAAGAAGAATTTAATTACTTCTATATTTTTTAGTACTGCTCAGTTTAATTCGCGTTAGTTAAGGGAGACCGGGGTATAAGCTATATAAGACTTTGTTCTTTTATAAATATTTGTAGACTAAAATATGTAAAAAATTGCAAAATTCATACTGTATTTAACTAAAAAAAATAAGTTACTTTATCAGTTTTTAAGCGTGATAAAAGAAACTCATAAAAAGTATAATCATCATGTATGTATACGCACTACAAACCCATTACTTAATCGTTAATTTTTCGTAAAATTGCGTGATTTACGTGTGCATTACATATTTCGTTTTCCTTCACTTAGAATTTTTTTTTTAAATCATAATATACCTTTTTTGGATATATATTTATATCTTTTGATAATTTAACACAACTTCAATATCGAATTGATATGATACATGTAACATCATTAACATTTATTTGGACAAATTTTTCTTTGGCGCTATTTTAATGCGGTGTACCATGTAGGTAGGTTTCTTCTGGTACTTCTCTGATAGCAAAGTGAACCGTGGAAGCAACTCCTTAGTATTTGTGGTCTGCCTCGATAGACCAGCCGTCGCGGCGCCGTGATAAAATGCACATGCATCCTGCGACACTCCACTATGACGAAGGAGGTCCCATTGGGTTTTAGTGGGTAGTTCTGGATTTTCTAGCTAGCGATTCTACGAAACCACCTGTATGTACTGATGACATGCGTAAATGTATTTCCCAACATTAAGCTCTCCTGCTTTAACGAAACATAGTTTTCAATTAAATCAACTATCTGATTGTAATAATTTGTTATATTACCTTAATTTTTTCGTATATATGTACATATTATATTATACTTATCCTTCAAATGGAAGTATAGAAGTTAACTATAGATGATTGATGCATATATTAAAATATATTTTCATTTTTAAGGCAAATATATGACTTATATCAATAATATTCCTATGATGAGAATTATATCATATGATAAGATTATGTATTTAAAAAGATTTCTTATATTATTGATTTTTTTTACATAAATTGATTACTAAATGTTAGTTGAGAAGTACTGAGTTGTGTAAAGAGACAAATTATTATTACCTATTATAATCTATACATATAATAAAATTGTAACTAAGTCGAATCTGTACATTAAATATTTTTTGGAAAATCTCATTGATATAAACGTTATTATCGATACAGAGGCTAAATCTATAGTTTTTAGAATTTTTGTCTGTCTGTCTGTCTGTTACCGCATCACAGAAAAACCACTGGAGGGATTTTGATGAAATTTGGTATGGTGATAGCTGATTATCCAAGTCAACATATAGGATACTTTTACCGTGGGAAAATGTCTCATTTCTGAGAAAAAATACGAAAACTGCAATGTAAGAGTATACTAATATGTAAAACATAAGAATGTGGTTTTTGGTAATCTGAACGGGGCGGAGCTGCGGGCAATGCTAGTTTACCTATATGGTCTAAGTAATACATTTTCTCCTGTACTTTGCTCTGTTTTATTGTTAATATCTCGCTTGTCTATAATCATGTTCTTATCATTCTGTCTGTGTGTAAAATGTCTGTAATACATTTCTGCTTTCAAGTTTGGCAAGTTGTCATCATTGCTTTATCTATAGTCGGCACTTGGCATCATCGATCAAAAAAGTACGTTTTTAATCGATAGTTGGCATATCATTTTGGAACAAAAATGTATGTATCTTTCTAGTTTCTGATTGCGGCTACTTCCATATCATTCAATCTATCAATTATGATCGATTTACTGTTGGAGGATGGTCCTCGGATGAGTACACAAGATAATAACGATGTACACATTTTGTTCAAAAGTACTCATTATCTTTCAACACTTCGATGAAATTTGGTATGGTGATAGTTGGCTATCCGGGTCAAAATATAGGATACTTTTTACCGCAAAAAATATCTGATTTGTAAGAAAAAATACAAAACATGCAATGTAAGAGTATATTAATATTTAAAACCTAAGAATTTGGTTTTTGGTCATCTGAACGCGGGCGGAGTCGCGGGCAATGCTAGTCGCTTATAAGCAACAAGTTTTACCAACTTTGAACTTGTAGCATTTTCTACATAAGCAAATAAAAAATTGAAACTGCATACTGAGTTTCTCAGCAGCATAAAAAGCATTTACTGTTTAAATATAATAAAAAAAGCTTAAGTAGTGCTTACTAAGTCTAATACTGGTAAGAAAATGAAGTAAAAAGAACAGAAAATGAAAGAAAACCGCAAAAGGAAAGAAAAACAAATATAGTCGCTTATCCACGTTTGAAATGGTCCCATTATTATTTTATCAATATGTGACCATGAACTTCAAAGATACTTACCGAATTTTATGTTATTTATGATCATAATTCGTGCTATTTTATTTCAATGTAACATCTAACATGCCTTTTATTAATAGAATGTTTTAATTAAATTGTATTGCAAAATGGTTCATGGTTTTTTAGATCTTATAAACTTTAGTAAATTATTATCTATGGAGCGCCAATCAAAATATACTCCATTTAAATATTTTAGCAATTATAGCTTAAGCACCCGTTTTGATTTGTAAAATTGTTTATCGGAAAAGATATAAAATTGGGTTTTTCAGATAATACTCCAATATAGATAAACGTAATATAATGTACTACGTTTAGTATATTATATTACGTAACGTATAATACAACATATATAAATATTAATTATATACAAGAATTTCTCATTTAACATTATAAGATAATACATATATTCCAGATGATGACAGATTAATTACTAATGCCACGTAGAATCTAAAAGACAAACGGACAAGGGAGTTTGACTGGTAAAATAAAATTACCTATTATAGTATAAAATAAAAAAATAATGCAGAATATGCGTGATTTTGAAACATGGTGTGCCCTATATCCCCATTATCATACCTACTCACAAAGCTTATTCTGGAAATACTATATTAAGTTACCTAAGCAATGTTGGCAACCCCATCTATAGATGACATTTACGGTAGATAAAGCTACGTCAAATGAAAAGGTCAAATATGTATGTTTAAGAATTAAGCACAGAAGAGTTTTATCTTCCGCGTATTTGCCTACAATGCAGAATTCTCTTGTAGGTCCTTTAAAAAGTTTTAAAAATGAAATGATCCGAAGTAATCTTAGTACTATTGATTATAATATATTATTACTTTAATTCTCTCGTCATCTCGTGGGCCACTTTCCCCGGCATCACCCACTTGACTTACACTCTCATTTAATTTAAAAAATGTAAAATTTGTCAAAATATACTTAAATAGACAAAAGTTTATTTATAGTATTAAATGAGCAATTCTTGAATGCATGCAAGGCATGCAATCAGTTAAAACAATATAGAGGCAACTTGATCTACTGTTAAGTCTATTTACTATTCTAAAGGTGCAACATGTTTCATTGGATATAGAATACAAATACCTACTCAATATTGTCTTCAGTTATTTAGTGCTGAAAAATTATATAAAACATCATTTATAAAACCTTTTTTATGTTACGTTTTAACTTTTAGTATAGATTTCTCGGTTTTCTTTTTTCATTCATTTTGTTTTTTCTACTACTTCTACTTTTCTACTTTTGTATTTATAGCTTTAGTTCTCTTTCAAGGGGCAAGATAGCACAATACTGGCTGTGGCTTAACATTTTTTTCTTTATTATAATAAAATCCTTAAGCTATTTTTAATGATTAACATTTATGTAATTGTATAAAATCTTATAAAAACTCTATAAAAGTAGATTTTTACTAGACCTACAACTTTTGTAAAATTTTAGAAATTTTTTCGATAGGATGTCACAGTAAACCGGAAATTGAAAAAAAAACATTTTTTAACGGTTTGCATCCCTCCATTTTTCCCCCGAAAAATGGACAGCTAGCTGGACAGCGAGGGAATTTTACGGATTTTTGTTCCTTTTATACTTGCTAACGTTTTAAAGCCATAAAACTTCAGGTTTTAAATTTTTTTTCTCTTAAAAACAAACGGATTCCCATTGGTCTAAAAGCATAAAACTATTTCTCTTAGTAGCGGCTTACCCTCGCTTCGCTCGGGTGCGTTCTTCTATGCAGTAGGTACGTTTTGAATAGATATAAATAGTTATTGCGAGTGTACCTTAGAAAGAAAACCTCATGCTATTGCAGACTTTTCTGTATCTAGTTTATTTAGTAGTTAGTAAATCAATTTTCTAGTACATTCTTTTAAGGCTTAGCCAGCGGTAGCCATGTAAATTTATAAGGACGACTCGATAGAACCCGTTATTGTGTTTTCAAGTGGGAATAAAGATTTTCCTGTAGTATAAAGCATCCTTAACCCGAGTAATAAGTTATCACTACAAAAAATTTGGTTAAAATCAGTTCAGTACTGTTTGAGTGAAACACACAAACAGACAAACAGACTTACAGACAAAAATTTTGTTTTGGGTTCTATAATCTGGCCACTATACGTTACACAGTTACAGTCATTGTTTTTAAAAAATATTCCATGTACAGATTTTGCTAAGTTACTGTTTTATTATATGTATATTTCAGACTATGTTCTGCTAGTTCACTTAAAAGACGATTTAACATTGTCATAAATGTCATGTTATTCTGTACTCTGTAGATACTTACCTAATAATTAATACCTTACGATAGTGTTGTGACAATTTAAAATTCAAGCGTATCAGAATTTTACATTTAGGTACCTACCTATTGTATTGTTTATTGATATTCAATTTAATTAATATACGAATATGATATCTATAATCAACAATAAAATTAGAAGTGTTTGTCTATAAACACCTCACAGGACTACAAATAGCCATCCCGTATTGAATTAATTTTAGATCATACTAACTATAGGTACCCAAACACAAACCACCATATTGGCGATATATTATTTATCCAATTTCATTTAATAGTTCTTAGTCTTCCAATGTTTATTAAATTTACCTATTTTGTTACTTACAAACGGTTTCAAACTCTAATAGACGATATCGATTTTTTTTAAATCGGGAATTGTTTATAACGATTTTTTGTTTCACACACCTTTAAAAATACATACATATATCTGACGAATGAAACAAACTTAATAAGCGTTAAGGTCTACTATTTTATTTTATTTATTCAATTATTTTTTTAGACGTGCGGGAGGATCCTCTGGGGATAGGTAAGCATCCAATTTTGTGACATTAGTAGTACACAGACAGACGTCATTTTATATTTTACCTTTATTTATTGAGGAGAGGAAAGGGGATGAAAATCTGTAGGTATTTATATCCGTTTTTTTAAATATAGAAACTTGAATATTCATAAACATATTTTCAAAATACATATTATATACTGTGTTTTTTTTTTTAGTTTCTTAGTTCATGTGCAGTCTAGTTCCTGCTGGACTGGTTCCGTGATTATAGTTAAGTACCTACCTAAGATAGGTACTTTACTATGATAAAATTAATATCTAACTACCTATATGATAGCTGAACTCAGAACTAAAGTGACTGTCAAATAGTAAGTACTTAATAATTGTATATACATATTTTAAATAACTTAAAAGTGCTTTTCGATCATGTTTTTTGCTGCTAATACAACTACAAGTTTTCTATTAATAAGTTAGCATTACATATTTAATTTTATTATTTTTAATGGTTTGTAATTGTGTCGAACATTACCTTAATTTAAAAAACATGAATTGAAAAAAACTTGCCTGTCACAACCAGTCCATACTGTCGGATTACAGGGGTCAAATAAAATTTCATTTTGCTCGTCTTTTTGTTATTTCTTAATCACTTTTGTAATCTATTTTTTTTTGTAATCACTTTTATAATAAATGTAAAAAAATATGTCAATATTTATCTTAAACACAATTATTGTAAATAAGTACTTTTAATTTTTGGCCGTGGCACAAATAGCGATGTGCTTCGCATGGCGTTTAAATATGTTGTAACTACTGCAGCAAGGCATACACTGAGGCCAAGAAACATACAACATCTACAGCGTAATGAAAGTGTGATTGTACTATGGTTGTTATACACTTATTTTGGTTACGTTTATAAAATCACAATAAAATGACTAAAGGTATAGTAGATATTAGATATGAAAGTAATGTTTAACGAAATGCAAGTGCCATTCAGAATTATGCAATATCAATAAGTGTTAGATAAAAAACAGATAAATGTGTCGCTTATTATGTAAAAATTGCTAAAACAATTCGCATGTTCGAGTCTACTGTATATTTGATTTACTTATTTTATATTTATAAAACTCCGTTTCCGTATTTCATGTTTTCATAAAAAGATACAAAATGTAGAGATGAGATAGGTATTTAGTTAATACCTACATATTAAGGGGCTATTATTCCAATGAAATTTACAACGTCATCAAGGCATTCGAGGCGAACAGAAAATTTTGTCTCATCAGATATAACACTATTATAAAGCCGCAAAATTCGTTTATTTGTTATTATTTGTATTTATGGTGTGGAATAATTTTAAAAAATTGCTGAACTGATTCAAAAATTACTGATAGGGCTACACTATATCTTACTAACAGATGCTATTTTTATGCACACCAATTAGCGTCAAGTACAAAAGTTTCGCTCAGAGGGCTTAAATTCTTAATGTAGATTTATTCTAAACCCGAGATTATATTAGTTGCTAAATAAAAAAATACAATCATTATTAATACGATAAAGAATTTATTGTTTTACTGATAGATAATAAATTATCTATCTAAATAATTAAGCATTATAATCTGACGAATCATAATATTTATGGTACGTCTATACGTAAACATACCTATGTATGTTTTAACGGTTAGTATAGATATCTAAGAGATGAGATATTTTCCCACAGTAAAAAGTATCCTATATGTTGACCCGGATAACCAACTATCATCATACCAAATTTCTTCGGTCCCATACCAATACCGGTCTAGTGATTTTCACGTGATGAGGTCATAGACAGACAAAAATTCTAAAAAGTACTTATATATTCAGCCTCTGTATCGATAATAATGACTATTTCGATAAGACTTTCCAAAAAATGTGTAAATTATTACATGTAAGGATTATTTCTTCGTCTTTCTATACAGTTTAGCAGAGTTGTCCCACTAAAATTTCTATTTATTGTGATTGTAATGGCAAATGCAATAAGTACTAATTTAACTAAAAGTAGCAAAAGACAAAGAAGGACATGCTAAGCTTTTAATACTATAAACATTAAATCTAAAGTTAAACAACAACTTAGGAGCATCGATTACATTATTGCATTCTGGAACTTAAATTGTGACTGACAGAAAGTCTCAAAAACTACTTTTTCTCGACCCGGACCGGTATGGGCTTTTTTTTAACGTTGGGAAATGCATTTACGCACGAGGTGTGGGACTCACCGGCGTAATAAAGCCAGTATTACCCACTAAAACCAAACAAAACCTTCCCCCGTCTTAATGGGGCGTCGCAGGATCGCATACGCATTCAACTACGACGCCCCGACGGCAGGTCTGACGAAGCAGACCACAACAACCACAGGGATGCTCCAAAGTCCACTCTGCTATCAGAGAAGTACCAGGAGCAACCCGCATGGTACACCACCCTCCGAAGAGGGCCACCTCCCACCGCCCACCGAAGCGGGCCACCTTCTCGTGAGTTTCTTGGCTTCGCGCCCGGCTGGATTGCCGGACCGGTATGGGCTAGCAACTACACATCAACAAGTCAGTTATAGTACTTCAAATAATTGATTTGTCGGTATTTATAGAATAAGGTACTTTGTAGGTTTTTTTAGTGAAGATTAGAATGACTTACACACAGCTCGTAAGTGAGTTTTGATGGAAAAAATAACTCGTTTTTTATTTACAATAAAACTTATAATTTTTGCGGTTTGCTTTTTGTGTTTAATCAATTGGTAATTTTTTTGAATTCTTATAATACCTACTGTTGATTTATGACAATCTGCGTTTAGCACACTCCGTGTTCTCATTAATTAAATAGATTAGATTTTATATCGATTACATAGAGCATTTAGTAAAGTAGTTCTAAAAATTCAGAATTTTACGCAACACAGCAGTTAAAAACCAAATGAGTCTGGCCGCCAAAAATTGTACATTAACATTCGTGAATTAGTAACACTCAGTAACATACATGAATGATTGTAACACATGTAAACTTTGTTAAGTGTAGTGCACATGTTGTAGATGTGTGTCACATATCACAATATCAAGTTGTATTTTTGTTGAAATAATACAAAGGGTTCAAGTACACTTTAATGATGTCTTTACCTTAATAAAACAGAGTTTATCAAAAATTATTTATTTTGGAATGTAATACTTATTAAAAAAACTAAAATGCTGTTTGCTTCACAATTATAGATGCTGAATTTTCATTGGTTTTTGAGCCGAAGCCTTAGTGTTCTACTCACCATCATTCTAAACAACCTTCCCTATGGGACCAACTCTGTAACAATAAAAAAAACAGCTGATCCAGACAAAAGCTCAATTGTATAATACTTACTCAGTCGAAATGTAGACCGAGGTGTTGAACTTTTGTATGGAACAGCAAATTTTTTTTCACTGTATGAAGTTGGTCCTATAGTAAAAATTTGTTTAGAATAATGGGAAGAAAACCAGAGCTTCGACTCAAAAACTAATGAAAATTCAGCGTCTGAGTACAATTTATGTTTGTACCTACCTAAATTACACAAAATAAAAATGAGATCGTAAAAAATCACAGTAGCCAAAAAGTTTTTAGTTAGCAAAAGCAACAGCTGGTTTTTACTTAAATTACAGAATTAGTAAACTTCGTGATTTCATTTATTAAGAATAACAATATAATCAGACTTAACATTATAGACATACCTAACAATGCAATTTTACAAATAATCTACTGTATATAATTTCTCAATTTTACAAAGAGGTGTCATTTCACTATCCTTAATTATTGTACTTGTTGGGCTATCATTCATTAAACAGTCTGCGTTTTTTGCTTCGATTTTTTTAATACGTGCAACTAATGATTTTTGGTTTTTTATTAAACATGAACATTTTTTTTGAAGTGCTTTAATTTTTTTTGCCATAATACAAATTTTACTTTGATACTTTGTTTGTACAGTAGCCAAATATCTTTGATTTTTTTTTCTTTCTGCTAGTTGTGATTTATTATCACCTTCATTATTTTTTGTATTGTTTTCTGTAACATTTTCTTTTCGTTTATTTTTTTGTCTATTTTTTCGATCTCTCCATTGTTTTCGTAGGGTTTTCTTTTCAGTCTCCGTGCAGTCGCTAATATTTTTTCTTTCCTTATTCCGCGCAGCATTTTTAAGTTTAGCTTCTTCAAACTTTTCTGGGTTGTTTAATCGCATTCTCTCCCTGTATCGCTTTTGTTTTTCCGCCGGTGTTAAGGGCATCTAAAAAAATAATTAAATTTTTTGTCAGGTCAACAAGTCAGGGCCAATTTATTGTAATAAAATATAAGGAGTATGTTTTATTTTTATAACTAAAGGTTCAAACTTTTTATTTAATTATAAAGTATAACAAGATAGATTGGATTCATATTATTTCGAACTGCCTCAATTTCGTGAATTTACTAGATACCATGATAGAAAAAAATAAGTTGAAATTTAAGTTCTGTAGTGTACACTAACCTTAAGAACTGATCACGAATGTTACGTAACACATTATGTAACACACGATATCATTTGTTAATCAAAAATACTGTGTACATAAACTAAAAAACATGTACTCGGGTTTGTTTTGGAGTGAGAACATGGCGAATAAGTTTAATTGTTAACTGAATGATCTATCTATACACAGAGATTAAAATAATATTGTAAAATTACATGCTTACCGTACGTTTTCTTACTTAAAAACATTAAAAACTGCCGAGTCAAAAGTGCCGGCCACTTTAATCTTTACTTTCATACTTCACCACAGAAAACTTTTATTTGTTATCCATGCACATGCAGAAAACAAACTGAAAAAGGCGTTTTTTTTTACAGGGTGGCCAACTTGGAAATGGGATTGCCATATAAATAAAATATGTTTAAAGACTAGGCTAATTTCATTGTGATTTATAGTAACTTGCGTGAAGTATCATTCGGGAACAAAAATCGAGACACATACTTCAAAATTTATTTTACAATAAATTTTTACGTAACTCGTTATAAAAAATTACTACAGCTTCTAAAACTAACTGAAAAATTTAGCAATGCTAAAAATTAACACTTCAATTGGCAACTTAGCATATTTATCTGATTTCAAATTATAAGATGTTTTAGTGGGACACAAGATTTTTGTATGGATGCCAACATTAACCCTCTTAGAAAAAAAATAAAAAACAGCTGTTAAAGGAAACCGAAAGCAATTAAATTTTTCCATAATTATAAACGTGAAAATGTGTACTTGAAACTATTGAAGTATTTACAACATAACATTAAATGAAGTAGTGTATGAAAATATTTATTTTGTTTGAGAGTGACACTGATTTTTTTCCATATGTACAATTTTTGGCGACCATACTCAAATGTCGGCAACTTTGTTATTATGGTGTGTTGATATTAAATTCACTGCCTCGGTGGTGTAGTGGCTAGCATGTACGGCTGCACACCTGGAGGTCCTGGGTTCGAGTCCCGGGTCGGGCCGAGTTTAGTTATTGAGTCTTCCTGTATAGTAAGTCTCAGTAACAGCCCGGAGTTGGGAAGTTGGCGGTGTTTCACCCCCGTGCCTCGGAGAGCACGTAAAGCCGTCGGTCCTGCGCCGACACTCTCACCGGTCGTGTCGAGTGGTTGTCCCACCGGAGTATGAGAGTGATAGGAATAGAGAGTGCACTTGTGTCTGCGCGTACACTTGAGCACTATAATATCTCCTGCGCAGTTGGCTAGTCTCAATAAGATTGGTCGCCGTAGCCGGAATCAGCTAGGAGAAAATCATTAAATTCATCAATTAATAATATTATATAATTAATAATATTATATTATATTTAATACAAAATTCTGTAAAGCCCCACTTGTTCGACTTTTTTACGGTTCGATTAGTAATGCAAACTATCATCAAACAAGCTTAAAATTAAATTACCATTTGGCATACGGCGTATTATATTATCACGTCCAGGTAAATTTCTAAGAAATTAATTAAATTTCTAAGAAATCTATCGTTAACTGTAAGTTTAAGTTGTCGAGGAGGGAATAATGAGTAATTTCGTGAGCCTATTGGGTATTACTTACTATTGTAGTATATACGCTGTATATAAGTATATACGCTGAATTGCCAATTAAACAAAAAATTGGGTAATAAATTTTTTTTAAATCCTTTTTATTTTGTGGATAATAAACTATGACATTTAACACTTATAGTCACTATCTTTTTAAATGATCATTATCATATATTTTTCTTACAGTCCATCTAAAATATAGTTTTTTATTAAAAAGGAACTTTAAAAATTGTTGCTTTAAATTCATTACTATGTAATGTACTAATAAAAATGAAAGTAATCGTTACACGAAAAATTTAAATTAATTTTAATAAAACTCGATTTTATCATCGAATTCCTTTTTGTTTTGACTTTTGATTCGCTTGTCAAATGCCAAACTGTAGAAATGTCAAACTTGCACTACAAAAACATTAAACAGTTCAACTGTCGATTAAATTAATTTATTATTACATATTACTTGCATATTTATTTAATTATGGACGATGACGATTACTGGAATACTAGCGAGACCAAAGCCAAAGCATTTAGTTTTGACGATGATGTGGTAATGTACTAATTTTTCCATATTAAATTTGTAGTGCTACGAAATTCTTTCTTTTAAAGTTTTTTTTGCGGATATTTTCGCAGATTTATTTTGATTTTGGTTCCCGTCGTTTCAAATGCTTTACAGAAATCATGTTCACGGGAGAGACTTACGTTTTAGATGTCTGAAAGGTTTATACTAGTTACAGGCACTGTTACTGTCTGGACCAAAAATTAAAATAAATCCGCGAAAAATCCGAAAAGATAGTTTTATTTATAACGACAAATATTCGTACAATCTAAGAAAGTATTAATTTTTTTTTTATTATAATATTCTGTCATATTAGCTAGTCCTTAAGTTATCTTTTTCTGCTCTTAAAACATTAAATCTGATTTAAAAGTTTAATAGATGTTTATGTTATAATATAATTATTCTTGCAGCTGTCCCCTCAAGAAATTCTTGCAATTGGTCAAAAGTCATATTCTGGCCAAACAGACGACAGTGTATTCAATTCAACTTTAAATAATGCTAAATCTCAACTTTTACCACTATCCAGCTTGGTGCCTCCAAAAGTTTTAGATTTAAGTAAGCATTTTTAAAAACTTTTATATTTATTATTAAAAAAATATATTATAGGTAATAAAACTAAATATCACATAAAAAGGTAGTAAGAACTTCCATATAATAGTAGTATTATTCAATAAGCAATATAAAGTAGAATATACATTTAACATACTTCCTTCAGTTGTTTTAGCACAATCAGGTAAAGACCTCAAGGACAAACAGGACTCAGGACCAACAATAGCAATAACATTAAAAAGACTTATTTTGGGTAGAAGCTTCTCGCTTCAAATTCATCGAAGCTTAAAAAGCAAAACTGAATTGTTAGATGCTGCAATAGCTATTGGTGATGGAAATGCCATATTAACTGTAAGTAATTTTCTTAAAACAGACATGTCAATCATAAAGTAATAGCTGTGAAAATGAAATTTTATTATAAAATATTATAAATTATGGTAAATGGTAAATATAATCAGCCCCATGTCCCATGGCATAGTGGCAATGAGTTCCTCTATGAGTTTTAGTGAGCAGGAGTCTTAGTTTCTTGCCTGTTGACAGCCGGCAGAGACCCTGTGATGGGTTCTATGATTTAACTTTTTAATGTTTTAAGTTAAAATGTACCTTCTTTCACTTAAATTATTATATTAACAATTAAATCACAACAAAAAATCTATCAATAGAAATTTTTAAATTCTAAATTATTATTCTCTTTCCTTTTTCAGGTTGTGTTATTTTTAATACAAACTTTAAATAAAAAGTTAGTGTATGAAATTTTATCATCAAGAACTCTTGCTTTGAATCATTATATAAGCTTTCTGCAAACTGAAGGCAAAATTACAGAGCTCACTGATTTACTAACGTAAGTATTGACTTGTTTGTTATTTATGGTGAAAAATTTGTAACATTTCTATCTTCTATCCTGGAAGAATATATCCTTGTCACTTAAATTTACATTTTTTTTAAATATTGTGTATGTAACAATTTATAAATGTTTTTTTTATTTATGTATGTGGGGTTTTTTATATATTTATTATACAAATATATTTTAAAATATATTTTATATCACAATGTAATAATTTTGTTTTTTGTAGAATGTTAGGACGCAGTCCTGAAGCAGCTGTAAGTATATTTAGTACAAAATTTAGTTTACATAGATAATATGGTTAATTAAAAAGAAATTTATAACTAAATATTTTTTGTTATATTTATTGTATCACTGCATAAAAAGTAACAGTAATTGGTTCTTTTTTCAAGTTAAGAGTACTTTTTGTAATAAGTGTTTTTATGGTACTTTTAAAAATAATCTACACTAACAATAAAAATCTGAAATTGGAATTAAATTATAAAATTCAAAAATCAGAAACACTCATGTGTAATTCATGTGTAATTTTGTGTAATAAAGCTTACAGCTTAAAGAAAAAACGAACACACACTCAAAAAAAAATTTAGTTTTTATAATATTGTGTTTTTTCAGATGTACCAATTTCAATATATTGTCAAAACTCAAGGGAACAGTGTAGATGGATTGTTAAAGAAGTTAAACAACTTGATGTCAAATCATTTCAATCAGCCCGGCATTGACTCTCATCAGACAAAAATGCTCTCGGACTACATTAAATTACTAGGTTTGCTTTTCTTTATGTTTTGATAGTGCCAATGAGACAATACTTTTTAGAATGTATAAAATTTTATTACAAACACTCACTATTTGACAAAAAAAAATAAGATTTAGATTTAATTATTTTTATAAATAAAATATTTTATTTATATCTAATTTATGATTTTAATATCAATTTTAATTTTCAAGTACACTTAGTAGTTTAAATTGGTGTTTCTTATAATCATATGCAATACAGATTATAATATTGAGCTAAAAACAAATGTTTCTTACAGAATGGCAGAAATGTGCAAATAAATCGGATTTGAATAATAAATCGACACTACAATGCCTTTCTCACTGCTGCGTCAACCACTGGCAAGAGGGTGCGGGCAATATGATGTCACCGCTCACGCTTTGCCAACGACAGCAGGTTATTACTTCTCTCTAATTCTTTCTCTTTCTGTAATAAAATTATTTTTTTCTATTTATTTATTTTAGTTACTTTAGACAACAAAATGACATCGGTGTCAATGTCTTTTTTTTTAAATGGACTTCGAAAGTTTTAAAATGTATATAATATGTTTTAAATATGCATGCTTTTATTTGGCCTCTTTAATTTTAAAACTATATAAAAAGATTTTTTTTCATTTCCAGGTGCCTCCACTTCAATACGACTGGGTGGTGTTAAATGTACACGCGAATTCGAAGAAATGGGACATTGTGGAGTCTTTGTTTACAAAAAAGGTTGGTTTTTTTGTTTTTTTTTTCGTTTTTTTATTGGTATAAAATACGAATAAAAAAAGTACGATATTTGTACATGTCCTTTTTTTAACTATAAGTAAACTTTTTTTTTACTGTAAATAAATATTTTTTTTGTTACTTAACTTATTGTTTTGTTATAAACATACTTTTAATTTTTTATTTTAACTTTTAATTTAGCTAATCAAATGTTTAAAACCTATTCCTTACTAAGTGTTAGACTATTCATAATTATACAGAATTAAAAGAATATTTATAAAGGTACATATTAATTCCAGGACTGGTTCGGACGTACAACAGTATCATCTCATATTCCCATAGAAATATTACTATCGAGATTGAATTCTCTCTCTGCAAGTAAAACCTTGCTGGCGACATGTTTAAATAAACTACAAAATTCAGAACAAAGATTGGCACTGGCACAAAAATATAAGGTATTTTTTTATTAAAAAAAATGTAAAAAGTTTGCAGTCTTGAATATTGTAAGAATAATCGTGAATTAAAATGACAGCTTTAATACATTGAAATATAAAAATATAGACACATTTCCTAACAAATATATATCAAAAATTGAAAGTTCTAATTGTCCAAACCCAAATTCGAACTTACGCACACCACATATAGTATTTTTTTAAACGAAACAACGTGTGTATGTAAGTCATACTTCTTTGGCGTAACAAAACAAAAATAGCTAAAGATTTCATCCCGTGACATACGGGACTGTCTCTTTGTAAAAGGAATGCAGCTAACTTCATCATGTCGCTTTTTGGCTGTCGGTGTGCGCGCGCATCGTAAAAACTTTACTCTCATAATTTTTCCCAACGTGCCAAAAAAAGAACAACTTCAAAAGCTACGGTCTTGTTATTTTTAAAAACCAATTTTACTAAAACTTCTATTTTCTCAAAGTAAGTTTTTCTGGTTGGATCTATTTTGCATAACTACGTCCAATTGTGTATCTTGATTTTTTGTTCAATGCTTAAGTACAATACGATTTAAATGTTATAGGTACATTCAGTTGTTATAGAGACACTAGCTAAGCAAAAGGACCGTACTTCTTTAACAAATTATAAAATGACACTAAGCCCTCAATCTGAGGAGTATATTTTAGCAGATAACACTCTAAGAGACCATGTAAGTATGAAATTTAAATCCATACTAATATTATAAACTAGCAGAATTACAAAAAACCTCTTTGGCTTTATGTTATAATAGGTTCATTTTAATTTTTTTGAGCGGAGCTCTAATTCTTTTTCTAAAATAAAAGTAGCCTATGTTACTCCTTATAACATCAACTATCTGCTAGTGACAATACCGTTAAAATCGGTCCAGCCGATTCGGATGTTAGCCGGAACCAACAGGCAGACTTTTATTATTGGCAAGTTTATTTATCTGTATAGATTATCTATACAATAAAATAGAAGTGTTTGTTTGTAATGTCAAAATGACAGATTTTTCTAATTTCTATTGTAATAATAGTTTCTAATGTAACAATTAATATTATTTCTTTTCAGTCAATTAAATGGAAAAATTGAAAATAAACAAACAGCAAGATTCTAAGTTTTTAAACATTCTCATGACACAAGAGAAGAAAACAAAAGGCAGCAATTTAAACTAAAAAATATTTTTATGAATCAGAAGTTTGAAGTGAATGGAAACAATATATCAATTGAAATTAAACTTTAAACAAGTTTAAATATTCTCAATTGTGAATTTACTACGAAATATACATATTGGATAGATAAAAAAAATAGAGTCAAAGTCTAATGTCATTTGATGCTAAGAGCCTTCATTTGACGGCACGTTTGGCTCAGTTTGTAGTGACCCTACTTGCTGTTCCAGCGGTCGCGGGTTTAAGTCCCGCTGGGGGCATTCATTTGTGTGATGAGCATGAATGTTTGTACTCCAGTCATGGTTGTTTATATTTATAACATGCATGTATTAAAAGCTAAATAATATGTGTAGTGTATCAACTATCTGGTATCCATAACACAAGCCTCGTAGCTTACAATGGAACTAGATGGTGCTGTGTGTTAATGTCCCAACAAATTTACTTGGGAATACTACCTTGACAGTGATTAAGTTTGATAAAAAATTAAGTGTATCGAAGGATGGTTAAAAAATGCGCAAGATAAATAGAGAGATGAAACCCAATACGGACTCGAGCTCAAATCTAGGATCTCAAGATCTGCAGCCGTACATGCTAGCCACCAACAGTACCAGACCGAGAAGGGACTGTCATCGACACTATAGTGTGAATCAGCCCTAATATCTCCTGCAGTTGGCTAGTCTCTGTGAGATTGACCGCCGTGACCGACAGCGGTCATGAGATTGTTATACTCGCGGAGAGATATAAGACGCAAAATTCGCAACTTGTACATTATTTATTATCATTTCCATCATATCATCCTATTTATGACTCATATTACAATAAAAAACTAAAAAAATGGCAAAATCGGGCCAAAATCGGTGAGAAGTATATTATTATTATTTGTATCTCTTTCGATTTTACGGGCTCGAACGTAACCTATACGGAATAGCTCAGAGATCGTCTCTCGATAATGTGTAGGGACTGAAAAATGTGGAAAACTAAAAAGGGCTATGGAATGAAGTTATCATGGACTACACAAAACTTGGATATGGACTATTGGATGAGACTACGGGACGTCTGCCTTCTCAAGTCTCTGTTCTGTGGGCTTATTATTATTTATTTCTTATTGTTATGTGCAGTTTACTGACGGACTGAACACACTGACTATTTTCATGTTATGTCTCGTTAAATAAAGTTGATTTTCGTTTTATTACATTGTATTCATTATAGTGAATATTTTATTTAAATAATATATTTTTTTATTATAATTTAATGTGACTTTTTGATATGTTATTGTACTAATGAAAAGAGGATACCAGTTAAAACAATAAACGATGTTTATTGTATTTTTTTTGCGGTTTTATTTTTTTTAATTTAGTGTGAGTATAGACTATAGGATGTTTGTGAATCTTTCACGCCAGAACGGCTGAACGGATCTGGATAAAATTTGGCACAGAGATAGATTATAGTCTGGAATAACTAGAAATAAATGCAATATTGAGTCAGTTGTTTCTTAAAATAATTTTGTAATATTTATTAGTGAAAGTCATTACAATAAGTTTAATACACATTCCTACTTCTTAATGATTATAAAAATGTTTACGGCAAAATTATCAATTACAATTTTTCTTAGAAAATAAATATAATAATAGTACTCCAAGTAACTATTATTTTGCCTAAATTCCGAAGGCCATTAGTTTTCGGAAAACAAATTACTTCATTTAATATATAACTATGTGATGTGTATAAGTTCGAATTTGTTCGAAGACAACTAATATAATAAAACAGAAAAAAGTTCTTTGGCGTAACAAAACAAAAATAGCTAAAGATTTCATCTCGTATCTTTGTTTGTAAAAGCAGCTAACTTCATCATGTCAGTTTTTGGCTGTCGGCGTGCGCGCGCATCGTAAAAATTTTACCCTCAATTTTTTTCAAACGTCCCAAAATATGTAAGTATAACATCAAAAAGAAAATAAAACAGCCGAATTGGCAACCTCCTCGTTTTTAAAGTCGGTTGAAAAATTTGGATATATGTATGTTTAAAGTGACTTTAAAGAACGATAAGTAAAAGATTTAATTATATTGTGTATTGTTTGCTCACTTCGTCTCATATTACCTTTATCCAAGCGCTCAATAGCTTAGCACATGCCTATTATATATGTACTTATATACCTACTGGTCGGAAATGTACGTCATATTTTAGAGTATGTATACCAAAACTATTCGGCTTGCAAGACGCATGTGTTAAACCACGTCGAATAAAACATAAAATATCTTAATTTAAAAAAATATATATCTGTGTATAGTTATTATTAAAGTAATTATTAATTTATTCTATAAAAATGTGCTAAAAAGATATTAAATTTATTATAGTAAGTGCGAACTGGAAGATAATATGAAGTTGATTTTTACACCGTTGATTCGACAGTACGTGTTGGTTGTGACAGGCAAGTTATTTAATTATACTATTTTTTGACAATATTAGTGGTAACCCAGTGGTAAGGCGCTCGCTTGGGAAAGTGAGTGAAAGGGGTTCAAATCCCGGGTCTCGCACGTCTGATATTTTCATGTGCAAATTATTACCAATATGATCACCGTTTGTCTCACGGCAAAGCTTATGTAAAATAATGTAGAAAAAATGAATTCATTGTGTGACCTGTAAAATTCTTGTAATTTTATCAATAAAGTATCTCAATCTCTCAATCTCAAAGCAAAATATTGTGAGGAAACCTGCATGTCTGAGAGATCTCAGCAAGTTTTTGAAAGACATGTGCAGTACACCAACCCTCACTTGGCCAGCGTGGTGGGCTATGGCCTGATCCCCCTCATATTGAAGGGAGGTCTCTGTTTATTTTCCTAATGCACTGTCCAATCACTAAAATTATTATTCCAAACACGTGCACCAATAATGTGTAAATCAAAATGATTGTAAATTCCAATTAGTACATGCAATGTATGTATTAATTGCAATGTACATATCTGTAATAAATAATAATAAAACTTATAATTGAAATTGAAGATTCTCTCTGTAATTTAAAAATAACAAGCTATTGACCATAATATATAGAAAAGGTACTTGTGCGCTAATTATTTTTTCCGGACACGAGATAGGTTTATGATAATTATATATAATTATATATATATGTATATATAAATTAATTGATCGTTTAAATATTATACGTAAAAACTAATTAATTCAAGCATTTACACGCGTGAAATAATTGTTAGAACAAGTATTTTTAAATATAAATCATGAATAAAATTAGCAAATCAATGATCTTCGACATAATTAATGAAAGATACTTAAGATATATTTTAGCTTTTTTAAAATACAATACTTATTGAACAAAGGGGTCTTGTTTGAGAAAATAAGATAATTAAAATAAAAGTAGCCGCGCGAAGCTAAGGCAAATTATTAATATACTAGCGGCTCACCCTCGCTTTGCTCGGGTCCGCGTCTAGAAAAGCACAAACAGATCTATCCCACGGGAACCGTTCATTTTTCCGGGATGAAAAGTAACCTGTTGTTTAACCGGCAGTTTATGGTATCAGCATGCCAAATTTTATTAATTAGGTGCACAAGTTGTTGTGTACTAAGCTGTATAAGTTACTATAGTTTTTAACTATCTCACGGGAACTCTTTAATTTTTCGGAATGAAGAGCATCTAAGATTTTGCCCGGGGATATAAGGTACCGCCATGCAAAATGTCATTTAAATCGGTCCAAAACAATCGGAAATTAGCCCGTACAAACAGACAAACAGACGAACATACAAAGAAACAAAAAAATTAAAAAAAAACTGGTATTGTTTTATTTGTCTTCTTACACCCCTTGACCCTTGATTTTTTTCTATGTACAGACATTCGACCTCTACAGTTTTATTATAGTATAGAAGATGTACCTACCAACGGTTCACCCTCGCTTCGCTCGGATTTGCCTCTAGAAGAACAAAAACAAATCTATCCCACAGGAACGATATATTTTTCGGGATAAAAAGTAGCCTATGTGCTATTCCAAACTATAATCTATATGTGTCCCAAATGGAGTAAATTGAGTAACAAACATCCATCTAAACTTTCACATTTATAATGTTAGTAAGATTACAATGTTCCTGACAGCTTTCGGCTGCAGTGGCCAATCAATCATACTGTACCATCTGTGCAGGAGATACATGCACAAGACGTGTATGCGCCGACACAAACGCACTTTCTACTCCTTTCACTTTTAAAGTCCAGTTGGACGAAGTGTCGTAGAGAGTCGAGTGGAGAGTAGTTTTCGAAAGACTGTGCGTCTGTCAAACCCTATTTGGATAACGTGCTGCGTGGTAGACTATGGCTTAGCCCTCTTTACATTGAGACATTTGCAGTAGCAACGAGAAGTTCAAGGCCGCTGGGAATTATCTTCCCGTTTAAAAGGTTAAAAAGGACTTAAATTTAGTGTTAAGTACATCTTATAACATCAGCTATCTTCCAGTGAAAGTCCCGTGAAAATCAGTCCAGCCGTTTCGTAGATTAGCCGGAATAAGCAGACAGACAAAAATTAAAAAAATGTATTTTTATTATACGTACCTACCGTATATAATTTCATATGCAGTTAGCAAACAGACCGACAGACAGACAAAAAATATGATTTATAAGTACCGTAGGTATATAATTTCATATGCATTTAGTAAAAAGCTGTTATTTTGACATTACAAACAGACACTGCAATATTTTTATCTTTACCTATAGATGTATAGATTACCATGTACAATTACTAGATTAACGTTTAACCATTATGTAAATTGAAGCTGCAACAATGTAACAAAAGCTATGCAAATATTGCAAGAGGATTAAATGAAATTATCCAGATAAAGATAAAGAAAGGATAAATAAAAGACTAAGGTAATTTACATTCCATAAATTCCATATCTAATATTACATTTACTAATTTAGTATTTACCTATAGGTACCTAAGAAAAAAGAAAAATTATACACTTTCGAATTTTTTATAGTAGGTAGGTAAATGGTATGATTAAAATAGAACAGATTCAAAAACATTAATTAAAAAATAATGATGAACATTTACAGCAAATTTGGCTATTTTAACAACCGGTATGAGTCTTGCTTGGCCATCACCCTCGATGGTAAAGTTGCGGAATGCTGCCGAGACTCCCCTGCCAAGTCCTATCACAGATGAAGAGGGGTCATGGGTCGTTGCTGGGGGTTTTATAATTGCAGTATTTAGTAAGTCTTCAACATCTTATTTCATATAGATCTATCTATCATATATATCTAGATTCTGCTTAAATATTCAGACTAAGGAATATATAGACAGTGTTATAGAACTAAATTTGAAACCAAACAATGATGTTTTAAAATAGTATACAAATATTAATAGAATACTCAAAACTTTATCATCAGATTTTATTATAATAAAAAAAATTAAGTAAGCTAGTATTATGCTGTCTCTCTTTCAAGGGGAAGAGAACTTTAAAAATCATATTTTCTTCTCAAAAATTAATGGCTAATATAAAATTTCCATTTTTATTTCTAAAGAAAGTAAACAATCTGTACGGTAAAATCGAGAATAGTAGCAACACTACTTTTTTTAACTAAAATTTTTTTTCGCGGGCTTTATCTATATTTATTTTTTAGTCTGCGCATAAATATAACAATGCTAGTCACCGCCATTTTTATTTTTTTTAAATACCAGGCGCAAAATGTGGACTATTGGTATTTAAGAGAAAACTCTTAATTGGCTTTAGTGTTCACTGTTCATACACACCAGTATCATCGTGCGTCGCTAATTAAAAAAATAATAATTTAAAAATGGCTGCCGGTAGCTAATGACAGCTACTATAGAAGGATGTGCGAGCAGTGAGTGTATATATTTTGAGACTTGAGCCCTTGTAACAAAATATATTGTCTGTGTTCAAATTCTGCTATCTTGGCCATTTTTATACAATTTATATAGACTATAGGTATGTATATACACAGATCTGATGAGCTTTATATCCCTTACTTGAGAAATGATTGATTCCCTATACTAACTTCCACCCCTCTTTTTACTCCCTTAAGGGATGATTTTCGGAGCAAAAACTATTCTATGTCCTTTCCGAGATCTCAAACTGTCATCAATGATTACGATTTAGCATCACGAATCGATAAAATAGCGATCGCTAACTATGTCGATACATTTGTCATCCATGGTCGATACTGCCGGTCTGATAAACATCGACAACAAATCGATACATGTAACGTTGTCTATGGAAATTTATTGGGACTCGTCTTTTTCCTAATTATAGCCAATAGCAATATCGATTCATTATTTAAATACAATAACAAATAAAAATTATTGAGGACAAAGAATTTTCATAACAATCAAAATAACAAAAACAATTTTTCAAGAAAATTTCGCAGTTTATTTAAATATGTGTATTGTTATTTTTAGCTAACTTTCTATCAAGAATAATGACCGATAAAATAGGCAGAAAGCAATGCATTATATTCGCTTCTATAGTCAAACTTTTTGGGGCGATCACTCTAGTCTTTGCCAATGAAGTTTGGATTTTCATATTATGCAGGACTGCAATGTTAATATTTGATTGCTGTTTACTCGTCGTAATTCCGGTATACGCTTCTGAAATAGCTAATGTAAGTATTTTGTAGAAAAAGCACACAATAGTGACCTATAGACAATACAAGTATTCTGTTGTTATTGTTTCCAAAATAAACATGGAAAATATTATGGGAAATTCAAATTTATTCAAAACTTATTTATATAATACTCACCTCCAATGACAGGTATACATATATATACAGGTATACAGTGTGTAACACGACTGATGGACCAAAGCTAGCATAATCGATAGATATTGAATTTATTGATATAATCGATAGGTATGAAGTCCTATCGATTTAACCCGCAATCGCATGTATGTTCAGCAATTTTTGCTAAGCGTTACACTGTGGAGAACACCACACTCATTTACTCAGTAATTTAAAATTAATAATACAATAACAAATATACAAAATAATTTGAGTGTAAGGACAGATATGTGACCATTTTATAGTATTAGGCATTAGCAAAGATACCTTCTTAAAATGATGATTCTCCTTGAAACTTAATTTTTAAAATACTATTAAAAAATTTATCACTTCAAATTTTTTACAGAAGGAACAAAGAGGTGCGCTAGGCACTTTTCTTCAACTGTTTTCATCAGTGGGCGTGCTATTCACTCTGTCACTGGGTCCATTTCTCCAATATAAGACATTTAGCATCATAAATGCGAGCGTATTTGCTGTTCTTACTGTACCTTTGCTGTTCTTACCAGATACACCATTTTATTTTTACTCTAAAGGTATATTTTTATCTCCTTATTTTTATCTTTAACTGGAAGACACACAGGTCTACATGAGGTAAATGTTTGTGCTGAATATAACTATTACACGTATATATTCACGTGAAATTAAGGCTCTGAGCACACATGTCACAAAATAAAAAAAAACACCGAGCGAGTTCAGTCCTCCAGGTACTAAATAATAAAAGAAATAAGCAGTAGAAAAGAACGCTCTTAATTCACTATACTGCTACACCTCTATCTATTAGCGATAACTATTGTAGAATATAATCTTTTCTATGCCTAATTGCCCATGTTTATATCTATCAAAAGGACAACCGTTTAGTTTGTCGATCTTAAATGATTTCAAGAATACTATCGTACTCACTCTTATAGTATGCGCGTAGTCATTAATTCGCTTTTAATCAACACAATTTTTATCAACGCTCGAAATCTTATCAGTTACAGATTAACGATGAAGCTTGTATTAAATTAACCAATTTTATTTAGAGGTATATATAATAAAATTCCAACTGAGTTGAATCTGTACATTAAATATTTTTTGGCAAATCTTATTGAAATTGTCATTATTATCGATACAGAGGCCGAAGCCATATATCGATTTTTTTTCTGTTCCGTCTGTCTGTCTGAGACCGTATCTCGCGAAAATCACTAGACAGATTTTGATGAAATTTGGTGTGATGACATCTGGTTATCCGGGTCAACATATGTATAGGATAGAATAGGATACTTTTTACTGCGGGAAAATATCTCATCTCTGAGAAAACTATACTAAGCGTGAAAACGTAAATAGGGACGAACTCAAGCGGAGCGAGAGATAGTCGCTAGTATTAAATAAGTAAAGAAGTGAGATTTTGAAGTAGTATCTATTTCATCTAATGTCTTGGAAACGCTATTTTTGAGTTGAACATCTATCCATATTTGAAAAAGATAAGAAAGGATAGAACAACTAAATAAATAAAATCCGACTGCATTATAAATAATTATTTTAAATAATAATTACAGGTCGTCTAGATGAAGCTATGACGGTACTGACAAGTATACGTGGGTCAGAAATTCTGGCAAAACAAGAATTAGAAGAATACAAAGTTTCAAGTGATAAGTCCAAAAGGAAAATAGACAAATCTGCTTTATTTAAAAACAAAGCGTTCTTAAGAGCTTCATGTCTAGGTCTTATGTTAACTGGTGGAAGTCAAATGATTGGTTCAAACGCCATCAACTTTTATTTGCAAACAATTCTAGAATCCACGAAGACCAGTGTACCATCAGAAATAGCATCGGTTATTGTTGGATGTATTCAAGTTTTGGCTAGTTTTTGTACCACTTTCATCATGAACACCTTTGGAAGGAGAAATATTTTGATGTCATCTCTTGTTGGAATATTAGTTGGAATGGTATGTTTTTATAAAAAAATGAATATAATTTGTAATTTATAAGGATACGCTTGCTAATATTGTTATTTTAATTCCGATTACATTTGTATCATTTCCTTTAACTTTAGTCGTTATAAAGTTACATAATTTATTCAATTAATGTAGATATTTACCTATATAGCTACCAAAATAATTTAATTCCATCCAGCAGTAATCTACGTGAACAGATATACAGAGCAAAATCTAACAATTATTGATTTTACTTCTTTCTGAGTTTATTTTTGGCCTAAAATGATGTCATTTTACGAAATTACACCTAATTTCGTTTAAGTGGATTTCAGTATTGTCTATTCTAGGTGGTTTGGATCCTTCCATTGTATCCATTTTATTTCCCTTCTGTTAGCGCTTCTCATATGTGTTAACTAGTTTTTGTCTCAACACATTTCCAAACCATCTCAAACGATTAAGTTACGATTATCTTTTCTGTGAACAGAATAATTTTAAAGAAATATTTTTTATGTATTATAGACGATATGATGTTATTTTTTTATTTCTTTTGTGCGTACAAAACACAAGTACAAGTACAAGTTATAAGGACACTTAATAACAAAATATTTTTGTTTATCTCACTTTAGTTGGGACTTGGAACATTTTTCGAGATAGGTGGAGTCGAGGGCTACGTAGTAACTGGTTTTATGAACTATTTGCCGATCATCTCCTTGATACTTGTCATATTTTGCTATAACGTTGGTAAGTATATAACTATATAACCTTCTTTTAAAATATATAATAAAAATGAATGTTTTTATGTTTGTCCTCTATGCATTCCTAAACCATTGATCCGATTGTGATAAAACCTTTGTGGATTATTCTGTATACGCCTGCAAAGATTCCTGGTGAAAAGATAAATTTTTTTGGACGTATGTCTTTTATGAGTTCCTAAACAATTCAAGCACCCGAGCGAAACAAGAGTAAGTCGCTAGTATGCAATAAAAATATAGTTAAAATACCGTCTTAAAACGCGCTCTGCTTCTTTCACCCACTCCCTCATATTTTCTTTTTCTAACCTTATTCTTATTGCCATTTTTTTTAATTTTGTTTTGCTTTTTCCGACAGGAATTGGATCAGTCCTCTGGGTTGTCGTATCAGAGTTATTTGAGGGACCATCCCGGGCACTGGGTGTCACTATCAGCTTCACATCATCCAACACCCTAATATTTGTAACGACTAAGTATTTCGCACTGATGACCACAGCTTTGGGTCCCGCGACCACTTACTGGTTGTTTAGCTCAATGTGTGTTTTGCTTTTTGCAACAATCGCTATTTTCTTACCAGAAACCAAAGGGAAATCGTTTAGCGATATACAAATAGCGTTAGGGGATAATATCGATGTCCAAGAAAATATAAATGAGAATAAAAAGTACAATATACCTTAGATGATAATGTTAGATTATTTTATATATACTATGACTTATTTTTATTTAAATTCTAAGAATTATTATAACTAAGACTAAAATGTATCATTTAGCTATTTAATACATTATTGTTCTATACCTGTTATGTCTTTCCAAGCAGTTCTCAACTATCTTAATCTTTAAATTTTGTCGGAATTCTTAAAAGAGATTGATATGATATCTTCTTCATTTAACAAAGTAGACTTAATAAGTTAAAAAAAAGTTACTCTCTCTCTCTCTTTATTTACTTATGTGGTAAAGTTGTTAAATAGTTAAAAAGTTTTTTTTACTAATCACTATGTAGGTACATTTCTCTTAACTTATTATGAGTAATCTATACAGATAAATAAAATTGAAGTGTCTGTTTGTAATATGAAAATAACAGCTTTTTACTAAATGCATATGAAATTATATACGGTAGGTAGGTACTTAAAAGAAAAACTAGATTTTTAAAATTTTTGTCCTTCTGTCAGTCTATTTGTTTCGACTAATCTCCGAAACGGCTGGATTGATTTCTGGACTTTCACTGGCAGACAGCTGGTGTTAAAAGGAGTAACTTAGGCTACTTTTATTTTAGAAAAAGAATTAGGGCTCCGCCCAAAAAAATCGAAACGTACCTAGGGACACACAAAAGCCAAGCTAGAGTAGGTCGCTAGCCTTAATTATATCTATTTCATAGTAAGTAATATAGTTTTAGCGAAATCAATTATTTGTCCGTCTGTTAGTTAAAGCTTACCTACCTCAAGATTAGCCGGACCTATTTAATACGGATGCCAATTACTTGTCTATCTGTGATTTTCATATTTCCTAGCGGTAAGAATTTTACATAATTTGTATGAACCTTATTATGTCGATTTCTATCTCCAGTAAGGAAATCTTCAAAAGTTTAATTACGTATCTATAGCGCAGGATTTTCCCTAGGGCCGCTCAGGGCTAGTGCCCCGGGCGTTAAAATTTCGGGGGCGACTAAATTCGGAGGGTGAAAAATTTTTTTTTAACGTTATCAAAAATGCTTTTTTTATTTTCCAAAAAAATAATAATTAAAAAAAATATTTTATTGTAACTTTATCCATTTTATGCAAAATTTCACACAATCACATATTTTTACACAATCAGATAAGCGAAAACGATGAGTGATGATAATATATTCAAGTTTAGAAATGTTTAAATGGAATATTTTATTGTACCGACTCAAAAACAAATTAATTTACCCTCCACACACTATGATATGTTCACATATCGCCTTATACGTGGGGTTTGTTAAAGGTTATGAAAATAGCCTCAAAGTAAAATAAGGTATGTGTGTATAAGAAAGTAGAAGTTAGTTTCCATAAATGTTTCAATAAAACAAAATTTAAATTATAAATGATTTATTATGCCTCATCTCCACCACAACCGCAGTTGTCTCCGGTGTCGACGCCGCACAATCTCAGCAAGAACACACAAAGTGTCACACAAAGGAGACATCTCAATACCTTTCCGCAGCATCCGCAGTCACATGAACAACACATAATCACGTTTTATAATTTAAAAAAAGAAAATTCATATATAATTGTCAATGGGAAACAGATTGATATTCTTGATAAATAAGTTTATTGAAGAAAACTGAAAGTTAACACTTAGAAAAATACTTTAATCACTTTTTATCAAAAGAAAACAAAGCTTTCGTTTCCTTGTTTGAATAATTTCCTTTAAACGTAATGACTATTCTAAAGTTATTTTTGATGAAATCGCGCACTTAACACTAAAATATAATATATCTGATAGGAATAATATATAATCTGATAATAAAGCACGATACCTCAATATGATTTTCCTATTCAGAATGAAGGTATGCTATGATTGTATTTATGTTTTTATTAAACAGGTATCTTATCAGTGCGAAGCAAATAAGATAACAAAACAGGTCTCGGACGTCGTTTGGTGTCGTAATTTTTAATGATTAATGTATTAATGAATCACTTATTGGGTTTGTCTAATGTCTATGACAAATTCTATTGCTTTTTATTTGACTTTTTGTGACTGAATATTCATTATCGATATCAGAGTGATAAAATTGGGTTTCGCAAATTATTTTTGAAAGTGTAAAGGGGAAATATAACGAATCGATCCCCAACAAACAACAAACTGACAAAATATTCAAATATTTTTTTTTAGTTTTAATGATAAATACGATTCTTAAGGGGTGCGATGAAAATGGTTGCCAGAATTTGAACCTGCTTCACGTAGATCACGTGAGTTTTTGCTTTGAATTTTTAACATAATAAAACACAACCTCAAATTGAGAAACACAGTCTTTGAATTTTGTTAAAAATAAAGGAGTTGAACAGAGCAAATAAAATAAAAGTCCCGAAAATAAAGAGAAGTGTACAAATTCATATTGCTTTACTTGTATGTAATATTAATATGTAGTTCTAAAAAATATATAAGTGCTAATTAAAAAATAAACTAATAAATAATAGAGTACCTAAGTACAAAATCTTGATTGTCTATATTTACTACTTCGTTTGGTTTTGAAATATAATCTACGATATTATGTAATTTATTACACATACAAATCTATACATATTATAACATAAAATTGTAACATAAAATTGTAACTAAGCCGAATCTGTACATTAAATATTTTTTGAAAAATCTTATTGAAATAAACATTATTATCGATACAGAGGCCGAATCTTAAGTTTTTAGAATTTTTGTCTGTCTGTCTGTTACCGCATCACAGATAAAACACTGGAGATGAGGTATGGTGATAGCTGGTTATCCGGATCAACATATACCTAGGACATTTTTTACCGCGGGAAAATGCCTCATTTCTGAGAAAAAATACAAAAACTGCAATGTAAGAGTATACTTATGTGTAAAACCTAAGAATTTGGTTTTTGGTCATCATCAACGCGGGCGGAGCTAAGGGCAATGCTAGTCATAATATAATAGTACAATTTTGCATATATTTTAATTAAGAGTTTTAATCATCATCAGGCAGTCTGCAGTCTTCGCAACAGTCTTCCCACCCGCACAGATGCAGCAGCCACACACAACACGACACACAACACAGAATCCGCAAAAATCGGCAACAGCAGTCACTACAACAGCACATGGCAATTGAAGTCTTTGAAATTACTAGTCATTTCTTGTGATATTTTCATTTCTTCCATGAGAATTTGTGATTGAGATTTTCATCCTCTAATAGTGGTTTAAGTAAGCTCTGTTATTTTATCATTTGTTTAGAATTATCCACAAAAATATTGGATATTTACGTGATCTTATGTCCCACTAATGAAATTACATATCAATTATAAATTCTTGTAAAATTTTCGAAAATAAACATGTAGAATAATTATATTCAAAGTGCCAAAATATGTCAGATATATTGAAGAGGTTTTTCTTTTTTAATTAACATATATTAATAGGCATAGATATTTTGGTTTGGTAGACGCCACTTAGAAAAAAAAAATTTTTCCTTACTGGCTTGATTATTTCACCCCTTTTAACTGAGAAATTTGGATAGATTTAGCAGGAATTTTACATTAGTCTGACAACAGTTTTGTTTTAACCTTAAATAAGTCAAAAGATATGGAGAGCTTTATTTGTAAAACACCCGGTACGTAACATTGGCGAAATAATCTGTGCTCAACTGGCACGCTTCGAAGCGACAATAGAAATTGAATTGAAAGCATTCAGTTCATGTCCAAGGCCTCGTATAATGTATAGTTCTGAATTAAATTGAATTGCAAATGCGAGTTTTGTAGCTCAGAGGAAACTGTCAAGTTTTTGATAAAGCTTACCGTACAAAGATTATTATCTAATAACCACCACACAGTTACTAACTAGTACTTCTTATTATAGCTCCATTCAAGGATTAATGCCCGTTTTCACCAACATCCCATAAGCCATCGTATGGGATCCCTAGCTGCTTAAAGGTTCCCCTAAACTAGCCCCTAAATTAAATTTCGTTTTACCATGATCAGCCTCAGTCAGACCGCAATGTGCAGACTATGCCATGAGACAGAGGAAACTGCTATGCACATACTCTGCTCGTGCGGTCCACTCATGCACCGCAGAAGTATCTATCTAGGGCAGCATATTATACAACCGGAAGAGATACAGATGCTCCCCGCTCAGAAAATCTGGAAGTTCCTGGAGTCAACAGGACTAAGCGGAGAACTTTGAACTCATTATAAAGGGAGCTACAATTGACCAAAATTGGTCGACGTAGCTAGGGCCGACCTCGGCACCACACCCAACATAAATAATAATAATACCATCATCAGAGCCCGTATTTCTAGTACCTACATTTAGGTGACCCCTAACTGTCGGTAAAACAGAAACTGTCCCCTAACAGCCCCCTAACCATGCTTAGGATCCCTTAAACTTAGGTGAACTTGGTGAAATCGGCCATAAGCCTTTGTATTGATCATACAAATGTTTGTTCCGGGTAAAGTGAATCATTCCAAACCTTCTTTCGACACACATTGTCTGAATATTAGAGACATTTGCCATATTTATTTAAGCAGCCTATGTGTATGTATTTTGCTCGTTACATCATGTTCAATGCAAATTGTTTAAGAAAAAATTATTAAAACACCAACCTAACTGTATAATAGCAGATATATAGCCTACGAATAAAATAGCTGTAGCGTACGAACGTTTTTGTTAAAAAACTAAGTAAAACACAAAAAACTAAAATAAAAATAAGAAATGAATAGAACAATCTATTTATTATTTCGATAAAGATTTCTCTTTCCAGTTAAGATCGAATCCAGTGTCGCGGAAGAATTGGTCCATGTCGTTTTCATCTAACATTAGAAACGACTGAAAAAAAAAGTTTTAAATTAATTTAATAGACATTTTATATACAACGGTCTTGTTGATCTAGTAGTTAGCATGTACGATTGTAGATCCGGAGGTCCTGGGTTCGAATTTCATGCGAAGCCAAGTATACTTGGGTTTTGCTATCGAGAAATCTTCAATAGCAACTCAAAGTTGGAAATTTGATAGTGTTATAACATATACCCAAATGTATCTCACGAGGGTCGAGTTGACGTCCTACCAAAAGTTTGATAGTGAGAAAAAATAATCATGGCATAACTTACTATAGAAGAACGTTGTAAAAGTTTCTCAGGTGGTTTTTTTAATAGAGCATTTGCACCAGGTCTGTCGGAAAATAACTCAAATAGGTATATATAACTTTAAAATAAGGTAAAAGTATAGCTTTAAAATAAGGTAAAAAATACAAGCTTTTGCTAGCAGCTCCATTCGTGTGGTAGGTACTAGGATTGTTGATGGTGCGGGTTTTTGTTATATCAGCGGATGCCATTGGTGAGCTTATATTATATATATTATGTTATGTAAAAAAGCTACACTGATAGACAGTGTAGCTTTATGTTAGTGAAGAATTTTCAAAATTGGTTTAGTAGTCACAGAAACCTCTTACATTCAAATAAAATTTCATGTCACAATGTTATGTTATATCATAATAAATGTTATTTGTTATATTTATTGCTTAGCAAAAATATTTTCTCTCCAGGGCAATGCAAGTCAGTTTTAATTTCGCCAACCAAAATTAACAAATTGTTTTAAAATATAAATATAAATATATATATATATATATATATATTATATATATATATATATATATATAAATATATATATAGTACCTACTATATAGTTTTAAACCTACCTCTGCGGTCTCTTTCTAATGTGTTTCCACCTCGGTCTTGGAATTGGTTCCTGCATTTAAAAAATAGTGAAATATCTGTACAATAGTATTATACTATTACTAGTGGACTTAACATCGCTTCGCTTGGCTGCGTCCCTAGGTACGTTTTAATTTTTTTGAGCGGAATCGTAATTCTTTTTCTAAAATAAAACTAGCCTAAGTTACTTTTTATAACATCAGCTATCTACCCGTGAAAGTTCCGTAAAAATCGGTCCAGCAGTTTCGGAGATAAGTCGGAACAAACAGGTAGACAAAAATTTTAACCGTTATGTTTTTCCTAAAAGTACCATATTGTATAATTAATTTCATATGCATTTAGCAAAAAGCTATTATTTTGACATTACAAACAGACATTTCAATTTTATTTATCAGTGTGTTCCCAAAAGGTTTTCAGTAAATTAAAAATGATCCTGTATATATATATAAATGTGTGTAAGTAAAGCAGTGAGTTTTTAACAACTTAAAGGTTTAAAATTTGGAATGAAGAGAGCATATTTTCCCATAGCATAGAATCTAGATATGTAATCGACTTATCCACTGTAGCTAGCAAGCTGTAGCAAAAATGAATATTATTATCTTCGATCAACAACAACTGTCAATAATGAACTAGATAATCGGAACATTGACTGGCGTCATTTTTTACCACGAGACTGTTATGGGTTAAATGACATAGACGGACATACCATTTATCCCGATACATCAAGTGGCTCTCAGAGAATATCAGTGTGGTGTACTAAATTATAAAGGAACAGGTAGAGTACGATTTAATAGTAACTTCTGAACCAAACATGTACACCGACTCGAAATTTTATTTGTGTTACTTTTAAATTATTTTTTCGACCTATAGGGTGGAATTTTTATTTATTTTTGACCAACTATAATTATATCCGGTTTTTGTTAAATCGGTAACTAATATACACAGTTTTATAAAAAAAAACATTTACTTGTTTTATAGATTTTGGATGAGATTCTTGTAATGGGTTGTCATCTACAAATGTCCGAAGCTTTTTTAAATTAGAATCATTTACATTTTCGGAAATGTCCCTGGAAAACAAAATACTATTAAAACAGGTATTTACATTTCCTAAGTTATTTTACAAGTTGCAGCTGATTATGTAACGTGGTCCATTCTATTTGGTCCACAAACTTCGTCTTAAAAAAAAGTCACATAAAATTCAGGTTGGTGGACAACATAACTACTTATTACGTTTTGCAAAAACTTGTTAAATTCACTAATACATGCAAGTTTTCTCATGATATTTCCCATAATCATATGGACAGTGGTAATCATGTTGAAATGAGATGCGAAATCCAGATTTTATATTCCGCTATTACTTCCAAAATGTTACCTTAAATGTCCATAATACGGTTTTATCATTGTCTTTTGATTTTGGCCCACAAGGTCCTTTTGACTTTGTTCTTTTAGATTGTTTTTATGGAAGTTTAGTTCGTTCTTTCCTAAAAAATAGCAACTATTTATAAATAACATAACAATATCTGAGTATTTTATGTCTTTAGTACTTGTACTGTGTATATTTCCATTTAATCCACCAGAAAACCGTGATATCTTCGCTATGTGGAATGTTCTCTATTGCTATATCTTCCTAATGTTCCCGATTACTATTAGGTATAGAATTAAGTAAGCACTGTAAACTGCTTTCGTTTGTTTCGAAAATGCCACGTGAGTAATTTAATAGAAATAAGCGCCAAATATAGAATAATACAATAATTGACGTCAGATATACCAGATTCGAATCCAGCTCCCAAAAAATATTCATATTAGACGTATAAACGCTAAGTGTATCAATTATAATTATCATAGGGTAATCTGGTGGCATAAATAAATTTCTAACATACAAACCCGATTGCAAAGTTATTTTAAGTCGTCTACCGTCAGTTTCAAAAGCATTGTGGTGGACTCCATATATTTGTGGAGTCATTTCCATATATTTGTGGCTGTAAGTTCCTCTTTTAGTCGTTAGTCGACTAGTTGGTTCTGTCGGTTCATCAAAATATTCATCATCATCATATATCTCGGAATTATCATAGGATGGTGATGGAGTAGGTCTTCTAACCTTATCAGAAATGTTAAAGCTCAATACATTAATAATATTAAAGTATGCAAAATATAAGTTTTTAAAATAGGTATAATAATGGTTTGGTAATTTTGCTTAGTGTCACATGAATTTAACCAGGTAAGTAATAAAAGAACATGAACAGAATGTTCAGAATGTAAAAAAATAAGTTTTAGAAATAGATTTTGGTACATATTATTACACCAATACAATATAATACAATAGGCAATGCCAAACAAGCTAATATACTAATTATAATATATACTTATTATATACTACATTCTTATTACACAGACACTATATATTACATTCTTATACTGCTTATGATTGTCTTCATCTATACGCTAGATATTATAATGGACAATCTGCCATCCGATGAGAGATCTGTCATGGTCGATGAGAGACATACGCAAGAAAAGCTTGCATACCAAAAGTCATCAAACTTAGGTATATTCTAGCCAGTAGACCGACGTTTAGTTGGTTAGGATACACTAACCGGAGCACAAAGCAGAGGATAAACAGTTCTCGTCCTCCTTGCCGTATGTGGAGGACAGGATGCAAGTGGTCCAGGGTTTATTGTCCTCTGCCCCAACATATTAGTATGAGAGAAGTCACAAACTAATAACATTCTGGTGTGAGGATGGCCGTGGCGTACTGCTCCACAGCCTACTGCACGGAGAGTCCACACTGCTAGCTGACTGAAGTGGCCCCAGACGGTTCTCCTGTAGATTAGAGTGTTTGGTATCATTAAATCCATACTAATATTATAAATGTGAAAATGTGTCCGTTTGTTTGTTTGTCCTTCTTTCACGTCGAAACAGAGTGACGTGATATTTTGTGTAGAGATAATTGGAGGGCTGGAGAGTGACATAGGTACTTTTTATCGCGGGAGTTTATCTCATTCCCACGGGAAAACACGTTATAATACAACCCAAAAAAAATCATCGATCAGAATTACTTAAAACTTGGTATTAATGCTGTTCAATACAATTAAATAAATACGTGTTTAAGCATTTTTCGAAATTCATCCCATAAGGGGATAAAATAGGGCACGAAAGTTTGTATGAACCCTACCTTTTTAGAGATTTTTTTTTGTTCTAGCGCGGGTGAAGCCACGGGTTCTGCTAGTGATTCTATATTTTTAAAAGCCATAATCTAAAAAGCTAGCTTTTCCGATTTGAGTAGTTTTAGTGTATACCTAATATATATATATATATATATATGAGTTTCTTTCGATGAGTGAGAACGCCGGAGACTGATTGACATTTGGCCCACTCTTTCTTTCCCTCTAACACAAGTGGTACAAGTTCACATAAATTAGAATACATTCTCCACAAGCAATTTTTGTTTACTCATTACTATTATTGTAGAATCGAATACGGAAACCTTTAGTAGCTTAACTAGAGAATTGAATTAACCTTGTCTATAAACTCAAGTTATATCAATACTAACTTCGCAATCATTTTAAAGGAGACATAAAAATAGAATACGGCCAATTGTTAACTTTCTAAAAATTCAAGTTGTATTAATAGTAGGTTACTAACTTAGCAGTCAGTTTAAAAGGTGCGGTGAGTTGTTCCGGCTGAACCCTCCGTCTTTCCCCCCACCAGGCATCGAACACACGACGGATAGAGCGCTGTACGCTCAACTGTTCCGAGTCACTGGGGACTCGCCAGCGTACTTCGCCTACAGTTTGACCCGCGTATGGATATCGTACTGGGGATAGAAGTTATTATTAAGTGATCTTTAGAAATTGATCACAATAAAAAAAATATATGGTACAATTTTATTTGAGTTTGTGTCCATTTTCATATGGTTTTCACCAATAGTACTATACAGACTCAAATGAAATGACGTTTTAAAACAATTAAAATAACACAATTATAAACAAAACAATTCAAACATATTATTTACCAGTAGCTCTGCAGTCGTCATGTGCGAATTCACACTGGTCAGCGAGACGCTGCGCAAGTTGTGCCAACTCCCGATCCCAATTCTATTCCGTGGGATAAAATAAAAATAGGTACATAAAATCATGCATTAAGTCTTTTTTTCTAGTAAATATCCTTAATTTTTATAGGATATATCCTAAGTCTTAAAACATCAAGTTTTGTAAATATTTTAATCACGTAATTGACGTTAGTACTCGTAGTTAGTACTTGTAAGCAGAAAAGTCAGCAAACTGAGATTTTTTTTAAATTACATATAAGGTTTTCTTTTAATTTTATAATTTTCTAAAATCACATATTTATAAGAAATCTTTCAATAATATCGATTCTATAATATTATTTTTATCAGATTATTACAAATAGATTTTCGTTTAAAGATAAGACTTACAACTAACATCATAATCTCCGGTTTAGGCAGAGGCGCTCCGCCGCGCACGTGTTCATTTCCAGACGCGATGCGTTGGCGACGCCTTTAGATATTAATTTATTTAAACTATATTTTCTTTTTTTTTCTTAAAATGTAGAGATAAAGAGAGGAGAGAAAATACAAAGTATTCGTAACTCTCCGTACAATCTTTGTATGTAGCCTGTAGGTATCTATTTTTAAACTGCTGTTACTAGGCATGAATAACGGGTAAATATATTTCATCTAGTCCCTTTTTAACATCCCACTGTTGGGTACGGGTCTCTTTCGCATTAAATATTGCGAGGAAAATCAGGCCATAGTCCAACACACTGGGCAAGTGTGGGTTGGCGCCTGGCGGACATGTTTTTCAAAGGTTTATAGGTCCTCTCAGATATGCAGGTTTCTCATGATGTTTTCCTTTACCGTAAGACAACTGGTTATCATGTAGAAATTGATTTGCACATAAAAATATCAGTGGCGTTAGACCCGGGATTTGAACCCGCATCACTTAGTATCCTAAGCGAGCGCGTATTTTAACGCTAGACTTTACAGTAAAAATTAATATCACTCACCTATTAATATAATGTAAAATAAAACGCCTTAAATCGGACGTAAATGATACTTGTGAGTAATTTCGACATGATAGTCCGGGGCCTGGCTGAAATTTGAGACATGATTTAAAGTTTAACAATAAGTCTTACTTAGATAATGTTTAAGGAATAAGAAACTTATGTCTAAGGAAGTGAGTTCGAATCATTGAAGGATGCTAAATATAGGTACTTTCTTTACTCTGATGATTGTATCTAATTACGAGGACCAGATTTCACATCACTAACTACAAATTAGAAAAAGTAAATAATTGGGTTATTGGTAGTGCTATAACCTTGTGCTTCGAAAAGCAGGAATGAAAACAGACGTGTTTATATTTGATCTTTTCGGTCGTAGACGATTGCCGTCAAATTGCACGATGGCATTAGATAGGTGAAACCGAATGCACTAGACTTTTTGTACCGCGCATATACATACATAAACTATTTGTTAAAATTAACCGCCACGACCGAAAATATTTAGGGGGTAAAGGAGAGATAAAAGAGAAGATATAATTGTTAAGTACTTACAATTGGAAATTGGCAGGCCACATGGCTTCCTTTCCCTTGACACAAGCGTCTGTACCGCAGAGTGCAATACGGCTGATCGTCTATCAATACTGAAGCTATTAGGTTCAATTCCAATAATAGGATTAATATTCTATATAGCATGTTTGGTGACCTAAAAATACTTGTTATGGTAGATAGTTTTAGGATACCTAATTATAGGGAATGGAAGAGCGAAAATGTCTGGGCGATTGTTGGTTATGTACCATAGCTTTCGACTCTATTTTTTTAAATAAATTTCATTTAATGTATGAAACGTCGCTCTGATCTATGATGAAATTGGGAGGTTAATCTGCGTTTTCAACTGTTCTTAATAAACCGTTTGAATTTTCTCATTTGACTCATTTTAACAAGTTCTATAGGAAATTATTGAAGAAAATATAGTTTCTCAAAAATTTCCAGTCCATTAAGGATTGAAAGTATTTGGGATAATAGACGCGTAGGTTGGTCTGGGAAAATATTAAATCAGTAAAGATAACTACTCGTTTTATAAACAAGCTATATGAATGACAGTCTTATTTATAATAATACTAGCGATTAATCATACCTAGTTACTAATATTTAATATAATATCATCAAAATCTGTCCAGTGGTTTTCTCGTGATGCGTTCCCAAACAGACAGACAGGCAGACAAAAATTCTAAAAACTATAAATTCGGTCTCTGTATCGATATTAATGACTATCAATAAAATTTTCCAAAAAATATTTAATGTACAGATTCGACTTTTCGTTTTATTAATGTATATATTACAGTTAGAATTTTATTATATGTATATATAACAACTCACCTTATTTTACGTAATTAGATACATCATGTGTATAATATTAGAAAATATATGTTATAAAAATACATAGCTCATTAAAAATGTACAAAATAAACTTTTCTATCAAAATCTGGTTAGATGACTGATGACATCTTGTGTGACAGATGTTTGAATATTAGACTTGTTATACACATTAGAAGCATTTCAAGCAAGCACTTGTTATACATATTAGTTCTAGTTGGAGGTGGCAATAAATACCAAATGCTAATCTATACTAATATGTATTATAAAGACGCACTGTTTGTTTGTTTGTTTGTTTGTTTGAACGCGCTAATCTCAGTAACTACTCATCCGATTTGAACATATTTTTTGCATTATATACCCCGTTTATAGAGGAAGGCTATATATAATCATGCTACTACCTATGGGAGCGGAGCAGTAATGTCAACAAATCGGGCAGACTTCCATACATTATTGTAAAACTGATGTTTATAATACGTTTAAGTTCTTTATGCTGTCATTGACGTTTTTGTTGTTAGATTTTATTATGTTGGCTGGGTACAGCCATCAACACAACCCACCAGCAAAACATCCAAACTTCAATAGGGAAGGACTTCAATCTTCAATCCCCATAAGGGATAATTTCCGGGATAAAACTATCCTATGTACTTCCCAGGGTCTCAAACGACCTTCTTACCAAATTTCAGCTAAATCGGTTCAGTAGTTTCAGAGCCCATTCGGAACAAACAAAAAATCAAATCTTTCCTCTTTATAATAGTAAATATTTTATAAGTTTTGCTAACTCCACTATGCTAAAAATTAAGTCTTACTAAATGTAACAGTTTAGATGGATGTTTGTTACTCAATCACGCCAGAACGGCTAAACGAATCTGGATGAAATTTGGCACAGAGATAGATTATAGTCTGGAATAGCACATAGGCTAGGCTTTTTATCCCGGAAAAATGTACGGTTCCCGTGGGACAGATTTGTTCACTACATACATAAAGGAAGGATATTAAAGAGACATTTCATTTCGATCGGTTAAATTTTATTATGAAATACAATAATTTATATGTCAGGATATTTACAACGTTATGCCTTAAAACCTAAACTTACTTTCGATCTACTTTACACGATGCGTTCTATATATTGTACACGACAGTGTGGACAAAAGATAAAGCCTTTCAACTAGCACTAGCCCGTGGCTTTATTTGGATTTATCAACTTAGAAATTTGCTGTATCAAAAACTGTTAAGTAGTTGAAAAGGTTTCAAATAATTTAGAACTAAGAGAATACCAATTGTATTTCTTTATATTTCGGCTCCTAAGTAAATATTTATATATAAATTAAAATCTGATTTTTTTAATATTTTAAGCCAATAAAGCCAACAAAAATATTTGTAAATATAAGTTGTAAAACAATTCATAGTCTTATTTGAAAAAAAAAACCTTTAACTTTTATATATGTATTTACTTTAGTGCATTTTCTATATCAAATAAAAAAGCCCACACTGTGTTGCCATGGTTCACAATTTAATTTTTTTTAAATATACAAAAATAATAATAACTACGAGGGAAATATTTTGTTCACTTATTTTATCTGTATTTACAATTTATTATTGAATTATAAGCAAATAATTAAATATGGCCCGATCCCCCTCGTATTGAAGGGAGGCCCGTGCCCAGATGTGGGACGTTAAAATAGGGCTGAATACATACATACAATTAAATATGACACAAAAATAGCGATAATTTTAAAATTTGAAATAAAATTAATTGTATTGTACATATGTACTACTATTATTTATACATAAAATATATAAATTGTGACCCAAGTCATCATTTAGTTCATTTATTATTAATAATATAGGATCGATTTATACAGATAATAATAATTATTTCATAATTATAACAATATATAATAATTGTTCTTTATAAGGAACCATTTTGAATGCATTTTTGTTAAAATCAAATAAAAAAATACTGCTACAAATAGAAACCGCAGATTATAAACGTCAATTGAAAAAAAAGCAAAGACTTCTAATTCATTATTCCTTGCATGAATTTTTAGTGCGTATTTTTTTTTACAAAAATACATTCAAATCCGAGTACAGATAAGAAAATACAAAAGTCACTCAGCTAACTCACAGATAAACACACGAAAATGACATAATATATTCGTTTTTTTTTATTGCTTTCCGCTGAGCACGTGTGAGGTAAAATTTATTTACGTATAAGAAAAAAAAAGGATGGAAAGATATTGTAGAAACAAATTAATACAGCTATCGGATATTGTATAGGTACTTTACGTGATGTTTTAAAATAAACAGTAGAATATTTAATTTATAAATAATTAAATTAGATCTATGACAAAATAAAAAAAATTGTAATGTAAGTCGAGATTCGTTTCAAGTTAATATGTAAAATGGAATTTGTTCTATTGATACCATTATATTAAAAAAAAATTAATAATTTGCAATATAGTATATTTATTCTATTTACATTTTATTGTAATCTGTGACACAATTTGGTGTGTGGCAGTTTCAAATGTCATTTAAATCGTGATTAAACGTGGATCATATTAGTTATTATAGTATTTAAAATTAAAAAAAAAACTTAAACTAAAGTAAATATAAATTAATTACGAGAAGAAATAAAACGAAATTCGACCAAAAAAGGGTCATGAAATATGTGACTTTCAATTTTTTTGGAAAAAAAAACTGACAATTAGTTAAAAAAAGAACGTTCAAGTAAAAAGCACGAGATCATCAAACAATAGAGCGGCCCAAGAAATTAAGATAAAAAAAATGTTGAGAGAAAACTCAACAAATTGGAAAAAAAACACTCATATAATAAAAATTGGGTGAAATAATATTTTTGAATTTTTAAATCTATTATTTCACGTACATTTCGATTATAGCAATACATTTTCGAGTAAATTTCGAGACAGAATATTTAAAAATATACCAACAAACACGAGAATGATGTCAAAATTCGCTTAGGTATATAAAATAAACTTCTTATTTAATGTATAAATATGACTGAAAAAAATACTCATCAGATAACAGAACTTATATATCATAGACAAAACAAAGTCGTATACAAACCATTAGGTAAATAACCTAAAACAAAAAAAAGATCAGTAAAAAATCCGTCTATTTCCTAATGATTGTTTTGACCAATTTTTCTTACAGGCATTATAAAATTCGACTTTGTTTTACAACGGTACATAATAAAGAGGGAAAAATTGGCAGTAGACAAATTATATAATAGGGAATATGCGTGTAATTTAAATAAAAGTATTTTTTTTATAATCTTTATAGCTTCTGAATTAAGGCTACATCCATATTTTTAACGTAATTTCTTTTTGATTAAGAAAATAATTATTGAAAACTGCAAATATAGATGGGAAATTCAAAGTAGTTGAAACGCAACGCCGTTGGTCAGACCGAATGTGACGTCAAAATCTATAATAACAACGCGCTGTTGCTTAATACTTCTAAACCTGTTCACTCGTTCATTACAATGTTGTCATAAACTATGACGTCACGCAAGCGCGCCAAAATGGTGGGCGTTTAAAATATATCTGTATGATATTTAAAAAAAAATTGTTACACAAAATTTTTGGAGACGAATATTTTTTTCCAGTTATATAACGATGTAAGCTATTGTATAAAAAAAACCACGCATATTCTCTATTCAAAATATAAAAAAGTTATGTAAAGCTAACGTCTAATAATTGATATTATCTCGATTACAATACTTTCATTACTGGCTATGACTATACAAAATATAAATATGCCCCTATGCTTTGATGTTGTGTTCGAATTTTAAAAAAAGGAGAAAAAAAAAAAAAAAAATCATTTGATTGGAAAATAAATAAATCATGTTTTAATATAATAATACTTTGTATATATATAAAAAATATTTGTTTGACTGTACGTATCTTGTACGTATGTGAGATGTTAGAAATACTAAACATAAAATCTTTATTTCGAGTTAAATAGATCTAGACTTCTCACGAGGTTCTTTAGAGATTCTCACGCAAGGTTGTTACCTTGCGTGAGAACCGAACTTATGACTTTCAATTCTACCCTACAGAATACTACCCTACAAAAAACTATGAACTAAAGACCTTTTCTTAGTAAGTCTACTCGTATTTGACAGGTTCTAAGTTTGCCATACTAATAAAGTATTTAAAACCATTTACAAATATAGTCTACAGTTCCCAACGGTTATTTATAATGATTAATAACAAGCAAAAAATTCACGAGTACCTTCGTTTTGACGGGACGCTCAACTTTTCTTTCTACGAAAGTTTGATAGTCTATACTCTATACTAATATTATAATGAAAAAGATTTTGTCGTTTGTTTGTTTGCTTTTTTGTTTGTACCGAATAAGCTTCGAAACTACTGGACCCATTTAGATGAAATTTGGTAAGAAGATAGTTTGAGACCCGGGGAAGGACATAGGATAGTTTATATCCTGGAAATCATCCCCAAGGGGATGAAAATGGAGATGAAAGTTTGTTTTTGTTTAAATCGATGCAGTAGTTTTGGAGCTTATTCGGTACAAACAAAGAAACAAGCAAACAAAAGAAAATCAAACGTATATCTTTAAAAAAAGCCCGTTGGGGACTGTAGCCTATTATAACTTCACATGAAATAAAATTTATACCACACCATATAGTATTCATATAAATTACTCCTAGAAGGCAATAGTTTCATCTAGACATTAAAGAGTCAATTTATATGAATACTACACAGTTTGCGATAAAACTTTTAAAATTTGATAGTTTTATAAAATTCGACACAACATCCACAAATTAAATGCCATCATAATTTTTACACAATTTACAAATCTCTCGTATGAAAAAATATTATGTTATAGTTTATACACAATTGGTGATAGACTCGTGACGCCTTACTAGTGATGAGACCATCATCTATACAGATAAATAAAATTGAAGTGTTTGTTTGTAATGACCACATGATTTTGAATAACCGCGTTATATTTGTTAATACCGCAAATATGTAGCATTTACATTTTTTTAATACAATTTAAATAAGCAAAACTGATACAAAATAATAGCTAAAATATATTCGGTTAAGAGCGCTCGAAATCAATAATATTTGTTTTACTAGAGAATAAATTGAAATAAGGCGGACAGCAAAATAATAATATAAACAACACAAAAAATATAAAATGAATAACATAAAAATGAAAAATAATAAATAAATTCGAATATATTTTAATTTTTATAATATATCATAAATATTGAGAATTAAATTTTTATGTTCTTTAAGAAGTTTAACTGTAACATAATGATGGTCTCATACACTCATACGAAAATCACTTTTGTGATGATATATCACATCGTTGTTAGTTGAGATATTTCGGTTAGCCAAAATAAATACTATTTAATATTTTCTATACCGCCATTTTTTACGCAAATTCAGCCAAATTTACATTTTCTAGAAACGTTTTTCTGTCCATTTACATTTCCGGACGGATTTGAATGAAATAATGTTGTTTTATTTAGAAAACCCAAAAATACATAGAGCTGCCTGTCACACGACTATTCATACAAAATTAGGGTCATCTATACTAATATTATAAAGTGGCAGAGTTTGTTTGTTTGTTTGTTTGTTTCAACGCGCTAATCTCAGGAACCGCCGATTCGGTTTGAAAAATTCTTTTTACATTAAATAGCCCGTTTATCGAGGAAGGCTATAGGCTATATATCATCCCTGAAAATGTGCGGTTCCCGTGGGATAGATTAGTTTTTGTCTAGTATTTATTAGTTGGACGAAATCGTAAAATAATAACAATATATAAAAACTTTTTTGTGACATTACTTTAACTAACCGAAATTTTACTTACACCGTATCTTAACTAACAATACGTAAGCAAAATGAAAAGCACCTAACATTAAATTCTTAATTAAAATAAACAATAAATACGAATATTTAAATATCTAAAAAATCATGTCGCAGTACGAAAATGAAATCGGTCATTTTGCGTATCGACCATCTTTATATAGTCATGCTGAAAATATATTTTATATAATATATAAAAAAAATGTCATTTTATTGGCATAAATGCATTTGGCAATCTCTCGAACGGAAGTTACGTGTAAACTATTTATTACTATCTCTTTTTAATATCGTTATATTACAATTTCGATTCAAGCGTTTTATAAAGAATTACAAAAAAACGCCTAGCTTTCTATAATCCAATCTTTATACAAAAGGAAGCGCATTTTGTAAACGTCTAAATTTTTGAATTTCGAATCTAATTATAATAATATTTTTTTTATAAAATAATAAGATTTAGGGGGAAAGGTTTATATAATCTACGAAAGATAAAAAGAGAAAGGAGATAATTTGTTACGTAAGAAGTTACAAAAATTTTAATATTTTTTATAATTTTACTACGTACATTGAATTTAATTATTTCATTAATAGGAAAACAAAACAATACTGAGAATTTATAGATAAAAAACCATAGAATTCATTTTTTAATTAATCACGACAAAAAAAACCATACTTAAATAACAGAAAAATCTAACGTAACAAACCATCCCCAAATGTTGCAGTCAGTAAACATAAACCGGTCATTATCCAAACAGTCTGGTTCTCATAACGCCGCGGCGGCATACGAGTGAGTATTACATTACCTCCATTGAGCAACGCACTCCGTCCTATATACACTTACACACGTCTCATTTACATTGGTTGTCCCTTCTCCACCTGAAATAAACATATATTGTTGATATTTATTTTTTATTTTTATTTCTTATATATTGGATCATCGATCAAAAAAGTACTAGATACATAATCCCATTGAAAGGTTCTCTTAAAATTGTCACCAATTGTGTTTGAGTAATTGTTCCAGTTGAAATAAATAAACAACAATGTAAATTGAACCTTAAATGCAATGCTTACAGTTGCTTTCACAAAAAAACAATAATTAAAAGCGCGCTAAATGAGCGCTCATTCGGTGTAGTCATTTTTTTGTCGCTGATTGTGTATATAATACTTTTTGGATCGATGATATAGATACATTATACGTATGTTAGATGTATATGATAGGTATTCGTATCTATTTATTTGTATCTTTTTTGGTTTTTGTTAAGTGTATTATGTAAATTTTTTTGTCACTGTCAACTTTAGCGATCAATATGATTAACTTATCAGTGGAAACTTTATTGGTCTATGAACCATTTATCTATATATTAATACGTGAAGCAAAAACTTTGTACCCCTTTTTACGAAAATTGCGCGGAGGGAGGAGTATGAAATTTCCCACACTTATAGTTTATATAGAGAAGGAGTGTAGAATGCTAATATTTTGTTTTAAATATGTATAAAAATATATTAAATCATTAAAAAAAACATTACACACACCATATACTTCGACACACACACACACGCATATATACTCTTTTGTTTATTGTTAAAGTCTGTATGACTTTGTAAGAAAAATGTATAATAATGATGTTCGGCGTGGTCGACGTACCGGTCGCCGTGCGCGGCGGCGGCGGCGGCGCAGGCGTGCGCGTGGCCCAGCGTGACGAGCGCGGAGGCGAGCGCCAGGCCGCCCAGCGGCGGCGCGCGGCCGCTGCCGCCCGTGGGCAGGCGCACCAGCAGCGACAGCACGGCGGCGCGCCCCGACCGGCACGGCTCCAGCGCCACCGGCGCCGGCACGCCCGCGCCTGCACCACCGGAATAATTGCATTATATCGTATACAACCCTTTTTTTAACGTCCCACTGCTGGGCACGGGCCTCCCTTCGATACGAGGGGGATAGGGCCATAGTCCACCACGCTGGCCAAATGACTTGCTACGATAACTTGCTAGGTTCTCTCAGACATGCAGGTAACCTCACGATGTTTTCCTTTACCGTTAAGACAAGTGGTAATATCATATTCGAAATAATTCGCACATGAATATAGCGAGCCCCGAGATTTGAACCCGCTTCAGTCGGTTTCCCAAGCGAGCGCGTTACCACTGGGCTACCTCTGCCTTACCGGGGCAATACCACCCGTTAATGACCAAACCACTATGCCATGTGGTAGATATTCAATTCATGCATACTGTTTGTGTACAACTGAACATCCGGACGTCTTGGGTTCGAGTCCCAATTCGGACCAAATATTATATTGGGTTTTTCTGTTACAATACATTATGTATCATTTATAACACAATTATTCCAAATATTGCGTATGCACACGTAAAACAAAAAATTTAGATTATTTAATTTAAATTTGATATATTTCAACTATTTTATACAACTCTATCATTATTAACAACTCTATTAACTACACTACCCTTATCGTTTCGCTCAAAAAAAAGGACCTACATGTCCACTTTAAATTTTCTTTCCTGGATGTATAATAAGTTAATACAAATAAAATATATGACACTCACCCCCTCCACCCCTTTCTAACTCAATGCTAACTTGACTGAAAGGGCGCGACGCCATTTGTTCCATTTCTACAAATAATCTCTGTCTTCTTCTGTACAAGTCATATCTCTGAAAAAAAAAATACATTTTAAAATATTTTAAAGCATCTCCTAAATATATACTAATAATATTATTAATGCGAAAGTAACTCTGTCTGTCTGTTACCTTTTTACGCTTAATCAGATAAACTGATTTAGATGAAATATATGAGATGATAGTTTTTACCCTGCAAAACATCACTGTAGAGTGTGAAAAGGAGGATTTTCAAATAAGAGGTCTTTTTTATATTTTTGAAATATTTACTTACATCTCTATACCTATATATGTACATATTACATATATAGTCTATTCAACTAACGACGGAATACGTTATACGGAATGGCACAATTTTACAATAATCATGAATAATTAGTGAAAATCTGCCATTTAACAGTTCTAGAGACCTAACTTCTAATAATAGCGCCTCTCGCGGTTAATTCAAGCGCAGTAGCCCTGACTCTACCAACATAAAAATAACAATTAAAAAAATCATCACCTGTTTAATCTTCCACAAAGCCGCCGCTACAAACAATAAAAGCAGGAAACACGATGAGAACGTGATGAAGAACTGTTGCAAATTCAACTTGGGGTATTGGGAGAATGATATCTGTATCCACAATGGCGGCCGGAAGTCGTACACGTACACGAAGAACGTCGTCAGCGTCACGTTCTCTTCAACACCGAAAGCGTGTTCCGACTTCGCAAACCTGTACAGGAAGGGCCTTTGCGTCATTGTACTTGCGTGTTTGGGATCAATCATTTATCTATACATATAATAAAATTCTGAGTCGAATCTGTACATTAAATATTTTTTGGAAAATCTTATTGGAATAGTCATTATTGTCGATACAGAGGCCGAATCTATAGTTTTTAGAATTTTTGTCTGTTTGTCTGTCTGTGACCGCATCACGAGAAAACCACTGAACAGATTTTGATGAAATTTTGTATGATGATAGGGTACTTTTTACTGCGTGCTAATATCTCATCTCTGAGAAATCTATGCTAAACGTTAAAAAGTAACTAGGGACGAACCCATGCGGAGCGAGGGTGAGTCAATAGTTGTCGTCATATATTAAAAAAATAAGTTTTCGTAATGTTTAAGATTAAACTGAAACAATGTATTATTATGATAATAATAATACATCGTTTCAGTGCTTATTTATCCAAACCAATTTACCGTTAAAGTTTTTAATATATAATTCTCGACTTTCAAATGACAATTTCATTGGTATTTTACTTTGATATAGCTGAAAAGATGTATTTTATTTTCATTTAGTACATGTTGAAATAAAGCCTTTACCTTTGAAATAAAGCTTTTTAAAATAGAGGAGAAAAGCTCTCGACTGTAAAGTACAAGATGACAAATCAAAATGGCGACGGGTTGCTAATGCCAGATTCCATAGAAACCCGTATTACAACCCATTTATTCAACTAACATTAACACACATCTACATGTAAATTTTGACCACGTGTGTGTGTGCGCGTGTACACCCGTAAAACACTCACTTATATCTAAAGTTGGTGCAGTTGACGTCGCTGAAGAGCACGCGCTCGGCGCGGTCGCTGCGCGTGCGCACCGTGAGGTTCATGCGCGCGTGCGCCGAGCACGTGATGCTGAAGTCCGCGTCCACGTCCGGCTTCACCGGCGCGTTGCGGAAGTTTATCGCCGACAGGTGTCGATCCTCCTTTTTGGATAGATTGAATGTGAACTGGTAGTCCACTGCTAGGTCGTCTGGAATGGAGTTTATGATATGTACTTAGAGTGTATAGTAGCGACTTATTCTCAATAAGTAAATATCTCTAATTTCATGAATATTTTTTTTGCGCGAAACCCTAATTCTTTTTCTAAAATATACATTTCGTAAAAAAACTGTAATTTTGACATTACAAACAGACACTTCAATTTTATTTATCTACAAGCAACTCACCCTCGCTCCGCTCGGGTTCGTCCCTGCTTTCATTATAACGTTTAGTATAGATTTATATACTCACAATAACACCCCTTGTTGTACATATCAGCGTGATAGTGATTAGTGTTATCACACTTATCACACCTATCACCGGCGAGCCCCTTCGTGCTGCAGTAGCAGCGGCCCGTGTCCGCCGCGCACGACACCGCCTGCGCGTTGCACTCGCACGCTGGAAATTATGTAATCAATAAACAATAATTAATTAATAATAATAAACAAATTATGATTAATAATAAATAAATATAAACAACCTAATATATAAAAATCTCGATGTCACGACGTTTGTGGTAGCACTCCTTCGAAATGGTTCGATCGATATTAATGATTTTTTTGTATATTTAGAATGAGAATAGATCGTTAAGTATTTGTCACTCTCTTCTCTCCACCTCTTTTTCAATTAATTATTATATAAATACATAGAGACGAAACCGAATCCGCGGTGATCCGCTGTATAACATAAAGCCAAAGAGCTTTTTCGGTAGATTGAACATGTAAAATCCATTAACTAGTTTTCGCGTGAAACATCAACAAACCTACAAAGACACATTCACACACGACAAGGACAGTGCGGGGTGCATTACTCACGCTGGCACACGCCGCCGTTGAGCGGGCTGCCCCAGTGCGCGGGCGCGCAGGCGTCGCAGTGCGCGCCCAGCGCGCGCGCGCCGCACGGCCGCACGCAGCGCGCGCGCGCGTCGCACACCGCGTGCCCGTTGCACTGGCACGCCGGGCACGACGTGAAGTGCCATCTGTCGGCGTCACGACTAGTTAGTTGGAGTAAAATATGGCGACAGGTGGCGTTGTGTGCAAGGAGTTTTATGTGAAATTATAAAAATATAATAAATAATATGAAAATACTAAAATTTGTGATAGTTGGTATGTTGTAGGCGTAAACAATAGAGAAAGTAATAGGTTATTATATCTAAGCTGCGTATATGTATTAAATATTTATTTAGGCAAAAAGAACACATAATTAAATTGTCTTTCACACTCGAAAAGAACTATTCATATATTCTAAATTAAGAACATTTTGATTTTTTTTTACATTAAGAACCTAATCCCAAAAACACCAAGTCCAACGGCCCAAAACTCCCAGAATGCAATAATTGCTTCAATAGTATCTATAAAAAAAAATTAAACAAATTATTCTACAACTCACAAATATCAAAATAATAATATGTATATATCACACGAGCTTCTTTCTGGTCCCTATAATATGAATCTCAACTTTCATCACAATTGATAGTAGGCTTATAATTTACACTTATTATAAAGACGAAAGATTTGTATTTTTGTATGTTTGTAAAGAATAAACTCAAAAACTACTGGACCTATTTAGATGAAATTTGGTAATAATATAGTTTGAAACCCTGGGGAGAATATAGGACGGATTTTATTCCAGAAATCATCCCCTAAGGGGGTGAAAACAGGCTACTTCAATTTTATAGAAATATTGTAATTTATAATTTAACTTTATAAAAAAGATAATGAAATAATATTAGTCCTGCTGAGTTTAATTCGCCAGTTCTTCTCAGGTCTGATGCTTCTTCTTGGTAGTAGACTCATGACGTTAGCAAAAAATTGTAATAATTTAATGCTGAATATTTTGGTTTGAATTTAATTTGAAAGTTTGTATGGGGTATTAACCTATAAAAAAACCTTATAAAAACACAGCACTAACCGTTTATGCGGACACACGTGGGGATGATGTGCCCTCCTATCCCCTCCGGGCAGGCACACCCCCCGGCCCCCGCCCAGCCCGTCGTCGCACCACCCGCACGCCGGCTCGGTGAGGCACGCGGCGCACGACGCGTGCGCACTGCACCCCGCACCCGTCGCACCCGATGCACCCGTCGCACCCGTGGACGGACACCCGCCCGTCGACCACGCGCGACACCCGCCCAGCGGGAACGAAGCGCCGTACGCGTTCTGTTGAACGGGTGAAATGAATTTGATCACTAATTATTATTTTTACTAGTATTATTTTTGAAGTGAAACTTCTTTAGAATCATTGTGATTTGAAACTCTATGAAACGCAAATGCGACACTAAAAAGAGACAAACAAATAAATATATAGGATTAAGTCGGCGAGAGAATAAGATAGAATATAGAACCTATATAAAACTCCATCTTCTAACGTGTCATACTTTTTAGAACATCTTGAATATTTACTGCACGTGATCTCACGTAAATACAAAAAAAATAGTTGTGTATGGGGACATAAACATAGACATACTAAAAACAACTAATGAATCTAATGATCTATCGGCAATTTTAAAATAATATAATCTAAAAAATCATATTCTTAAACCAACACGAAATAACAGTTGCTTAGATCTTATCATCAGCAACTTTCATGAAGCAAATGCGGATATACATCCTTTGGCTTTATCTGACCATGAAACCGCCCAGAGTCTGACAGTTAGGGTAGATATTAACCCAAAGTATAAACCATTGCCTACGTATTGGTTTGAATATAGGAGAGACCTCAGTAGCGATAATATGAGAAACTTTAGAAATAATATCAGCTCTATCATTCTACAATATATTACAAGAATCAGATACTGAACTTGCTTTTACTGAGTTCCATGAATTGTTGATTCTATTCTTTAACTTATGTTTTCCCTTAATAAGATATAAAGTAACTCGGAAACCACTAAAGAAAAATGGCTTACAAGAGGGATAAGGAGAAGCTGTATAATAAAGCGGAAAATGTATATTACATATCGATTGAACCCACGTAACAAAAATTATAATAAAAAAAGTACAATAAATACAGTAACATTTTAAAAAAGTGTGTATTAATGGCGCAAATACTCGGCACTACTAAATATATAACAAATTCTGACAATAAATGTATAGCATCATGGAACATTATTAAAAATACATTCGAAAACACACGAAAACAAAACGAAATTGAAGAAATATGTGTAGATAAAAATTATATTAATGACCCCAATTTGATTAGTGAATATTTAAATAATTATTTTATAAATTTGACAAATACTAACACAAATAAAGTGACATATAAAAATAAAATACCATCCAATAGTAATAGCATTTTCTTGACACCAATAAATAAATTTGACATTTTAAAAGTAATTACATCATTAAGAAATACTAACTCCACAGGATATGACATGCTTAATACAAAACTTATAAAACAATGTGCTCTGACCTTGGCTAATCCTCTTGCTCACCTAATTAATACTTCCTTTTTGGAAGGCAAGTTTCCATCACTTTTAAAAAAATCAATTGTGAAACCTATCTTCAAAAAAGGTGATGTAAAGAACCCTGAGAATTATAGATTCATTACACTAATACCAGTCCTCTCAAAAATTTTCGAAAAAGTAATGCATAATAAATTTTATGATTTCTTGTGTACATACCATATATTAAAAGAATCACAATTTGGTTTTAAAAAAGGGAGCTCTACCACACTAGCCTGTTTCACGCTTATTAAAAACGTAACCGAATGTTTAAATAAAAACATTAATCCTTTATCGCTTTTTCTAGACAAGACAAAGGCATTCGATTTCGTATCTCATTCAGTATTGCTAGAAAAATTGTATAAATATGGTATAAGAGGACAGGCATTTGAATGGATAAAAAGCTTTCTTAGTAATCGTACTCAATGTGTAGAAATAATAAAAACTTGTGATAATTTTAAAAAAACATTCCAATCTACCTATCGTCACAATTCATATGGAGTACCCCAAGGAAGTATCTTAGGGCCTTTATTATTTCTCATATACATAAATGATATGCCTGACGTCATCAAGCATAAATGTATTTTGTTTGCTGACGACACTACAATTACTGTCTGTTGCAAGAATTTAGATGAGACTAAGTATGAAACTAATTCATCTTTAAAAAAAACATTGACTGGCTAATACAAAATAATTTAAAAATTAATTTGAAAAAGACGAAAGCAATTCAGTTTGAAATTAGAAATAGTAATATTAAAAAAATTGACATTAATTACAACGAAAATAAAATTGAAATAGTCGACTCGACGGTATTCTTAGGTATTACAATAGACAAACAATGCAACTGGAAAGAACACATCAATAACTTATGTGATAAACTAGATAAATTTATTTTCGTTCTAAAGAGATTACACAGAATAGGAACTTTAGAAGCGTGTTTATTGGCATATCATGGGTATGTCTCATCAAACCTTAGATATGGTTTGATTTTTTGGGGCAATTCTGTAGATGCAAACAAAGCATTCAAAATACAAAAAAAAGCGTAAGATCGTTATGTGGTGCTCACTATTTGGACAGTTGCAAGCCTCTTTTCAAGTTACTAAAAATTCTTCCTCTGCCTTGCTTGTACATATTCGAAATATGTTTATTTGTAAAGAAATATCCATACTTGTTCAAAAAAAATCAAGAAATTATACCAAGATCCACAAGGTACCCTAATAAACTTCATATACCATCAAAAGTTAACAGTATTTTCCAAAAATGTATATTGTATGGCAATTGTAATATATAACAAACTACCAGACGATTTCAAGAAATTACCATTTAAATTATTTAAAAAGAAATTGTTTGATTTATTATTAGAAAAATTATTTTATAATGTTAATGACTATCTTATTTGTGGAGTTTGAAATGATATGACATTGTTATAAATTATTATTATTATTATTATTTTTCTCTATATATATATAATATAAACTTGACATTAACTTTCGATTTTGACATGATATAGAAATAATTTTTAAATAATTAAGTTCAATTTATATAAATATTTGCACACTCTTCATGAGTAGAATATGTATGAACTTAACTGTAAACCATAAGAACATTGTAAATACCATATTCTGAGCAAATAAAGAATTATTATTATTAATACATTGCCATGTTGCCATGGTAACCGTTATAATTATCTGACAATTATATAATATATTTTTCAAAATATAAAAACATCAAATAGCGAATTGACCTCAGGCGCGCCACCGGCGTCTTATTTATTTCATAATAATATTACAACTTTTGGCAAATTTTACTACTAACACTAAAACTGCTAATCTTTGTGTTACTCCAGGTTATAGTCTTTATTCACCCCAACCCAATACAAACTTTTATCCCCTTAAGGGATGATTTCTGAGATAAAAGTATCCTATGTTCTTCCCAGGGTCTCAAACTATCTTCTTACCAAACTTCATCTAAATCGGTTCAGTAGATCCAGAGATTACCCCCTAGAATCTCACAAACTTTACCTCTTTATAATATTAGTATAGATAATATCTATCCATCTCTTTTCTTCTTCCATCTTTCTCTCACTCTCTTTCACTCACCTTGTCCACACAGCGCTCAGCGGACGCGCACCAAATGCACTCCTCGGCGGTACAATTGGCGCACGTTTTGAAACTCGCGCACGCGGCGCTGCACACGCCCGATGTGGTCGCTGCTACACTTCTGAAATGATATTGATTAAATATTATTTTTATGTAACTAATGAATCTAATTTTAATAATAGAAAAATAATAGTCACATACAAACTATCCATGTTGAAAATGATTGATATAAACGCATAATTAGTCTGTAAACATGAAACTTAGACTTTAATATATATAATAATTAAATACCTTATATCAGTAGACGAGTTAGCCGGACGACACTTCACAGTATCGTAGTCCCAATAGCACGCTCGTTGACTTAACTCTTCTGAGCCCTGCGTACAAATTAATAAAATCTTAATAATTGAAAATTTTATTTTGTTCTATCTATTCAGCCTTTTTTACGTCCCACTGCTGGGCACAGAGATCCCTTCAATGCGAGGGGGATCCAGCCGTAGTCCATCACGCTGGCCAAATGCGGGCGAACTGTGCATGTCTTTGGAAAACTTGCTAGACCGTATGAAAATCCGATCGGTAGTTTTTGAGTTTATCACGAACAGACATACAGAAGCCACGGGAAGACTATGTTTTTTACAATATGTGTATATATAGATAGTAAGTAGTGATAATCACGTGTGGATGTCGATGCGTGTGCGCGTGGCAGGCGGCGCACGAGTGGTAGCGCGCGCACGTCTCGCCGCCCGTGCTCGTCGCTATGCACTCGTCCACGGAGAGCGCCAGCTGGAATGGAAGAGTTTCATCGTTATTTGTTTGAATGAACATCAAAATTTAAAAAATATACTGTGTTCTTAATCATATAGTGACGTCATTAACCTACCTAAATTAGTATTTAAGCTAGTATACATTATTATATTATGTCAGAATTAATGTGTAATTAGACCTATTAAAGTTTTCATTACACACCCGTTCTGAACTCTATAATATACTAGCGACTCACCCTCGCTCCGCTCGGGTTCGTCCCTATTTATGTTTTAACATTTAGTATAGATTTCTCAAAAATGAGATATTTCCCACAATAAAAAGTGTCCTAAATATTGACCCAGATAACCAGCTATTAGCATACCAAATTTCATCAATATCCGTCCAGTGGTCTTTTCATGATGCGGTAACAGACAGACAAAAATTCTAAAAAGTATAGATTCGGCCTCTGTATCGATAATAATGTTTATTTCAATAAGATTTTCCAAAAAATATTTAATGTACAGATTCGGCTTAGTTACAATTTTATTATATGCACACATACATATACATAAAAGTTACGACGATAGAAAGAGAGAGTAACAATGATTTAAAAGCAAACAGCAGTGCCAGGAAAGAGTGAGACAGACATATCCTAGAGCCAAATACCTGGTGTGAGTGTCGCAGACAGCGCTGCGGCGCGAGGCAGGCGCCGCACCACGCGCAGCCCAGCGCCACGCACGCCGCGCAGTAGTCCGCGCTGTTGCAGCGTCGCTCGTCTACCGGCGATAAAGACAATTTGCTATATTATTTTGAAATTTTGTCTTACATTCTAAGACATCTAAGCTATTTAAAAAAATATAAGCCTTCAAAGTAAGCTTTCATGTTTTCTGACAATGTTTTTTTGTTGTAAAATTGCTATATATCTGTGACCAATCTGCTTGACATACAAACAATTCAATTCAATTTAATTATTAATGGCTTCAAAGCGTGCCAGTTGAGCACATTGATGTATGTACATATGTTTCGATTAACAAATATAAATTTATAAGAAGTTTGGCAGTAGTTATATCTCCAAACGAAGGATAATCTATCTCGTAATTTTAACCGTTAGTTAACGCTTTTAAAAGAACACGTTAGTTCTTTTAAATTAAAACTATTTGTTTTCTAGCTAAGCTTGAATTTCACTTTTTTTGCCCTATTTTAATTATTTGTAATAATAAAATGTTACCAAGACGCATATATATAAAGTAATAGTATAATAAAAGCCTAATATCACACTCACCAAACACAGGTTCCACATGACATGCCTTGATCGACTCATCGTGTGATTGTTTCCATCCAATCTCTTCTAACTGCAATAAAACATTGTATTAGATAAGTAAGTCAAAATATAATACATTTAAATTAATATATTCTGCATATTGCACAATATTATATTATAAATACAAACAAAAAAATAATAATATAACTGACTTTTTCAAGGATATATACATTCTGGAATAATCAATAACCAAACCAAAATAAACGGGTTATTTAGGTTGGGTTTAAACTTAAGCTTAATCTTTCTCAAGAATAACCATTAACCAGTATTATTTCGGTTTTTTAAGCCGGTCATTTTTATTAACCGGTTAATAAGCGAGTTATAAATTAACCATTACATAACCGAAATTTTAATAATAATAATTTTATTCAAATACTTTTACAAAGTTACGTATATAACATTTACATAATATTGTATATATGCATGTTCGAGCGTATGTTCTCTCATAATTAGTAAACGGCTTAACTGATTTTAATGATTCAAACTTCATTAGAGTTATCCTGATCACGCAATTGTTATAATCTATAATGTAGAAATACATTAAAAAAATCTAAATAATCGATTTCAGGCGTCAATTTATGTCATTAAAAAAAACTAACCCTATCAAGCGGGCTATCAAATCAACAAAAAAAAAGACAAAAATCACAAATCTATACAACTCACACATAATACTATTCTCGTTCGTCAGTTTTACATAATCAAAATCCAGTATATATACATAAAAAGAAACAAACATACAGCCACACATGTCCGGTCGGCGGGCCGCCACGCGCACGCGACGGCCGCGCGCCGCGCGCTCACGAGGCAGGCGAGCTCGTCGCGCCACGCGCCGCACTTGCCGCCCGACGTGAACGTCAGCGCGTCCGAGCGGAGGCGGCCGTCGAAGCTGGAATATGATACACATAGATAAATAGGGGTCATACATCCATTATTCACGTGAGCAAATGAGAAAATATTATGAGAAAAACATTAATGGATATTCCCTTATTGTATACCATATTAGAACCAATAAACACAACAAAAATAATACATTACAATACGAAGATATACATCCTTTCTTATCGCTAAAAGCGACCTTTCTCTCGCAACCTTGAGGTGGAGGAGTGTGTGGCGGAAATGGTACACAATTACATAATAATTAAATTATTAACATAAATATTTGTTTTTTTTTTTAAATAAAAATCGAGAATTGACTAACTTTTATTCATCTATTTAAAAAACGTCGACGGTTGATCGACTACAGTACTTATAAATCTATTTGAATAAAGTACACCTTAGTTTCCGTGCGTCTCCACCAGATGGTAGGACCTGCGCATTACAGAGCTTACACGTGGAGGTCAAGTGCACCCACGATGCTTTCAAAGGCATACGTTGAGAACGTATAGATCCAACAGTAATGATATTTTAATTTGAAGCCCTCACCCGCCATGCACGATCACGGTGGGGCGCGGCGCGCGCGGCAGCATGGCGGCCGCGTGCGCCGCGCGGGACGAGCTCTCCGGTCCGCTGATTGTGTACCACGTACTACATCTGTAATGGAGAAAATATTCGATTATACCTACTTCTAAATACTTTCTTGGATTTACGCGAATATTTGACAATCTATACTAATATTATTAAAACAGCCAGAGTTTGTTTGTTTGAACGCGCTAATCTCACAAACTGTTAATCCGATTTAATTTTTTTTGCATTAGATAACCCGTTTATTGTGGAAGGCTATAGGCTATATACAGAATGGTCCAAGAAATGACGTCATAATTTTTTTTTAGATTCCTCACATCTGGATGTATCCGAAAAAACCCCATGTATGTTCCGCGATTTTTCATAGTTTAGAAGTTATGATTTTTTTAATTTGTATTTGCGAATTTTCTACCGGACCAAATTAAAAAAATCATAACTTTTTTAATAGTAAAAAAAAATGGTTTCTTTTTCTGCAACATGATCGTCTTGAATCACTTTTTGATACGTTATAATCAACTACAAAACGTCCTTCATTATAAGATACCAAAAAAAGGGTCGAAAGTGAAAATTTTAGTTTTGAGTTGGAACCCCAACCCCGATAAGGAGAACTATCTTATACGGGAGACAAGTTGAAAAAGTGTCCATCTGTAAGCGGTAAATAACAATTTAAACCCACCACACACAAAGAGTGGCGCTAGCATAGATGTAGGGTATGGTATGAATGTAACAATTGTAGACGGAGTGAAGTGTGCAATATTAAAAAAACAGTCATGAGGCCAGCTAACAGAAGTGAAAACTTAAAACTAACAAACAGTTGTTATTTTTGGATATTCAAATTGTTTGATCTTAAATTAAAATGTATTAATTAAAACTGTTGACATTTATCTGGTTTCGGCACTCTGAGTGTTAGCGTTAACACGTCACGTGACCATGTCGATGACGACTTACATGAACTTACTCCCCATCCAAATCTGTCTCAAATGACAAACGTCTCTGATTTATTTTTTGTGATCTTTTGGGCGCTTTCTTTAAAATTTACCCTGTTGCTACTGTAGCACCACCTTTAATTATCGCCCTTCAACGGACACTTTTTCATCACAGAGGTAGTACTCCTCTTGTATCTCCACATTGTAGGGATGTCGGCATTGAAAAAAAATCAATATATCGACATTTATTAAAATATGTATCAATATCGGCCTCGATATCTCGAGGAAAAAATATCGATATATCGGTCAAATTTTCAGAGATTTTCGGTTTTAAAATAATAATGTATTTAGTTCAGTCTGGCTTAATAATAGTATTTTTTATATAAAATGCACATTATTTTATTGCAAGAGAATGTTAATAAAAACGAAGGTATTTTAGCCACTTCCAATAAACTGGTTCTTACGGCACTTAAAGTGAGTGACTCATGATGGCCGTCACATACACACACACTTACACGCAACACAAAAAAAAATACTAGTCATAGACAATACAGTAATTTTTTTCCGTTCGTTCCTACCTTTTACGGCTTTGAATTCTGTTGAAATTTTCCGTTAATAAGTTAAATTGGAAAAAAATAATCGTCTTTGATACGATTTTCGATATTGAATATTTTGTATCGCTATATCGTTTTAAAATATATTGGCTAAAAATATCGATATATCGAATCAAAAATATCGATGTTTTTCAACAAGCCTACCACATCGATATGTAGTACCTGACGTCGTACAACAGCGCTTCGGCGGAGTAGCACTGGTCAGCGGCGCTGGCGATGGCGGCGGCGCTGTCGTTGTGCGCGTTACCGCCAAAAACTAACATTATACCTGTGGGAATTACACATATCTATTATGTTTAATTGAATATTTTTGAAGTGTAAACTTCTATAGGCAGGTTTGGATAGGGAATAAATTCAAGTAAGTCGTCATCAACATGCTCACTTAACGTGCTAACGCTAACACTCCAGAGTGCCGATAGATCTCAAAACCAGATAAATGTGAACAGTTTTAATTTACAAATTATCCAAAAATAACAACTGTTTGTTTATAGTTTTAAGTTTTCACTTCTGTCGGCAGTCCTCATGACTGCTTGTTTTTTTTTATTTAGGGACGCATTTGAGCGAAGGGTAAGTCACTAGTTATTAATAATAATAATTAATTATAATTGCCTATGTGTTGTGTCTCAGGTCATAGTCTGTGTACAAAATTTCACCCAAATTTGTCCAGCCGTTATGACGTGAATGAGTAACAACACACATACAAAATTTCTCATTCCTAATAATACTGTTATTCTACGTATTATACATAATATACCATAACATACTGCACTAGTTGTTCATAAATCTGTATAATATATAAATATTATAAATGTGTAAGTTTGTATGTACAGATGTTTGTTACTCTTTCACACCAGCACGATTGAACGGATCTGGATGAAATTTGTCACAGAGATAGATTATAGTCTGGAATAACACATAGACTACTTTTTATCTCAGAAAAATATATGGTTCCCGAGGGATAGATCTGTTTTTGTTTTTCTAGTGCTAGTATAATATAAAACACACTAATTTCGTTGTATGTCGAGTTTAACAAACACTTTGTACGATAACAATTGACATTTATATGAAGTCTACTAGTGACTCATCCTCCATTTTAACGTTTAGTACAGATATCTCAGAGATGATATATTTTCTCGCAGTAAAAAGTTATCAAAGCATCCTATATGTCGTCCAGGACAACCAGCTATCATCATACTAAAATTTCATCAAAATCTGTCCAGTGGATTTCTCGTGATGCGTTCCCAGTCAGACAGATAAAGAGACACAAAGACAAACTTTCTTTGTATCGATATTCATTTTCCAAAAAATATTTAATGTACAGATTCCACTCAGTTATAATTTTATTATATATACATATAGATTAAATAAATAAACACATAATATATGTACTCTCCAAGCCTCATATATTACGCAGAAAATTAAAGTGACATTCAACAAAACTATGGTCTAGTTTTGTTGAATGAAAGAAAAATAATAATGAATTAAAGAAAAATACAAATCTTACCAGGCGATATAAAAATAGCTGTATGTAAATATCTAGGGGTAGGCGCGGGGGGCAACGGCCGCCATATTCGAGTTTCCACTTCGTATTCATAGAGTGCGGAAGATGGCGCCTAAAATTAAACAATTATTAAATATAATTCCACACACGGTCAACTATTTAAACATAAAATAAAAAATATATGACTAAGTAAAGAATACGTCCTAGTCTGTATAAGTTTCTTTTTTATAATATAAAACTGCTTCGGTTGACTAGTGGCTAGCACGTACGACCACAGATCCGGAGGTTCGAGTACTGAGTCGGGCCATGTTCAGTTATTCACTATTTTTGTCAAAAAAAATCAGTAACAGCCCGGAATTGGGAAGTTGGCGAGGTTAACCTCTATGCCGAGGCAGAGCACGTAAAGCCGTCGTCTGATCTCTCACTAGTTATGTCAAATTATAATAAATTAAAGAATTTAAAAATGACAGAAACAGAAAATGCACGTTATGTCTGCACTATAATATCTCCTGCAGTTGGCTAGTCCCTGTGAGGACATTATTATTATTATGGATTATGAAGATTGTAGGGGACGCGACCTACCACTAAATGCTTGATAAATTAAATACAGTTTGAGATCGTTAAACAGTTTATTGATTTAATTATATGCTATACTAATGATTGATGCTAATTAATGATGCTAATGAATGATAATGAATGTAGCCGGTTTGATTGCTGTCCGAACACGCACTGCCTTTTTAGGCGTATTTCGATGTATTTATAACACACCTACTAAGCATTATTGCTTAGGTGTTCGGTACAAACCTTTGGACCGAACAGATTATATATTATATAAACTTTCTTGTTGATGAAAGTGCGTCGAATTACGATAAATCAACTTGTACATGGGCTTTTATACGTTGTTCTAAAATAAGAAATATAATATTCTATAACTTGTTATTTAAAAGCAATTGTCTCATTTTTCATGAGCTCTATCAGCAGAAGCAGGCTGTATCACGATACCAGATAGTTGATACACTAGACATATAGTATAACTTTAAATACATACATATTATAAATATAAACACCCGTGACCTACAAACATTCGTGCTCATCACACAAACGAATGCCCCCAGCGGGAGTCGAACCCGCGCCTGCCGGCACAGCAAGCAGGGTCAGGCCTCAAGGCAATGCGCACGGTCACCTGCGTGGCCTCGGACTCGGACACGAGGCCGGCGTGCACGTACACGCGCGCCGACAGCGCGTCCCACGCCGCCGAGTGCGCGAAACCGCCGCGCGCCGCCCACCCGCGCGTCGCCGCCGCCGCCCACACGCCCTCCTCTATGTAATACTCCTGTGGGATTGACAAAATAGTGTTATTATTGGGAAAGTTTATGTGTATGAGTGTGTTTCAACTGGAATAATTACCTAAACACAATTGGTGACAGTTAAGTAAGTTAAGAGAACTTTTGAATGGGATTGTGTATATAGTATTTTTTTGATCGATGTTACATTTCTATATTCAAAACATACTATTTCGAAATATTATTTTTTACAAATAGAAGAAAAAATATAACAAATAAATACATTTCATAACAACCTGTACAAGATGCAAGTATCCATAATGCGGTGAGTGACCAAAAAAAACTAACATAACAGGTTTCTTCGTCGCACCCATATGTACCAGCACGGCCGTGTGGCCCGATAGGTGGAGGCCACCTGGAAATAACAAGTAATTAAAATTATTTTAAACAATAAAATATAGACATCATTGATATATAAAAATATAGATATGTACACATTTCTTAACAAATATGTCTTCAGAATGTGGCGTCGAGATAATATGATGTCAAGTCAAACCAAAGAATAAAATTCAAAAAAACGAAAATTCTAATTGTCTATACACAAATTCGAACTTACACACACCACATAAAATATTGAAACGAAATAATGAGATTTTATATTTGTACATCTGAAAAGCAATGAAAAAAGTGCACGATTTCGAATAGTGCAATTTTTTTCGAGGATACTTTTGAGATGCTATTTGTGTATCTTGAGTTTTTGCATATCAATGATAAAAATACAAATTCTAGTTTTATTTCCAGTATTTTTTTACTATTTTATTATTGTTGCACTCGCTTGGGAACTTGAATAAAGCGGGTTACAATATCAGGTCACGTACTTCTGATATTTTCATGTGCGAATCATTTTCCAACATAATTACTACTTGTCTTACTGTGAAGGAAAACATCGTTCGAAAGACATGCTCAGTCTCCCCGCATTTGGACAGCGTGGTGAACTATTTATTTATTTAGGGTAGCTAACAGAACATACACTTAAATCGTACAAAAACTACATGTCTAAATTTTACAATTGGTATAGGTTGTTCTACTTAAAGGCTACCAGGACAAGCGAAAACAGAAAGAGAGGTAACTGAAACTATATAAATAACTTTTTAAAATACATACGTAATTTATATATAAACACCTATAACTGGAGTACAAACATTCGTGCTCAACACAGAAATGAATGCCCCCAGCGGGACTCGAACCCGCGACCGCTGGCACAGCAAGTAGGGTCAATACAAAAATGCAGGTTACCTCACGATGTTTTCCTTCACCGTTAAGACCTATCTATATAGAGTATAGTAGTATATCTATATAGTGTATATATTACCGCAATGCTTGATGGGCGGCGCTCGGTGCGGCGCGCAGGCGGCGGGCGTGGCGTTGCGCCAGTGCGCGTGCGTGGCGCCCAGCGCCGCGCGCCACACCTCGTTGGTGACGGCGCCCGCGCGCCCCTCCAGTCCCGCCAGACCGCCGCTGAGGGGAGTAAAATATTATATTATTTATTAACAGAACCCGCGACTACCAAAAATAGCAATCTACAAAAAAAACTCTTCGGCTTTATGTTATACAGCGTATATATTTATATAATACTAGCAGAATCCGCGGCTTCGCTCGCGCTAACAAACTCTAAAATGGTAGGTTTCATACAAACTTTAATCTCCCTATTTTACCGCCTTATGGGATGAATTTCGAAAAATGCTAAAACTCCAATAATTCTAATCATAAATAATTTTTAGGTTGTATTATAACATGTTGTCCCGTGGGAATGTAAAAAATCCAATAAGTATATGTATGTACACATTACATCACATAACGACTGTTACGAATTGCATATGTCTTATATCTTTAAACGAGCAATTCTTGTATATATATATATAATCTGAATCTCGGAAACGGCTCCAACGATTTTCATGAATTTTAGTACACAAGGGGTTTCAGGGGCGATATATCGATCTAAATTAGTCTTATGCCTGGAAACGCGTGTTTTCGAACTTTCATGTGGTTTTCTATCGCATTATTCCACGCAAAATATGGTCGATAAATTAGCACGCTCATCATGCATGCATCATGGTCAAGCGGCCAAGGCGCAAGATTGTCTATCATAGGTGTCCGGGTTCGAATCCCGGTCGGATACAAAGGTATAATATTTTGTTTTTTTTTTGTATTTATTCAAGTTTTTAGTTCTTTTTTTAAAGAAAATTGTACTTTTGACCAAAAACTCCGAGCGAAGCTCGGTGGCCCAGGTGCTAGAGCATTATAAAGAATAATGTAGAACCTAAAAAGCACCCTTATCAAACTAAAGTAAATAAATAAGGCAGTCAATAGTAAAGAATATTAAACCAACCCTCTCTCTAGTTCCTCCGAAGCAACCACCCCACCATACACAATCAACTCGTCCTCGTATATGACGGCCGCGTGTGCGAATCTCGGCAATGGTACTTCACCTTTCGACTCCATTGTTATCCACTCTTTTTCTGCTGTTTTGTATCTGTGTAGGACAAAAAAAAATATATGAATGTTTGTATGAAAAAAAGGGGTTCGGATAGCAATCAAAAATGTACTAGATACACAATTCCATGCAAAAGTTCTTTTAAAACTGTCACTGTAGTTATTCTAGTTGAAATAAACACAACAATGTAAATTGAACCTTAAATGCAATGCCTAAAGTTGTTTTCAAAATTATATTTTTTAAATTAAAAGCGTGCTCAAATGTTCAATTGAGCGCTCATTCGGTGAGGTCGTTTATCTAGTACTTTTTTTATCGATGGGTTCGAATATTTTTCTATGGAATCTGTCATTGGTAATTCGCCGCCATATTGATTTTCATTTTAAAGTAGTGGCACACAATTTTTTATGGTATAAATAGATAGAGAGAACATTAACAAACAAAACTACAATTTAAATTGCACTAAAGTGTCGGTGACGTTTCCGAAATATTCCAAGGTAAGGATTACATGAGAAGTATGAGAATAGGGAATATGCGTGTTTTTTTTAATTCTTTATACAATAGCTTACATCGTTATATGATTGTAAAAAAATATCTAGCTCCAAAAAACTAAAGTTTAGTATTTTTGCTTAAATATAAACGCAAAATGGTTTATGGCTAAATTAAAATGGTTCTATCCCCTTCAGATTACTAATATATAAAAATTACTTGACAAAGACAACTATAAACATGTATGAAATGCATAATATATAGCAGTTTATTATAATATACAAGCACTGCCCGCGGCTGCGCCCGCGTTCAGATGACCAAAAAACCAAATTTTTAGGTTTTACATATTAGTATAATCTTACATTGCGGTTTTTGTAATACTTTCTTAGATTTACGCGAATGTTTGACATTATTAAATAAAACAATCTTTTGAGGTTTTTGTATTTTTTCTCAGAAATGAGATATTTTCCCGCGATTAAAAGTGTCCTATATGTGGACCCGGATAACTAGCTATCACCATACCAAATTTCATCAAAATCCCTCCAATAGTTTTTCTGTGATGCGGTAACAGACAGACAGAAAGATAGACAGACAGACAGACAAAAATTCTAAAAACTATAGATTTGGCCTCTGTATCGATAATAACGTTTATTTCAATAAGATAATACTAATTAATTAAGTGACAATAAACAATTATATATTCCTGCATTCTATTCTTTTATAAAAACAATACAATACAAGTAAATCACAGAAAAATACGTCACTTTATAACATAATCCGTCACTCACCTGTACAAAAACGACCCCTCCCCAAACATCTCCCCACCAACCCTTAACAAATCGTCCGAATAATTCAACAACACATGTCCAGCACTGGCGGGCGGGGTATTTTTCGGCCTAGTTTCAACCCCCTCGCCCTCCTCCCTCCACGCCCACCCCCATCCCGCGATACTTATATCCCTACTGCAGTCTATCCCGGTTTTCGAGGGGGTACATTCACATCCCATTGTGGTGCACAAACCGGCACCATATTCCGCGTTGCAATCGTCTGAAACATTTGTTTTTTTTTTCAATTACATTATTCGTACAAATTAAGGCTAAAAATTAATAACGGAAAAAAATCAATATTTCTTAAATGATTGCAAAAAGATTTATTGCAGGAAATGGTCATAATAATATAGATTTCGAATATAAATAAATATGTTGGGACACAGCACTATCTAGTCCCATGGTAAGCTACGAGGCTTGTGTTATGGATACCAGATAGTTGATACACTACACATATATAACTTTAAATATATACATATTATACATATAAACACCCATGACTGAATTACAAACATTTATGCTCATCACACAAATGAATACCCCCAGCGGGACTCAAACCCGTGACCGCTGGCACAGCAAGTATGGTCACTACAAGCTGAGTCAAACGTGTCGTCGATACAGTTCAAATCCAAAGATAAAACTCGAGAACTCCATCGGTAATGCAATAACATTTAACCCTTAATGTGATTTTTTTATAAATGAACGAGAAAAAACAGTAAACAAATAAAATAAATGAAGATGATTAAAAAAAACATAATCTCATCAACATAAATTATTTTATAACTCAACGTTTGTTGTAGTTTTCTTTGAATAGAACACCTAGGCACTTTAAAACTATAATCCGTCTTTAAAGAGAGCGCCTATGTTCTACGCCTTATAGGCTTAAAGAGTGACTTACAGCGCTTTTATCGGATGTCCTTATTTTATTACTAACAGTAACATATGTCTTACAACGAACTGGTGTATACATATATATGTATTCAATCCTTTTTAACGTCCCACTGCTAGGCTGCTCCTCTCCATGCGTGAGGGAACAGACAATAGTCCACCACGCTGGCCAAGTGCGGACTTACTGAGCAAGTCTTTCGATAACTTGCTAGGTTTTCTCAGACATGCAGGTTTCCTCACGATATTTTCCTTCACCGTAAGACAATAGGTAATCATATTGGAAAATGATTCGCACATGAAATTATAAGAGGTGCAAGAGCCGGGATTCGAACCTGCTTCACTTGGTTTCCCAAGGAAGCGCGTTACCACTGGGCTACCACTGTCTTCACTACTGTGTAGGTGCGTGATAGAGTAACAAACATACACACATACAAACTATTGCATATATAATAATAGTGTGATTTCTATACAATAATCAACCATATTTTCTAACTAAAAATTAACTTACTCGGACAAAGTGGTTCATCACAAGCCACTCCAACCCAGTCGCCTTCACATCTGCACGCACCTTCGTCACATTCACCATGATCTGAAAATATACAAATAATATACCTTATAATATTAAATGAGCAATTCTTGTACATACATACATACATACATCTATACTTATTATAAAAATAAGTCCCCCGGCCGCGTCTTTCTGTCCTCCTGTCTGTCCTCCTGTCTGTCTGTACGCGATAAACTCGAAAACTACTGAACGGATTTTTATACGGTTTTCAACAATAGAAAGAGTAATTCTTGAGGAAGGTTTAGGTATATAATTTATTATGCTTTTATGTAAATTAGCTGAAATACGGCGACAAATGTTGAAGAGGTCGCAAAAAATCTCGCCAAATGGGAACTTTCCACGCGAACGCCGCGTAAACTAGCAAAGATACAGTTAAGTAATGTACTAGAGAATTCAAAATCTATAAAAATGCTACAAAAAAGTCCGCGATAGCATATCTCTATCTCTTACGGTTGACTTACAATAACCACTTTTATGTTAACATTTTTAATTAAAAACATTACGTTATTTTCAAAGTTATTTTCTTTAGTTCGGTATTAATCCTTATCCAAATGAATATTTTAGTTAGCTTAGTCATTTAATGCAGATTAAAATTGCTCTTTACACTAAATCAATCAGATGAATAGTTTTTGAGATATCGTTGTTAGAAGTAATTAGTAGCGAAACATTTTTAATGCTTGGCGAGCATTGAGATGCCTACGGCGAGTCCATCCCCTCTGCCCCGCATCGCTCGACCGCCTGCTCAAGCTATATAAACCGGGCGATGTAGCGCGCGATCCTAGGATACTTTTTACCGCGGGAAAATATCTTATTTCTGAGGAAAAATACAAAAACTGCAATGTAAGAGTATACTAATATGTAACACCTAAGAATTTAGTTTTTGGTCATCTGAACGCGGGCGGAGCCGCGGGCAATGCTAGTACACATATAAATTTATTTCTGAAATTCTGTATCTCAGAAACGACTAACGATTTTGATCAAAATTTGTATTTAGATTTGCTGTTTTAAGTCTATCTGTATGAGGTGATTTACTCTCGCTTTACTCAGGTATCTGTACTTTATGAGCATGAAATTTAAATCCTGTAACACATGGGATAAAGTTCAATATCAAACAATTAAGTGAAAAGTAAAGAACCTGAAAACCATTTTTCATTTAATAAGAAGTTTTTTATAGAATAAATGTATTACTACGAGTAAATATAATATATGAACGTAATTCTATACTTGAAGCTCCCTTAAAAAGTTTCTTCGGAAATGTCATCGGAAGGGGTGAGAGCTCCCCTAAAGCCATACAAATACAAGTCTGACAAATGCATAATCCAAGAATTGATGTTAAATGAAAGTGTACTTTTTACGCACTAGTTTATATTATTAGCACGCACCAGAAATACTCGTCAAGACCCTACCTCAGAAGACCCTATCAAAGTTTCATCATTATCGGATGAATAATTTAGAAATGCTTAGGGAATAAACATACAAACATTCATTACTATTTATGTTCAATTAATTAATACGTAATTGTTATTTCGGACCTAACAGTAACAGAAGCATGTTAATCCGGGACATCATTTCCTCCACTCCGAACTTCCCACCTCAATCTATTAAACCGATTTAGTGTGAATAAGTAACAAACAAACATACTTACATACACCATCATTCAACTGTTAATTTTGATGTCTAAACATAAACTAATCAACATTCGCATTGCCTTTAAATGAAGATATCACTTACTAGAACAATTATTCCGATGATCGTTCGAAGGGCACGAGTACGCTGCATACGTAACATTAAAACCCTCCATCGCATACGCGTCGTCTGAGAAGAAATGCAATAGCACACTCCCAGATCGAGCTATCACCTGGCGAGTCCAACTCGACCCGCTTTTATCTAGCACCCCACTGAAAAAAAAAAGATAAAAATCTTTAAATTTTATGTATGGGACCATTGGAACCGCAAAAAAAAAACTTTTGTACACTGCAAAAAATTATCTAGTCCATTTTTTTTCTTATCTTTAGTGGAATATCTAGTCTATAGTCTGACTATCCGATTGTTTAGTCAAGTTCTTTATAATCAGACCCAAGACAGAAGATCCCTATTAAACTATTTGTCGGGAATTATAAGCATGCAGTTTTCATTTCTTAGGGACACAACTTATAGAACCTTTAAGGGCTTCAATTAAGATAATCCACTGAGCAGCTATCTGTCTACACGTACATATATACGAGTTAACCTCGAAAACTATAGAACGAATTTAAATTTAGTGTTTGCTTCCAGGAAAAAATTGGCGTATATAGGCTTCACCAAATATGTGTGCATGTACATAGTGTAGTTGATAACACCTAAGTCTCTATAAACATTGACAGAAAACAGACTGAATAATCTATCTCTACGTACGATATCCAAAAAAAAAAAACGAGTGTGTATTGTAAGCACTAAGTTATACTTTTTTGGCGTAACAGAACAAAAATAGCTAAAGATTTCATCAAATATGTCACAACTCTCTGTTTGTAAGAAGAATGCAGATAACTTCATCATGTCGCTTTTTGGCTGTCGGTGTACGCGCGTATCGTAAAAATTTTACTCTCATATTTTTTTCTAATCGTGCCAAAAGAAATATAACTTAAAAAAAATTGAATATATCCATATACAGTAACTCATATAATTTCATACGTAACAAATACAAAATACCACTTTAACAAAACACTTGGCCACGTGTGTCACACTTCAAAGAATTAGGGTCAAGAAATCACTTCCCTTTTGAAGGCACGTTCTATGTGTAGTGCAATAGACTGAGATTGATTTACTATTTTGATGTAACTACTTGATTAGAGCAAGCAACCTATGGACTAAGATCCCGCTGCAAGATTGCTACGTTCATAGCGTACCTATTTAGTCGAAATCATTTTTTTATATACAATAACAAAATATGTTTTGAGCTGCCTATTAAAATGTGCGCGCTAGTATGTTTAATTAACTAAATAATAGTTGACTATTTGGAACAAAAACGATGTTAAAACGATATTATTTGTCACTAGCACGCGGTCTTAGTCTTCACTTCGATTCGACCCTCACTGCTCTTATTTCCAAAAGTCATAGTATTTTATAGCCTTATTACTGGATTATCTTTTTGTTATTTTTTGGGATAAAAATATAACTGCGATAAATGACTCTACCCGCCAGTAAAAGTTACATTAAAATCGGTTCAGCTGGCTTGGACTTCAGCTGGTGTGATAGGTATCGTGTAAATAACCCTATAATAATAATAATAATGTCCCCCTGACCGAAACCGGGTACGGCGGCCAATCTGATTAAGACTAGCCATCTGCGCAGGAGATATTATAGTGCACAAGTGTATGCTTAGACACTACGTGCTCTCTCTATTCCTGTCACTCTCATACTCCGGTGAGACGACTACTCTACACGAACAGTGACTTAAGACGCAGGACCGACGGGTTAACGTGCTTTCCGAAGCGCGGGAGTGAAACACCTCCAACGTTCCAACTCCAGGCTGTTACTGAGGCTTACTATACCGAAAGACTCGATAACTAAACTTGGCCCGACCCGGGACTCGAACCCAGGACCGGATATGCAACCGTACATGCTAGCCACTACACCACCGAGGTAAGTAATAACCCAAAAAAGCCATACCTGGCGTAGCTTTTCTCAAACCACAAATAGATACTTTCATTTTATTTACATGTGTATATGTATCATCTCAGAAAAGTTGCCCAATTTGATAATCAAAACCATATCTAACGAACAATAAGCTCTATGCAGCCTATTAAGCTTCAAAATTGTTCGTGTATAAGCTTAATGCTTTCTCTTAAGAGAAAGCAGGCACGTATTGCCTGAAACACTATTAGATTTATAGAAAGTTTGGGAAAGTTAATGTAATGCGACAGAATTTTGTGTGAAAAGTTTTATCTCGAACTTAGTAAACAAACTATCTATACAAAAATTAATGTGCACAAGCACTTAGATAGTGATTCCCAGTATTTGTTTTTGGAAAAGAATCGAGAACTTATCATACAGTAATAGGTCGCTCAAAAGCATCGATCAAAAAAGTACTAGATACACAATACCATGCAAAAGTTCTCTAAAAACTGTAACCGATTGTGTTTAGGTAATTGTTTTAGTTGAAATAAATATACAACAATGTAAATTGAACCTTAAATTCTGAACAACTGCACTATCCGGTCCCCCTAATCTTTCCAAAATATCTGGTATCAAAATTTTCTATATAAAAAAATTGCAGAATGGACCTTTTATCTTTATTTTAATAAAGACATGCATATGACGACACGTTTGGCTCAGTTTGTAACGACCCTACTTGCTCTGCCAGTGGTCGCGGGTTCGAGTCCCGCTGGGGGCATTCATATGTGTGATGAGCACGAATGTTTGTACTCCAGTCACGAGTGTTTATATTTATAATATGTATGTATTTCAAGTGGTATATGTGTTCAAGTGGTATCAACTATCTGGTATCCATAACACAAGCCTTGTAGCTTACCATGGAACTAGATGGTGCTGTGTGTTAATGTCCCAACTACACATAATTATTTATATAACCAAAATACCTGAACACAGCCAACAATTTCTCAGCTCGTACGCTATCACCGTCGTACACATACAGGTGATCCCATCCACACTCAGTCGCAAAACTCTCGAGGCGCACGCGCAGTACAGGCGGGTTGGGACCGAGTCTGGGCGGCGATATCAGCCAGGAACACTGCGTGCTCACGCTGTAGTTGCCTGGACCGTCTGTTATTATACCCGTTGGTTCTGTTAATCTGAAAAAAAGAAAAAAGGTTTCGTTGATTCAAATCAAAATATACTATATTCAAATACACTTTTACAAAAACTTTTGAATCGTCAATTTTACATTTAAAATTTAATGTCAGTGTAGTCAAGTCCGTGAGGAATCTACCAACGGCTCAGAATGCAGTTCTGCTGAGAAGAACCGGCGAGAAACTCAACAGTTACTCTTTTAAAATAATAATTGTTTACAATACTGTAATACAATAATTTTCTATTTATCCTACGTGAGGCCCAAACCAGACATTAGTTCCACACATTGACATCTACGAAGTATTCCGTGACGGTATAATAAGCTTCATTCACTACCATGACTACCATCATTTTTACCATGTTTTTCACTTACTTTAATCAGGAAGTCATAACATAATATGTACCACGAAGACAGTGAACATAAAAGTTTAGACTTTATAGAGTTAAGTAAGAGTATCTTTAATGACAGCTGTTTCTCCAAACATGTCTTTTCTATAGAGTAACAAGTGGCTTAATCAAGATGAAATAACAAAATTAATAGTTATGTCATAGAATCATAATAATATACTTAGTATTTCCAAATGTATTTTTTTTGGTTTAGCTCTTCAATGATGGTAGAATAACATCTCGTCTCAAAGCTCCAAGGACAATTATTCAAAGTAGCCTATATAAAATAAATTCAAGGTTTCAGTTATAACCGTCGAGTATTTATAACCTAAATAAATAAAAAACGCTCTCACTCAGAAACTTTTGCATTGATAAATGATAATATTAGTGTAATATCCATTTTTAATGTACACATGTATGCTAATATTATGTATGTACATTTTAACGTTTGGTATAGATTTCTCAGAGATGAGATATTTTCCCGCGGTAAAAATATGTTGACCCGGATAACCAGCTATTATCATACCAAATTTCATCAAAATCTGTCCAGTGATTTTCTCGTGATGCTGTCACAGACAGACAAAAATTCTAAAAACCATAGGTTCGGCCTATGTATAAAAATATTTAATGTACAGATTCGACTTAGAATTTTATTATATGTATAGATAATGTCTATATGAATGCTATAATTTTGACAGCTTAATGATTAATCCTATAAAATAGAAATTAAATAATCAAAACAAGTGGCAGAGCTTATGTAACTCTAGACACCACTTTCTGTAGTTTTTTTTCTAGCAAAACAGGTTACCAGTATAACTAATAACATATAACTTGTATCTCATTACTCATAAATTTACATAAAAAAATAATTATTTGTGTTAATAATGAAATTTCATGCTCAATAAAAACGATGTACACTCTCATCCATAAAGTTATCATCAGTGATAGTGACAATGTGACATTATTTTATCTTGTAAATTGTTATTGTCGAGTTATTTTTCATATACAAAAAGATCGTATAATTTGATATTATTTCGTCTGATTGATGCAAACAGAATTACAGGCTTTAACTGAAAACGCTAGTATATAACAATCAAAGTGGCACTTGTCCAGTAATAATATTTGTAAAGACCACTACTACTCATCTATCTATGAAGATGAATGAAGTTCACAACCACTAAACATGATCCCCAGTTTATATAAGAACGCACCTTGTGTTATCATATACATAAGGATGCAGATGGCCAAGGTTTGAGTCCCGGGTGGAGCTAAAATAGTAATTAGATGTTTAACATCATGATCGAGTTGGGAAGATGTGGTGTTATACCCCCACGCCTCCGTAAACATTTAATGGTGAAACCGGTGCTATCAGATTGCCATCTAATCATGAACTCCATACAACAAAATGGTAGAAATAAACTAATTGCAAGTCTTTCTTTTCAGATTTTTTCACGGATTCATTACCAAAAATCAAAATAAATCCGCGAAAAAAACTGAAAAGATAGTTTTGTTTTATTTAAAAACCTAAGAAAGTATCAATTGTAAGTCATTAATATCTGTACATCTAAGGTCTTAAAAGTAATATACAGTCAATCCAGCCTTTCTAGAAAGATATGGGATTCAACAGATTAAAAAATCCCAAATACTAATTCAGAATAAATTATTCAATAAATATTTCTGTGTATTGCTTATATAATAAATTAATTATACATGCTCATTTCTAATTTGAATATTTTTTGCTTAGGCTTTTTTATTAATTGACTTACCTACAACATTACTTTGCTGTTTAATCAATAAATATTTTTTGGACCTATACACCATTTACACGGTTAAATAAATTTTATTGTACACAGCAATTTTCCTTGCATTTTCAAGCCAGGTTTTCAAAATAAAATTAAAGTACTACAAAAACTTATAAATAATACAATTTGTCAAGTGCGAGTTGGACTGTTGAGAAAGAGGTTTAAAAAATTGTAGTGTTGTAAAAAAACCTCTAAAGTATGAGTGGAACCCTGTTTTATTTTCTAGGAAATCCAGGCTCAATAGTTTTAAAAACAGAAGTTATAATAGTTTTTAGTAAGTAAATTAGAGAATGCCTATAGACACCTACAACACTAAGTATTTTTTTTTTTAAATTGTTCCTTCTCTGGTTTATGAGAGATTCGGAGCACACCATTGTTTCTTTTTATATAGTATATTCAACTTATTAATTTTGCCTATAGTAAGAATCATAAATGCAGGTATACCCACATACTGTTATTAGTTATATTATACTAGCGACTCACCCATGCTTCGCTTGAGTTTGTCCCTAGGTATGCTTTAACTGTCTGTTTGAAATAGATAGACTATTTATTATATTACATATAGCCTATATAGCCTTTCTCAATAAACGGACTATCTAATGCAAAAAGAATTTTTGAAATCTGATTAGTAGTTTCTGAGATTAGTGCATTCAAACAAACAAACTCTGCCTCTTTATAATATTAATATAGATTAACTTACAATGAAAATATGTATAGAAATGTATAGACAAATATAACAATTTAAAACTATCTAGGTACATACAATGCTATGAGACACATTTTTGTATTTAAAAATAGGATGTGATCATTGACCATGAAGATCCGTAACAGGTTTTTATCAAGCGACCTTCTCCTGAATGAATTGGTTCACATACCGAAGTGAAAATAAAAATACCTTTAAAATAGTTTGTGTATATTAATATGTCATTTTATTATTCATCCAACTAGGATGTAACGAAAACAATGAATATATAATTTGGTAGAAGTTAGTAAGTTTGTACCATCAGATGAAAAATTATAATTTCAACTCATACTACTTATGTTTATCATATATCTATTCTTAATATTATAAAGAGGAAAATTCGTTTTTTTGTTTGTTTGTATCGAATAGGCTTCGAAACTACTAAGACGATTTCGATAAAATTTAGTAAGATAGTTTGAAACCCTGGGAAGGACATAGGATAGTTTTTATACCGGAAATCATCCCTTAAGGGGGTGAAAGTTTGTATGGGGAAATAAGCTAGGGACGACCCTGAGCGAAGCGAGGGTGAGTCGTCAGTTATAATTAAAATTGAATTGTATGTTTGTAATGTCGAAATAATAGCTTTTTACCAAATGCATATGAAATTATATATGCAACGCTACCTCTAACAAAATACAGCTTTTAAATTTTTTGTCTGTCTGTTTGTTCCGGCTAATATCCGAAACGGCTTTGACGGGACATTCACTGACAAATAGCTGATGTTATGAGGAGTAACATAGACAACTTTTATTTTAGAAAAAGAACTACGTTTCCGCTCAAAAAAAATAAAATGTACCAAGGGACGCTGTCTGACGCTGAGTCGCTAGTCGTGAATAAAAATGGACTAATTAATAATTACATTCATTTTCACAAAATACTATTCAATCCAAGAAACAACAGTAATTTTTTGTTGTCCTGGGATTAATTGTATCAAAATATTGTAATAAACTAGCAACTCACCCTCGCTATACTCAAGTTCTTCACTATTGAAAAACAAAACCAAATCTATCCCACAAACCATACATTTTTCTATGATAAAAAGTAATCTATATGCTATTCTAGACTATAATCTACCTCTCTGCAGGGTATGAAATTATCAAGATAAATATATCTTTTGATAATTATCGATGAAATATCAATGTAATCTTTTATTATTATTTTTTTTATTATTTTGACATAAATTATGGATCTCTGGCTAATTTCATTCAGATCCGTTCAACCGTTCTGGTGTGTTTGAGTAATACACATCCATCTATCCAAACTTTCACATTTATAATATTTCACATTTAAAACAAAAACAAACATCCCACAGAAACCGTACATTTGACCAGCATAAAAAGCGTATAGCGTAAGCCTATGTGTTATTCCAGACTATAATCTATTTCTATGCCCAATTTCATCCAGATCCGTTCAGCCGTTCTGGTGTAAATTGTAACAAACATCCATACTCACAAACTTTCACATTTATAATATTAAAAAATATGAATAATGTGACAGGCAATTACTGTATTATAATTATGCAATATCTAAATCTATTGTGAACTAATTATCTTATAAAAATAGAAAGTTCTTAGTTTTACATACATCCTATAAGAACCAAATATTTAACACAAAAACAAAATGTGTATGCCCACACTAAACTAATCCAACAGTGAAAGTCTCATCAAAATTGGTTAATCTATTACAGACATAAGTCCACACTGATAAAGTAAAGCAAAAATGTAGTAAATTTATATGATAATTGCACCAATAATGTTTATTTAATTATTCTATGGATATAATTAGCTTGAAAGGAATCTTAAATTGCGTTATACTTTAAATTTTTGAAACAAGTCTCAGTAGGTATATTACCTATGCCATTATAGAAGTGGGCTATCAAAGTTTACAAAACATTGTGGAAACATGCAAATCTTAATGTCTTCTCCATACTATGTGAAATTGGAGAAGTAATCTGTGGTGAACTGGCACGCTTTGAAGCCATTAACAAGAGAATTGAATTGAATCGAAACATGCTATTTTGCAAGAATTAAACACAAAGTATAAACTCCAAATCTTATTTTACTTTCACTCATGTTAAACTTCAATAGTATTATTTCACTCTATATCATCTTAAATTGCTATAGAAAAGGTAATCACTAAAGATAATTTACATACTGTGTAGCCATTTAGCAGTTTTGTTAACGGTAGCAAGAATATATCCAATGTCCATATTATATTGACCTTATAAGATAGTTCTTTTGAAATCACTAACTAATGTATGAAATAGCTTGGCTAAAAACTTATGGAGTAGTGTTTATAGAATTTTAGGATAATTAAATAATCTTAAGTCATATTTATTTTGTTAGTTGTTTGGGTTTTTTTCCTTTTAGATTTAACTGTAATTTCTGTTATAAACTTTAATTATTTTTTTAGATAGTGTATAAGCTTGTGTTACGATATGGTACAAGTTGTGACATCTTCAAATGTACTTCTTATATTTTGTAAGTTTTTAGATAAGATGTTATAATGTTTTGGTAGCTATGTGTTCAATAAAGAAATATTCAAAGTGTAAAGAATCTGTAGAAATTCCTGTGCATATAGCTGTATAATGATTGTTGGACAATCAATATAAAGACTATCATGGTCACTGCTAATAGGATTACTGCTATAAAGTAGATTCTTCAATGATACATTAAATTTAATAGTGTTATGTTATATATAAATTAAAATAGATATACAAAATTGAAATGAGAAATTTCATGTTAAACAATAACAATGCTATAACTACTTTTGTCAACTTCTGTTTCATTTGTATAATGACAAAACAAAATGAGTAATCAAAACAATTACAAACTGATATAAGTTCATAAAATTTAAACCTGATACAATTCTTTATACCAATTCTAATCAATCTTCTTTCTAATCGGTCACCTTTACCTACACTTTGTGCTACTTATTGTGCTCTTCAAAAGTTAATAAAGGGCAAACAGTGACAAAACTTCGCAATTTGTACCTTTCTAATCGTCGTTACATTATTATACACATATATGCGACCTTCAGCAGAAAGTCAGGATAAAATAAAGAAGCCAAAGTAGATAATTAGATAATCCTTCATCGATGTTTTTGCGAAATATATCTACACGACATGCCGTCTGTCATATAGGTCAGTGAACTGGCTAGCACAATTCCAAAGCTAAATCAACTAAAGGACCACTTACTTTATTTTGCCGCCACAGTGTTGACACTGGGGGCCCTGCCAGCCATCGTAGCACACGCAGGTATCATTTTTACACACACCGTTCAAGCAGTTAAGATCACTACACCTAGTGAGAACACCATGACAAAACAATAACACTATAAGCACTGAACACAAGAAAGGAGAGAACCAGGACCATTTTCGTCTGTATTTTGATTTGAACAGAAATAAAAACATTTGCAGAGATTCTACCATTTTGATGTATGCATTTTCTACGAGTTTTGTTAGCTTATCGCGGACGTTAAAAGCGGTCGTGCGTCGTGTAGAATCCGTACGGTACTAAATCTGGTGTTGTCATGCTTCTAAATGGAATTTCCATTTGTATTTTATTTGTTAATAATGAAATAATTTGTTTACACACTGAATTTAATACAGATTCTTCAAAAAATATTCGCAATAAAATAACACTAAGATCGTTCTTGTAAAGACTGCACAATTTATCAACGCTCGGGGAATCTCCGCGCTTTATAACTTCATTCCGCTACTTTCTTGAAAATAGCACAAATGATATTTTGTTAAATTACAATTTCCAAATTTCGTTACTTAACATTCTAAATAAACATAGTATATGTAAGTCGTCTGTCGTCTGTTTCTATATTTTCTATCCTAAATCCATAACTTTTTAAATACTACACCGAAGCCTGCAGTGTTCGCATCGCTATCGGCATCGTATCAGCAGAAGTGCGTATCAATGCATCCTTGTTAAAAGTCGTTTCATTAACTATTATAATAATAATGACCATCATTATTTATAAGCAAATGCAATAAGAGTTATTGTTATTCTAATACAATATTCTTAGTTAAAAATAAAATTTAAAGTTTAAAAAATGTAATATACTCATAACTTGGCAAGCTATATAAAATGGCAACTCTAATTTTGACGTCTTATTATTGCCATAATATATTATTGCAACAGGTAAAATATATTTTGTAGTTGAAAAAAAAAGTATTAAATATGATTTAAACATATTAATCATATAAAAATATCAATATTCATTTATACCCGTAGTATAGTATTGATAATTTTTTGTATATTTTGACAACTATACACTGCCATCTGTACAATAATAGTGAAACTAGGACATAAGGATTTTAGTTGTATTTCAATAGATGTCACTTCACACTTTATTGTTTGTTTGAACGCGCTAACCTCAGGAACTAATTATCCGATTTAAGAAAATCATATTTTTGCATTAGTTAGCCCTTTTATTGAGGAAGGCAATAGACTATATAACATCATGCTACTACCCAAGTGAACGGAACAGTAATCATAAATATCAACAAATCGGTCAGACTTCCATACATTATTGTAAAACTGATGTTTAAGTGGTTTAAGTTCAGAATATATAATATACTATAATATATTCTATCTATAACCCGAATGAAGCTGCACACTGCCATCTATATATTGATAACGAAACTAGAACATAAAAGTTTTAGTTGTATTTCAATAGATGTCACTTCATTCTTTATTATAAAACTTGCCGGATGATACTGATGGGGAAATTATAATAGTAAAATTTTGATTTATATGATACGTTTTATGAGTGACATTGGTTATCACATAAAAAATCATTGCTCACAAAGTGCATTATTTTATATCTGTATAGGATATGATTGTGTTTTTTCTCTTTCTATCACAAGCTGTGTATTATGTTTATTCTTTTCAAACGTCCACTTTAAGAATAAGGAAAATATCCTTTTATATTATAATATCAAATAAGTTAACATTTGCTTATGTTGCTTACATTTGCTTACATATTATGATGTAATAGCTGTATCCGAATCAAATCAACGGTTAAACTTGGCAATAATTATTATTTACTTTCTAGAAATATACAAACACTAGTGACTCACCCTCGCTTTGCTCGCGTGCGTCCCTAGGTACGTGCACATAGCATTGGTCTAGTTTAATAGGAAAATCTTGTTAAAATAAATAATTCTGTAATACTTTGTTTTCTTATAGTAACTTTATTAGTTAAAACGGCGCACGCCATTAAAGCTCTCGGTCGTCATGATTTTTTCCGACATCTTCAACAATAATCGTCATATTTGAGTCAATTTACACAAAACCATAATGAATTATACACCTAAACCTTCCTCATGAATTACTTGAATTACTTCATCTATTGGTGAAAACCGTATGAAAATTCGCCCGGTAGTTTTTGATTTTATCGCGTTCAGACAGACACAGACGCGGCGGGGAACTTTATAATTTGTATAGATTAAATATTGTGATGTAGCATTCTTATTATACAAATCTTTACATGCACGCATATCGTGTAATATGTTATAAATATTATCTATATACTGTGCCGCTTTGAAATCTGACGTGACAGATACTAAGTCGAGTGATGGACGATGATTCTAGAGAGTGAGATGCGCATAATTATTAAACTGCTTTTTTATGATCATAAAATGGTAGCTATTTGCAGATTGAATTTATAGGCGCTAGATGCCGCTGTAAGCCCAAGTTTTAGATATTGAATTAGAAATTTTTCAAACGATTTAATTTGCTTTTAATTTTAACTTAACATATAACGATAATAAATCCACAGATGACATAATATTATACTAGTACAGATGCCTCATCCTATACAAAGAAATTGAACAGCGCTCACTGGGGACTATTTTTCGAGCTTTTTTATTGTTAGCTTGAATAGATAACATGTCGTTAATCGTCAAACTTTCATATTTAAATTCCAAATATTATCTAAAATTTAGAAACAAATTTAATTGAATTTTCATTCTTTAATCGTAGTAGGTAATTCGTAAAAAGTAAAAACGCTGTCTTTGAATATACACCACAAACCTATTGCTAATTTATTTAGTTTTACGAAAATTTGATTCGCAAGCATAATATTCCCTCATTTAGGTACTAAGAGATTTTTTTAAAACAATTTTCGTGATCTATTTGTTATGTTTTGTTAATTTTACACAAAACTTCAATAACAACTTGATAGGCCTAATTCCATCTATTGAATGTTTGTGAACTAATATTTATTATTTCATACACAACAGTGTATATTTTATGAATGCAAAAAAAATGTTGTAAATGTGTTGTTTGTTCATTTATTAAACATTCAAGCTAAAACGGATTTGCATAAGTAATATTTAGTATAAAGAGTAAATTAGTAATAAAAATTGCCAAAAGATGGCGCTGCCTGTACATAATTGAAAAACAAGTCGCTGGTATTTCAATAGAAATATGTATATCCGAAAAAATTAACAGCAAAGACAGACAGATCAATTTTACAGAGAGTTTAATTATATATTTTACCAATTAAACTGAGTATATAAATAATTTAAATGTTGTAGGTAGTATAATATTAAAGTAAAATTGCAAACATTGAAAATTATAATTTTTACAATTCTTTTTTATCTAGTTTAAATAAGTAAAATATAATTATTTTCAAACATAAAGTACTTTATTTTATTTCGTATAATTAAATTATAAATTCATAATATAAGTAAATAATACAAATAGTTAGCTTGTTGATTTCTTCTAATGGCCGCTAGATGGCAGAAGGCGGCGATCGCGAGATCTAATGTAGTAAAAACAATAGTGTTATCACACAGCTGCTGCATACGTTTAGTAAAGATCTGAAAAACTCAAAATATAATTTAAAAGTTTATTTGATAATTTGAAGTAATTTTATTTCAATTTAGGCTTAATTTAAATTAATACAGCTGTAAATATAGCTTTAAAATTTTAGCTTTATTTATATTAGATTTTTTTTAATACTGTGACTGATTGGATAAAAACATGAAGCCGTTGATAAAATTTAATTGCAATTATAAAACGATTTCTCGAAAATAATCTCTTAAAATAAAGTATGTGGTTAGTGTTCTAGAAATAACGTTTTCGATTTCCATCTAAAAGTTTGTATTTGTTTCAAAAAATAATACTCTGTACCTAAGTATTTTTAGGTTTTATGAAAATGAGCCTTTGAACTAAATGTTAAAAAATATGTATGACTAGCGACTCAACTCGCTTCGTTTGGGTTCGTTCCTACTTACGTTTTAAGGTTTTGTATAGATTTCACAAAGTTGAAATATTTTCCTCCAGTAAAAAGTATTCTATATGTTGACACGGATAACCAGTTAAAACCATACCAAATTTCATCACAATCTGTCTAGTAGTTTTCTCGTGAAGCGGTAACAGACAGACAGACCAAAATTCTAAAAACTATAGAAACTATTCGGTCTCTGTATCGATAATAATGAGTATTTCAATAAGATTTTCCAAAAAAATTAGTTAGAATTTTATCATAATAATGTATAGACGAATAAAAAGCTATAGCGAATTCTAAATACTGTACCACCTAAAGCAAATTTTACCCCATTCGTGTACGCGTACTTAATCAACAACACAATAAGTTTTCTTATTTAAAAATTTTAGACCACAAATTCTAAGCGCAAAGTAACAATGCACCTAAAATTGCGAATAAAAAGTAATTGAGAAAAAAATAGCTCGTTGTTTTTTGTTTTAAAATAGAACGTAAATTACTACAATTCCCTTTTGTGAGAAATAAGTTCTTGCGAGGTTCTTTCCTTGCCTTGAGATTAGTTTAGGATGAAAAGATAGTTTTTAAGCCACAGTTAGATGAACAAGGTTAAAATATAATGTATATGTTATTTTATTTCTTATATGGCTCAGTTGTTGTTATCCATTATAGTTACGGGTCAGGAGTTCTATTTCGTTATAGACAATATGAATCTATATGTCATAATACTGGTATTGCCCGCGGCTCCACCCGCGTTCAGATGACCAAAAACTAAATGCTTAGGTTTTACATATTAGTATACTCTTACAATGCAGTTTTTGTATTTTTTCTCAGAAATGAGATATTTTCCCGCTTTAAAAAGTATCCTATAGGTTGAACCGGATAACCAGCTATCACCGTACCAAATTTCATTAAAATCCCTCCAGTAGTTTTTCTGTGATGCGGTAACAGACAGACAGACAAAAATCCTAAAAACTATAGATTCGGCCTCTGTATCGATAATAATGTTTATTTCAATAAGATTTTCCAAAAAATATTTAATGTACAGATTCAGCTTAGTTATAATTTTCTTATATATTTGTTTTTATACATAATACCTACATATCTAACGTCTATATAAAATACTTTTATTTTATTAATTCGTAGATGGGTGAAGGGTTTCGAACCTTAAATTAATTGTACCAGCGCAGTGAGATGGTAATAGTAGGTATTGTGTATACTAATACAGATTATATTTATAACCTATCCAAGAGTACAGTACTTGACTCAACTGTATGAAATTGAATTGTACTAGCCTTTACTGTAAAAATTA